ACATAGGGTACATAGCCAAGGTTACTCATCTTTTATTCTTTTTTACAGCCCAACACTTCATCCAACGCCCAACCGGGTCAGTCGTCGGCGGTTAGAGGAACAGTTTTCACCTGAAACAAAGAGAACAAATCATAAGTTAATGAGATCATTGAGAGCTAATATATATAGAAGAAAAAGAAAACGGTTGCGAATTGTGACCAAGTCGCGGAATTTGAGAATGTAGAACATTTCAAGATATCGCCGAGTCTCACGACGCTCCAATTTTGATGCATATTTCCAGAAACCATACACACCAGCTAGTGTCATCAATCTCTCCGAGTATATCTTCCATGTGTACCTACACAAACCATATCGAGTTTAAATTAAACATGATTATTTAAGAGATAATTAAGCGTTTTGTTTTAGGTTTTTTTTGTTACCTTTCGTATATCCTTTGGAGACCAGCGTCTGACACTTTCTTCCAATGGTTTGGATCTTCCCTACAACGTTCAAAGAAATCAGCCATTATGTTACCCGCTTGCTCAGGATGGTATGGATCGATGTGGAAACCCGAGAGCCCGTGCTCGATGATCTCTGCAGGACCACCGTGACAAGTGGCGAAAGTCGGAAGCCCGCTAGTCATCGCTTCCACTATCGTAAGCCCAAAAGCCTCGTAGAATGCAGGCTAAATATATTATACAAAAAGGTCACATTAACATAATAATCATACTTTTCATAGCTAATAGCCTAATAGACTAAAATATAAAACATAAATTACATAATTACATAATATTCTTATAATTTATTTAAAATATCATGTTTAGTCTAAGTTCCTAAGTTATACAAACAGAATCCAACTCAAAAATCAAACTAAACAAACCAAACCAAACCGAATTGAATAAACGAAATAACCAAACTGGAAACATTTAATGCCAATTACCTGAGCAAAAGCACCTCTTGTATCGGCAATGTATCGGTAAAGCTCACCATTTCGAGCTCGGTTTGTCTGACCCGTTATCCAACGAAATTGTCCATCAAGTTTGTAACTCTTCACAAGGTTATGCATTTTCTCAATCTCTGCGATTTCTTCTCTGTCTTTGGACTTGTTCACATCAATGCTACTAGATATTACAACCAGATTAACCAGCTCCCTCAACTTTGTGTTCTTGCTGTACATCTCAACTAAACCGGAGATGTTCTTCACTTTGTCGAGCCTCGCCATAGAGAAGAGTATTGGCTTTGACCGATCGCTCAGTGTACCACTGCAAAACACAACCCGAACCAAAATCCGGCAATTTAATCCAAACCAAACCAAAAACTAAACTGAAATGTTGCCAAACAAAAACCGGAAATTATTTGGTTTTCGGTTATGAATTCTCCAAAACCAAATAAACCGAATTGAATAACAGAATGCCAATAACTTACACATGCTCATCAGTCTGCTCAGGGCTATAGAGCATTTCCTCTATTGAACTATGTAAAGCTGTAAGTCTCTTAGTTTCTTCAGAAAACGGGAAATATATGGCCATGTCTACGCCGGGCGAGACTATGTTGAACTTCGGATCAAACACATCGATGCCGTGTACTACTCTGTATAGTCCCGGGAGCGTAAAAGCCCCATGGCTTTCATATTGACCGACCGTGTTCTTCCTGAGAAAGTAACATTAGTATTGTGGATATGAAACTGAAAAACAAACCGCTTTTCGATATATAAAGTCACTTACGTTCCCGCGATTTCTTGGTAAGTGCTTGTGATGATGAAATCTGCGTTGTTCATTGCGATTAGATCAGCTGTGAATTGACAAGAGAAATGATACTTGTTGTCGAAATCTTTCCAGTAAATGTCTGAATCTGGATACTTGGTTTTCTCCAAAGCATGTGCAATAGTACACTGTTCATATCAAAAAAATTCAAGAATCCAAATCTGAGATGTTCCATAGACAAACAACATAACAAGAAAATCTGAAAAACTTGAAACTCTTACCTGTGTAACACCCATTCTATGTGCCATTAAAGATGCAACAAGGTTTCCGTCACTATAGTTACCGATGATAAAATCGGGTACACCTTGCAATTCACCGACAATCTCGCTTGCTGCATCCTGTTTTTGAAAAATATCAGTTACCTTATTTTTCTTACATAAGAAGTAAACAAAACTCAAGAAAGCTAAGATTTTTTTTTACCTGAGCATAGTTCTCCAGATAAGGCCATACGTCGAATCTTGAAATCCACTTATGGAGGATCCCTTTATCGGACCTAAAAGGAACCCGGAGAATATGAGTATGCTCTGTTCCGCTGACTCTCTCTAACCGCTGGTTACACGTGGTTCCTTTAGCATCTGGTATCAACCTAGTTACCTTGAGAAAAGGTAGAAACATATTGTAGTCCATAAACACAGTTTAAGATATTGAGATTAGTCACTAAGAACCTGCAATGACCAAAACATGCTTACAATAAGAATCCTAGGTGTTATATCCAACCCCTGTCTCTTTATTCTCAACAGCATTTCGCTCTCAAGGGCACGGACTTGGTCTAGAATATAGACAACCTGAGACATCGAAGAACTTTCAAAAACTAATCGAAATCCGAAAAACAGATTTAACAAAGGGGTTTAGGAAGGTACTTGTCCACCAGTGTCAGGTAAGCCTAAGACATTGGCTTGCCCAAAATATCCATGTGGAGATAAGATCACAACGTCGAAAACCATCGGTACCATCCCGAGAAACTTCTCCAAGGTCGAAGGATCAGGAGCTTGAAGAATATCAGAGAGAAGATGCATCATTTCAAGAACTCTCCCTGCGGTATCTCCCCATCCTTTCTCAAAACCCATTCCTTGAAGCGCATATTCGAATTCCGAGAACGGAGTTTCTTGTGAAAGCTTAGAGATATGATCTTCTGCTTTATTAAGTTGGCTTTCAAGCCTAGATATGCTTTGAATCCGATCATTCAACATCAACGGCTGCGCACATATAAAGTTAACGATTTTCACTAATTTCATAACAACATCTTTAGCAGCAAAAGAGCTTTATAGGAAACTTACATGACCTTTGTACTTATGAACTCTAAGGAAATCAAGCAGAGGCTCCAAGCAATCTTTGTTACGGAACATTACAGAAGACAAGTGACGATTCAGAAACTGAACTCCATTACCAATGGAAGACGAACGAGAAGGACGTGGCACGTTTGCGTTAAAGGGCTCGAAATCAAGCTCAAGAGGAAAAGGGTCACTATTAGGTCCATCAACGAGTTCTTCTTTGAAACGAAGATACTCAGAGACTGTTAACTGTTCAACACTTAGCTCGAAGACATTAACACGAACATATTCCCAAACACCAGGTCTTGGTCTAACGGCTAAGGCAACAAATGGTGGCACAACTACCGCTTCCTACAATTAACTTGTAGATGAAATTCATGGATTTTGAATTGATCCAGAGAACGAAAAAGTGAAGCTTTTTTTTTTTTTTTTACCATTGCTGATTTAAGGATTTCTCCAAAAGGACCATCAGAGAGACTCTGTTTCGTTGCATCGTCTCCTATTACAGATTCGAGTTCGTCGATTAAGTTATGTGGCTGAAGAATCCCTTTTCCCTGATCCACATATCTTCACAAAAAGAAACACACGAAACAAACCAACAAGCAATAGTAAGTTAAAAAGGTTTGAAATTTCCCGGGAAAATAAAAACAGGGGAATCAGGATCTTGACGACATACCTGGAGAGAAGAGCGACGAGTTCGTTGCGGTGAGCGGAAAGAGTGTCTTGCACGCGATCCCTTGTGCTTATAATCCTAGTGAGCTTAGGGTTTGCCATGGATATTCAGATGATCCCAAAAACCCTAGAAAGTTTTGTTTTTTTCGCTTTCAGTGATCGGATAGAATCACACCGACGATCGCTAATAAAAAGGAAAAATCATTGATTAAAGGATAAAAAGCAGAGTGAATTTTATGCGACAAAGAGAGAGAGACGAAGAAGAAGACGTGTTTGATGATCTTCTCTGTTTCTTGTTACTGTTTTTTTGCTACAAGTGACGTGTTTGTGTTGGAGGAGAGTACATGTGACTGTGGAGTGTATGTATTTTATATATGTAAGCAGTCACAGTTTAAAAGGAATAGTGAAGCAGTGGAGTGTTGCTCTGCTTTCAAAGCGGTTTCATCGAGATATTTTTTTTTTAAAGCAGAGATATTTAAAGGTTACTCATTTATTAATAAAATATCTCGATGAAACCGCTTTCAAAGCAGAGATATTTAAAGGTTACTCATTTATTAATAAAATTCTTTTTCTAAGAAAAAAAAAACATTTCTAGAAACTACGTGGCGAGAAAACAGAGCACCAGTTGTCTTCTTACTCTGAATATGTCGGCGAACTAAAAAAAAAAGGAGCTTTTGATCTACCTTTAATATTTTTGGGCCTATCTGATCGTTGTTGGGCCTCTAATGTATATAGATTAATTTCTAACTTTTATTGTATTTACAAAAAAAGAAATCAGAATGTGTTTTGGACCTTTTTGGTAAGCTGAGCAACACAATTGAATATTTAGAAATTTAGGAGTATTATTCAGATTTGTTCGGATCTTACATTAAGAATTTTTCGGATCTTTATTTTCATCAATTGTTCGGATCTTTTAGGAATGTTAAAACAGGCTGATCTAGTCCAGTCCAACACATCGAAGCCCACATGTTGCTAGCTTGGTCCGATTAGTCTTATTGGTTAGAGACATCCCAACTTTTAAAACTGATAGCAATCTAATATCATTTCCGGATATTTTTGTCTATCCATAATGTTAGAACCGTCTTTGGAATTGGTAATCCACACACTATAATGCGACTCACGTCGGGACAAATAACACTATTATCTGCCGTGCATACACGTTCTTATTACAAGTTTTCTTTGGTTTTGGTATTACAAGTTGCTCGTTTTCTTATTGATAAGAAATAAATTTAATGTACACTAAACCAATAATTTAATTAGTTCTTTGTCAACGCAATTTACTTATAAAACCCATGGAGTTAGTTTTCAAAAAACTTCACTTGCTTAAGCAACATATAAACAAGGCAAGCAAAAAAAAAAAGAAGAAAAGAAAATGGCTTTCTCACGCCTCTCATTTGCTGCTTCTCTCGTCGTCTTCTCATCTCTAATCATCTCTTCAGTTGCTTATTATGGCAATGAAGCCGACCCAGAGACCGGAAAATTGATTCCGATCGCCGTTGAAGGGGTCATCATGTGCAAGTCCGGTGGCAAAACTTACCCAATTAAAGGTAACATAACTTCTTTAAAACCAAGACGAATTGATCTAATTGTAGGAGAAAATTAGAGTCTAACAAGACGAATGTCGTATTGTTGTTTGTTTACGTACGACAGGTGCAACGGCAAGAATCGCATGTGTGAAGGTCGATGCATATGGCAAAGAGATAGCTCCAATATCAATAATGAGCAGCAAAACTGATGCTAAAGGTTACTTTTTCGCCACGATATTCCCTTCGCAGCTTCGTGCAGGAAGGACAGTGACCAAATGCAAAGCTTACCTTTACAAATCTCCACTCGCTGATTGCGATTTCCCGACCGATGTGAACAAAGGTGTTAGAGGACAGACATTGAGCAAGTACCGTGTTCTTGAAGACAAGAGTTTCAAGCTTTACTGGGCTGGTCCTTTCTTCTACACCTCTGAACCTACTTACTACTAATTATGATCTTTTGATCAACGTGAAATTTAACATGTTCTGAGATGGAGAATCTTTTCATTTGTTTGATTCGTCGTAAAATGATTGTCTGAAAATGAGCTAAGAGTTTGTTTTCTTTGTTTCTATTTCATGTCATATATATGACTTTGTCATATATCTTATGTTTTAATTTTTTTTGGTAAATGTATGTTTTATTGGATTTGTTCTAATCATCTAATTGCTTATTTCGACTATGCCTAATGGAGATCGTACGTACTTGTGTTAAAGCTCATGGGTATTAATTTGTAGTGAACTATACCATAAAATGTTACACAAAAACAAAAACTATAATAAACCGTTTTGGGAAATGCATCCATTTTTTTTTCTATGTGCAAGTATATGTTTTACAGGAGTATCTACATATTACATCGTATGTTCATCCCACTCTTTTGGTCTTTATATACAATGACCTTGATTTATTGAACATAACACATCTAAAAGAATTTGACTCTCTTTTTCTTGTTTTTTTTTTCAAAACAGAATGATATATATTTTCAAGAATATTATAAGAGCTCTCTACCTCTACATGGAGCAACCAGACTCTCTTCTTCAGTTTGCTTATTTTTCCAGTGAACATGACAAAACTTCATGGCCAAGAACGCGAGTCCTTTGGCTTTAACACTCAAGAACTTGAGCATTATCTGTTGATTTTGGCCAGCTACAACCACTCGACCATCCCAACACACCCAATATTAGATCCACCTTAGCGCAAACACTAACCTGAGAGTTAAAGATACATAGAGACACGGGTTAGTGTTTGGTGATCGAAGATCCAAAAAGAAAAGAACAAAAAAAAAAGTTAAAAGAGTTTAGATCAATAGGACGTATTACCAAACTTTCAAAATTTGCTTCTATTTGAAACAACATTACTGCTAATCCTCTTCCTCTGTCAATCTCGGCCTGCAATAAACCATAAGATTTGTAAGATGAGTCTTTAGAAACTATAAAATGTTTAGAAGTAAGTTTTAAAGTAAAAGCACACACCACGCAAGAACACACTGCGATGCCTTCAGCTGCGAGGACTGTTGTAACCTCTGCGATTATGCCTGCCAAATGTAACAAAGAGTTTATATTTTACTTTTGACTTGTTGGAATCATCAATCATGACTAAAAGAAAACGAATATAACATACCTTTGCGATCCATGGATACTACACATAACCATTCGATGGAGTGACCTTCGAGATGATGCCATGTGGCAATTTTACTGTCTCGCCAACTGTCTAAGCCGGGCAACACTTCTTTATAAGCAGGGATGTTAGCAGGTAAAATCTTGGCAATTCCATCTCCGGGTAGGAGGAACTCTGGCTCATCTAAACTCGAGTTTTTTATGGCTTTATTGTGTTTTCCATTCACCTTTGGGACCCAAACGCTTCCGTTTTGAGGAGTGGGTGTTGTATCTCTACTTTTGTCTTGTGACTGGAATTGCTTAACATTGACGAGGATTTTCTCCCACCATTGTAGGCTCTTTCTTGAATCTTCTGTGAGATCTTCCAAATCACTATCAGAGTCCGCCACAAAGTCATTCACTTGATCTTGGGTAATTTCAGCAGCACATTGTGCAGCTTGCTCCCTTAGGAACTGGAACAAGATGAGAGACATGAATTCGTAAATAGTGAGCAAATTAGCATGAAGTAAATAAATAAAAATAACATACCCTCATAATCTTGTGTCTTGCACTCCTTGTTTTGGCATGTTGCAACCACTGTTTATGTCTCTGGAAAGCAGATTTACTTGAGAGGGCCTGTGATGTGACAATAAGAATAAAACGTGAGAGCCCGTGGAATGAAGGCAATCAAAATTTTCCTAAGCAGGACAAAAAGAAAGGATAAATAAAAAAACAAAAGCAAGAGAGAAAAGGTACAAACGTTGTACGTGACTATCTCCACGACCTCAGCATTCTCAAGAACGTGAGTTGGGGAAACAAGATTACCATTGACCTGCAGTTTCAAGCCATTAAGTATCCTTAAAGTTTGGTCCAGTTGTTGTCTGTATTTCAAAGATAATAAATCGACAATTCAAAGTTATCATGGAAAGAATGACAAGAATGGGGAAAATACCTTTGCTGCTACCATCTTGTTTCCGATTTCCGTGTGAATCAGATAAGCGTAATCAACAACGGTGGCCCCTTTCGGAAGGTTCTTTATCTGCAAAGAGAATACCAAAGCATTTAAGCAAAATCATAAAAAGGTTAGATGATGTTTAAGAGGCTTCGAGGTGTAGTAGTCCTTACCTCTCCTTTAGGTGTGAATACAAACACACGACTACCTAAAAGATCCCTCGTAATGGTATCCACAAATTCTCTAGAGCTCATGTTACCCACAAACTCCTCTTGCCATTCCCTTATTGCATTTAGCCACCCAATCTGGAAAAATAAACTGTCATAACTAGCATCATAGTGGAAAGGTAAAAAGGAACATATCACTGCCTACATCTAGCACGTCTCTTTGCATTTTTTATTCTGAGAAATGGTCTGTGATTACCCTGAGTGCAAAATCTGCATTGTTGAGACAACCGGTCTTCCCCCTTGAATTTCTACCTAAAGGAACCGCATTTCCAACTAATCCAGCAGAAAGAGCCTTGCCATTATAGTAAACAGCAATGCCCCTTTCAGCAATTAAATCCATCTCCTCGGTTCTGATCTGCAGAGAAAAATGTAGTTTTAATATCCAATCAGCCTTTTAGAAATTTCCCCATGCTTCAACCTCTAAAAGACAAAACCCAAATTCAATTGTACTCATCATTGGCGTTTTTCTAAACACTGTAATAAAATAATATCATCTCAAATACCTGAACCTCCAGTCGGAACATACTCTCATACAAGAACGGAATCACAGTAGTATGGAGGCTCTGGTAGCCATTAGGCTTCGGGGTTGCAATGTAATCTTTTACCTGTAAAATATATGTTCAGTTGTAATGTAGTGAAAATATATCCTCAAATAACAAAAGATCAGATACATACAGTTCGGGGAATTGGTTTCCATATCTCATGAACTAGCCCAAGAACGTGATAGCATATCTGCATTGACGACAGAGCGAGAAATCTAAGTGACACACCAGAACGAATCGGAACAAAAGATACCCACTTCCTTTTCATTGGAGTTTCACCTGTTGTGGGCTGCACAAAGGCCCGACCCCCACAGAAGGTTTTGGCTTTACAACAATCCGTAACTGCTAAAATACACAAATTAGAAGAAGCAACGTGTTAACAATCATATTAAGCTTCAAATGGAAGTTCCGGGCACAAGCATCCTAGGTAATTCAGTCTTATGGTTCTTCGAAATCTGTATATGTATTCAAAACCTTTGATACAACTTGGAGACGCGTGTACAACACAAACCTGGGCAATCTGGTTGTAATCATTAATTGATCCTTTCGATTTGAGCGCAGCTTTGTAGATGCTGCAGGTAAAAATAAGAGGCTTTAAATGCTGAAGAAAAGGTAAATTACAAAGTAAAATGAAGAAGTCATTTATGAATTCACCTGTAAGTTTCCTTGCAAACAGATCTAACATCAGTATTCACAGTCACAAGGTCCAGAAACTGATCATCTTCAATCTTTTTCACCAAAATTCTGTTTGCCTAAGATACATAGTAGGACTCTGTGAATGCAGATGAACTAAATAAACGCCCAGATGAATACAGAGTTTGAAAGGTCAAAGAGGGTGAAGGTTGATAATCAACATCGTTCTCTAATATCCTTTTCTTTTTCAATCAATGTTTTGGCATTTTAAGCTCAGAGACGATAATAGTTACCTCAGTGAGTTCTTTTTCATGCTCTTTGTAGAGGTTAGCGATCCTGCTTGTGACTCTATCATAATCCTCAGCACTTACGTACATGAAAGATAGATTTTCCAGTTCCGACTGCAAGATTACCACCACAAAACTCAGAACGTCACTGGACACAACAATTCATATAATTAAGTTTCATATACACACTTACATACATTACAACTGATGTAACCGGAAACTATAACCACCTCGTGCATAATGTTGTCATAAGAATAATAGCAAGCAAACACAATACGTAAAGGGTTATACCTTTATCGAATACATTCCAAGCAATTTCGCTAAAGGAGCAAAGACCTGCAAAGTCTCCCCTGCAATGCTGGACTGGACGAAACTCAAAAATTCATTAGTTATCCCAAATGAAACATAGAGCTGAAAGCTGTATAGGCAACAGATCTCAACTACTTGAAGGAATCACCTGCTTATGGGGAGGCATGTGGCAGAGAGTTCGCATATTATGCAACCGGTCAGCTAGTTTGACAATAATGACGCGGACCTGGAATGAAGCAGTTAGGTATGCTGATGAATATATAACCACACCAGCTAAAACAAAATCTTAAAAGACTGAAACCTCGTCTGTCATCGCCAGAAACATCTGCCGCAAATCATCTGCTTTTACATCTTGTATTGATTCACTTTCTGTTTTACACTTTAACTTCCCCAGTTTTGACACCTAATAGGGAAAAAAAACTTTTATAAATAATGAATTTCATGGCACAGGAAGCGTGGTGTTCTTTCTCTATAAATGGTTCGAGGATAGAAAAAATATTGTAGCAAACACACATAGGCAGACCTTGGTCTCCCCTTCTACGATGTGACGCACAGTTGCACCAAACTCTTCTTCTATCTTTTCAAAAGTAATGAAATTTGTATCCTCGACTGTGTCATGTAGTAATCCAGCAACAATAGACTCCCAATCCAATTCCTATACAAGTACAAAAGTAATTATTAAGCTTTCCAACTAATCCTCATGTGAATCCATATCCACAAACGCAACTCACAAGTTCCCCAAGGATACGGGCAACTGCAACGGGATGTATAATGAATGGTTCCCCACTACGTCTCTTTTGACCGTGATGTGCCTCAAAAGCTAACTGCACAAACCTTTCTTTCTGAATTAAGCAATGAATAGCAGAAAACTGAAAATAAACTTTAATAATAACATATCAAAGGGGAAATGACATATGATGTAGCTTAAAGAAGTCTTTCAAATATAAAGAAATATATCATCATACCTTAAGGCCCTTTTGAACAAATTCTAATTCTTTACAGGGTAGGTAAGATATTGATGGGAAAAGGTCCTGCAGAGATAAGTACCCATCAAAATGGTTGTGAGGGTCGTGCTAGTAGAGTGCCAATGAAAAAGAAGAGGGTAGTGTATCGTACCTCCCACAATGTTTCGACGGTAACATCATCAGATGCACCAGAAGATTCAGCTGGTACGCAATACAGTTCCCATCTTTTATGGCCACCACAAGATAATTTGGACTTCAAGATATTTCTCACATTAACAAAGTCAGGAGCCTCAGAAAAGCCTACTTCATATTCATCCCTCCGCCAGGCGCACTACATTATCCAAAGGAGTTACCATAAGGAACCTCCAGAATAGATTGCAAATACAGCCCCCATGGCAACATGTACAAGGTGATCATGTACAAAAATGATAGAAACACAGTTCTGGAGCTTGATATATCCATTCAAGCCACATATTACAATCTTAACACCCGACTACATAAACAGAAGCAATAAAAGATACTTACAGCTTTCATTCTGCTCTTTCTTCCATTTCTGCCACATGAGTACAAAGAACACACAGGTGGATGAGCAGTGCTAGCTAGAAACCCAGTTAACGCTCTTGGTGCTTTCCAAGCACAGGAGAGAGCATTGCAATCGCTTCTTGCATTCCCATCTCCTTTCGTTAGATTACATATGTTCACACATTCCACAGACACTGCATTGTACACACATAATCAATTTCAATAAACCCAAAACAAAACCAACCAAAAAGGGTAAATAAAAGTAGATGCATGAATTCAAAAGAAAATAAATATTTACAAGAAATAGGTTCCTTAACCAGTAATAGAAAACTGTGGTCCTCAACAAGAAAGGTAGGAAGTGTTTAGTTGGCACATGAACTTACTTAAAGAAGAACTAGTCTATAACCTAATCAGCTCAAAATTCTAACTTTGCTACATTTACTCACTGACCCAACAAACGCCAGAAAGTAATCAGCCAAGTGGATTCGTTTTCCCTCGCACACATACACAAAACAAGAACAATAACTAAAGTAGCTTTCAAATTCAATGGGACGTGAATTCTCTCTCTCGGAATCCAAATCAGAAAACGAAGCAATTGGATTCTTTTTACGACTCCTTGTCTCTCTGTAACGGACTCATAACTAAGAAAATCACAGTCCTAAAGGGGGAATTAGCTCAAGACGCAATACACAATTGCTATTGAATTCAATTAGAGAGAAAAGAATCGTCACAAAGCTTCCCCTAAACTCAGAAGAAAAAAACAAAAGATGAAACAAAATCAGAGAAACGAACGAAGAAAACGCACCGGACATGGAAGAAGCAGAAGTCATTGCTAATGAGGTAAAGCAATCGAACTAAATCGATCCACCATTTGATTGATTCGAACAAGAAATTCAAAATCTCCAGATTCCGAAATCACACGGAGATTGAGAACTCTTAACGAAGAAGAGGCGAGTTCAAATTAGGATAGAGAAGACTTCGGAAAGATAGAACAGAGAGAGACGCACACAGTGATGTGAAGAGGAAGAAGAAGAAGAAGAAGAAGAAGAAGAAGAGAGACAGATATCGAGTCTCAGGTAGCCCTCCCTGGCCACACAAATACCGTCCGATATACCAAAGAGAGAAAAAAACTTCAGATATTTTTTTCCCTTTGTGGTCAAATATTAAATATATATTCTCTCCTTTTGTGTTAAAAACTTAAAATACTTTTTTTTAGTCAATAGTTTTGGATATATTGAATGACCTCTTCTAATAACATGTTTTATTTTAGTAATTTACAAGCATCTTGTAAAATATTAAATTAATTTTTAATTTTAATGTGTAATAAGATAGTACGAATTATTAGCATTCATTTTCTTAAATGAGAAAATATCCAAATGAGAAATGCCACTTTACAATTTTAAGGAAATACTTTTTTTACAATACCCATTTTCAAAAATATTTATACTAAATATATATTCAAAGATATTTTTTTTCCAAAAATGATTATCGATGTCTATGGCTAAATGGTTTTGTGGTGTTTGGCTCCTTGTTGTTGGTTAGGGTAGTACAAAGTTGGAGTTTCTGCTTTATTTCCAGTCTTTTGTGGTCTAGTTTCATCTTCTCTCGCCTAGTATCAGCTTGTGGAGGTAGCTTGTGGAGGTAGCTTGTGTTTCGATCCGGTTCGTTCTCTTGCCGTTTTCAGTCTTCGGTGTGGTGCGGATTGTATGGGCTCGGTCCTTGTCTCTACGTTTTAAAGATCTGATCGAGATCTCTTCATAGCATTGGTATCTTCTTAGGCGTTGACATGTTGTGGTTTCTTCACATTCTTCGATTTCGCCGCTTCCAGGAGTTGTGGTTGGTTCTACTTGTTTCGTCCTAGTTCCCCTCTTGCTGGTATGGATGCCTTGGTTCTCTTTGTGAGGTAGTATTCAATTGTTAAAGGAAGAGTCGCTCTCCGTTGCCGTGGAATTTCTCGCCCCCTTCGGTTAGCCACTTTGTCAAATTGTTCTCTCATGTGGTTTGGTGGTAGGCGAGTTGTTATGGTATTAGATTCTGGTTTTACTGCTTATGTTTCTCTTGTCTTAGTTATGTGTGTTTGGATTTGTATTTCCTAAGTTTCCCTTTTTTGGGCTTTAGTTTCCAAGGTAATCACGTTATCCGTCGGCTTAGTTTTTAGTATTGTTCAAGTCTTAGCTTGCGGGATCATTTCTTGGATCGCCGTTGTTGTATCTTTTATCATGAAATATAATCAATAACTTAGACGGAAAAAAAAGTCTATGGCGACGAGTACAATGGTTGGACCTCTAAAATTATTTTTAAATATTTATAGAACTTTTTAAATTATTTTAAAACGGTGTGAAACAATAAAATTAGATTTTCTAATTATCTCTATTAAAGCTTTTAATTTTTTTATAAAACTTTGTAAAAAGAGTATAATTGAAAATTGACAGCATTTGAGGTCATTTTTGAAAAGAAATACTGTAAAAGAAGTATTTTTGAAATTCTCCCAAACAAATTGTCTCAAAAATAATTAACTATAGGCATAGCAATGTTTTCAAAATGTATATCATCATAAACACTAGTATTATATAGTGTTTACCACTAATTATTATTTTTAAAAAAGAGAAATTGTTAAAAATGCCCCTTTTTCAATACCCCTTTTCAAAAATGCCCCCTTTGAGAGTCCATTTTTAAGTTTGCCCTTTTTTAATTTTTAATGACCATTTTACCCTTATTTGAAACAAAATTAGGTCCACAAAATACAAAATATTTTTTGGCGGGAAAAGTGATCCCGCAATTTTCCCGCCAAAACACTTGTAAAAAACCTTTAAAATACCTTGTAAAATTTTCCCGTAAAATTTTTCCCGCCAAAAAATTTTCCCGCCAAAAATTTTTTTTTGCGGGAAAAGTGATTCCGCAATTTTTTTTTTTGGCGGGAAAATTTTTGGCGGGAAAAATTTACAAGGTATTTTAAAGGTTTTTTACAAGTGTTTTGTTAGGTTTTACAATGTATTTTAAAAGGTTTTACAAGGTACTTATTAGGTTTTATAAGGTATTTATAACTTGTAAAACCTTATAAAAAACTTGTAAAACCTTATAACTTGTAAAAACCTTATAAAATAGCTTGTAAAATCTTATAATATCTTGTAAATACGTTGTAAAACCTTTTAAAATACATTGTAAAACCTTATAAATACCTTGTAAAAAACCTTTAAAATACCTTTAAAAATTTAACGCCAAAAAAATTGCGGAATCACTTTTCCCGCAAAAAAATTTTTTTGGCGGGAAAATTTTTTGGCGGGAAAAATTTTACGGGAAAATTTTACAAGGTATTTTAAAGGTTTTTTACAAGGTTTTACAAGTGTTTTGGCGGGATCAATTTTCCCGCCAAAAAATATTTTGTATTTTGTAGACCTAATTTTGTTATATTTCCTTATATATTTGTGATATATTTTATTAAAAGAAGGGTAATTTAGTCATTTTGTACATAAAAAGGGGTATTTTTAAAAATGGACAGCCAAAGGGGGCATTTTTGAAAAGGGGTATTGAAAAAGGGGCATTTTTGTGAGTCTCCCTTTAAAAAATGAGTTTAAGTGTTAAATTTCTATTACGTGAAAAAGTACCAAACTTGGAACACCAAAGCTTACGGATCAACTAAGGACAGGATGCCTAGGCGCAGTTTGTTTTCGACGTTTTTTAAATTGAACACTTAAACTAATTTTTAAAATATAATAGTGAAATTAACATTGTTTTAGTTAGAAACTATTAATTATTTTCTTAAAGTTTAAGTGTTAAATTTGTTTAAATTTTAGTAAAAATTATTATTATTTTTTAAAAATGAGTTTAAGTGTTAAATTTCTATTACGTGAAAACGTGCCAAACTTTGAACACCAAAGCTTACGGACCAACTAAGGACAGGATGCTTAGGCGCGGTTTGTTTTCGACGGTTTTAAAATTGAACACTTAAACTAATTTTTAAAATATAATAGTGAAATTAACATTGTTTTAGTTAGAAATTATTAATTATTTTCTTAAAGTTTAATTGTTAAATTTGTTTTAAATTTTAGTAAAAGTCAAAATTATTATGATTTATGATTAAAAAAAAGGTAAGAAAGAAAAGATACCTGGTGGTCGTGAAATCCTCAGGAGTCGTGGTTGTTCTGAAACTTGTTCTAAAAATATGATCTTCTCTTTGATTTAGTGAAACTTGTGCATCGAATAACCTTTCTTGCTCTTGCTGCAAGCTCTTCCGCCTCTCATTTAAAGTCTGTCGCTCAATAACCATCTCGTTCTCTTTCGTTTCAGACCTAAACCATGTAAAGAAAGAACCAACACAACAACTTAATCCCACACCTTAATAATACAATACAAGTACTAAAGTCCAGTTAACCGAGACAAAAGACTTACTCAGACTTGAAAGATGCAAGACGCCGAGTAAGATCATCTTCACGACTCTCATTCCTAAGACCAAAAGCAATTAGGAAAAAATAACTCACGTCAGATTCAAACCTACGGGCATAATCCTCAGCAGCTTCGACCGTAACAGCAGCTTGTCTCTGAAGAGCAACACGTTTCTTCTGAGCAGAAGCTTCCTCCGCCAATTCATCAACTCCAGAACAAATAGCACCATCTAAAGCCGCCTGAGGAGCGGGAACAACCTTAGGAACCCTAACCTGAACGGTACCTCCATTCAAAACCTTAGAAGAAACACAAGGATCCTTGAGAAACTCCTCCACTCGATTAACCTCTTTCGCATTGGCTCCACGGAGATCCCGAGAAAACCCTAAGGAGCAATAGCGGATCCGACGACTACAACAAAAGGACGCGATTAACAGAGAAAGACATAATAGTGAAGCGTTTAAGGCAGAGATAGTGATCATCATCGCCGATCAATCTAATTGGATCATCATCGGAATTCAAAGAGTTTCTGTATAAAGACATTCGAAGAAGAAGCGAGAAATAGAGAGAGTTTTGATATTTCTCTCTCAAGGAAGAAATAGAAGAAGCAAAGTGTTAATTAGGTATTATTGATCAATGTTATTATATATACACAAGAGATTACAATAGAGCCGTTGGAGGATTTATGTTTCCTTATGTCAATTTCCTTTTCTTTCGATGGCTTTATTTCCTTAAAATAATAAATTTATAATGTTAATAAATGAATATGTAATGATCAATCTGACTTCGAGGTTTGATTTTCTCCAATATAGCTTGAGATTTTCGAATTGGCTTTCCAATAGCTTTTTGGATTGAATTGTTTTTGTAGCAAAAAAAAGAAAACATGGATCTGAAATCTGAATCTGACTATGTATTAAACCGAATGATGTCATATTTTTCTTTTATTTTATTGTGTAGAATGTAAGAAGGGAAAAGAAAATACATCTGTGAAGCCAAATAAAAAAAGGGAAATTAAACAAAATACAATTATTTGATTTATTTCATTGGTTATATTATTTGGTGAATTATAAACAAGAAAGTACTCATATTGGTTGTATGTACTTATATATAATTCAATAAGCTCATTCAAAAATTCCCAAAAACAAGTATCTCAAATATTGTTAAAATTTACCCCCGGGACAAATCAACGAGCCATTTAAGAAAGAAAAAAAATATAACAAGTGAACAAATATAAAATAATTAATGGGCAACAAATTAAAATTTAGGGAGTTAAAATAGTGTTAATGAGAAGAGCGTCCTTGCAAAGCTTCAACAAGTTTGTGTTCCTACGAGCAAGCTCAGCATCGTTACCGGCACGATCGTTCAAAGCGTTTTCACAAGCCTCGCCATCGCTAATGGCCGTATTGAGCCAAATATCGACGTCGATGAACGAGTTTTGCATCAAAGCGGCTAGAGAATCGTCGAGCTGCGCGACCGCGTCCAAGTAATTCTTAGAGCAATCATCGAGGGTGTCTTCTAAAGCCGGCTCGAGGTTCTTTTGCTTTAGTTTGGCTTTGATGTAGAAAGATGTGTCCGAAGCATTCGAGGACGCGATGCTTAACGCGATCACGCCGAGTTTTGGTGCGGTTGCGGTTGCTGCCTCAGGACGGGACGTTAGGCTTGCAACGCAAAACGCTTTGTCTTCGGATTTCTCGCAGAGTTTCTCCGCTAAGGCTTTGCCTTTCTCGGTGAATGTCGGCGGTGGAGCTTTACCGGCGATGGCCACCGTGACGTAGACGGAGAGGAAAAGGAGAAAGATCCTTCCGGCCATTTTCATCGTTTCTTTTTTTCTTTCTCAACTTCTCTTCTCGTGGTTATTAATTGTTACAATCAAACTGAAAATTGGTTATTTAAAGAGCTTAGAGGAAGGTATTTTTAGGTTATTTCTATTTTTTATTAAACTTTTTTTTTACATCTGTTACTCTATTTTAAGTTTTTTTTCTTCCTCTCTCATTCTATCTTTAGGTTATTCGTGGTTTTTGCCATGCTTCTTAACTTGTTGGGTTCGGAGAGAATTGTGTTACGAGAAAGAAGGTCAACGCACATTTGTACATAGTCAATGATGGGCCTACCATGGTCTTATTTTGGGTTCCGTATGAATGTGTAGGTTTTGATGTAAATGTGTTCGTTCTAAATAACCTAAACGTTTTTGGTAAAAATGCGTATGGGTCTAAATAATTTAATTTTAACATGTTAAAAAAAAACGTTACAATATTATGAGTTAGATCAAATCAACTATTCGTTTGGGTGATTAGTGAAATTTGTGTTATGAGTCAACAACGCAGATGTTATATTCAAAACTAGGCCTATAATGGGCTTCGCAGAAAGCCCAATTAGAAAATGATTGGTTTTTGCGGAAGAGTGAGAGTAACCCTAGAAAATATCATATATAAAAGATATTGTCTTCTTCGATTAGCTCTTCTCCGCGAGAATCAGGGAGAGGCTAAAATGGTTTCGTTGAAGCTCCAGAAGCGTCTCGCATCGTCAGTGCTCAAGTGCGGGAAGAGAAAGGTATGGCTCGATCCGAACGAAGGAAGTGATATCTCCATGGCCAATTCGCGTACGTAACTCTTCATACTTTCAAATGTTGTTGAATTAGATTTTTCTCCATCTCGTGCTTGTTTTGATCTGCGATCGAAGCTTGTTGATAATGATAGTAGAAAATAGGATACTGTAGCTTAATTCGTAGGTGACGTTGAATGATTCGAATTCAGTCTGATGAAGTTGAGCTCGGAAATGGTGTTGCTATCAATTTGATTTTTGAAATTCTCTAAAAATTTCTTTAGTTTAAGCTTGTACAGATGTTATCATAGATTTTTTAGTTTTGGATTCACTGTGTTCTTCTCGGATTCATGGTCTATGGTTTCTATTTGTTACGGAATCAACATGCCATAGAACACTGTGGGATCATGATTATTGCTCATTTTTGATATGAAATGGTGATGCATCTATATGCATTTGACAATTTAGAGTAGTTCTGATTAAGGATTTTGGATTGTTATGTGACTTTAGGCCAAAACATCAGGAAACTTGTGAAGGATGGTTTCATCATCAGGAAGCCAACAAAGATCCACTCACGATCGAGAGCACGTCAATTGAATATAGCCAAGAGAAAGGGACGTCACTCTGGTTATGGTATGTAACATTTGACCAACATTCATCAAAACTTTCAGCTGATGTCTGATGCGGCTATTGTGTATAATGGTTAAGGTAAGAGGAAGGGTACCCGAGAGGCAAGGTTGCCAACAAAGGTATTGTGGATGAGGAGGATGAGAGTCCTGAGGCGTCTTTTGAAGAAGTATAGGGAGACCAAGAAGATTGACAGACATATGTACCATGACATGTACATGAAAGTCAAGGGAAACGTCTTCAAGAACAAGCGTGTCTTGATGGAAAGTATTCACAAGTCAAAGGCTGAGAAGGCTAGAGAGAAGACTTTGTCTGACCAGTTTGAGGCTAAGAGGGCTAAGAACAAGGCTAGCCGAGAAAGGAAACACGCTCGACGAGAGGAGCGTCTTGCTAAGGGTCCTGGAGGAGACATACCTGCCGCTGCACCACCGGCACAAACCGCTGAGTAAGCTTTGATCTTTATCGTATGTGAAACAAAATTGTTAATGTGTTGTGGCAACATTCTAAACTCTGTCATTTGGCTGTTTAATTTGTAGGGTACCTGCGAAAAAGTCTAAGAAGTGAGAAGCTTGCTCGGTAGTGAATTCTCTTATAAGCAGTGATTTTGAATGGTTTTTGTGATTCAGCTTTGTGAAAACTCTTTCTTTGCGACAAATATGAGAACCTTTGTCAGTAGTTTGTACTGTTTCAGGAGACTTAATTCTATCTTCAAGTCCTCTCTCAATCATCTCAGTAATACACTAGTATGTTTTAGCACATAATTACGGTTAAGCTTAGATCATAGGCGAATTAGAAGAGAAATTAAACATACTAATTGTCCATAAGATTCATCAAAATAATATTTGTAGATATTGTAAATCGAGGTTAAATAAGTATAAAACAAATCTTAACTTCTTTTTTTGTCAAAAAAATATATATAGAGATCTTTAAACAAACAAAGTAACAAACCCATGAAAAGTTTACAAATATTAAGTCCGGACTGAATCCGGTTAAGAACAAAACTTTTGAGGCAACAGCCAGGAAATAGAGAATATCCCTAAGTTGTTTGACTGTATAGTTGAACCCAGACAAACTCTTCCTTGTAGCTTAAGCTCGAGTCACACGAGTTCTCACACGTGTACACCACGATTGTTGCCCAATCGAGAGAGTCCCTATCGTTTTTCCCGCCGAAGAAGAACAGTAGCTGTGGCATAACCTGATAAAATCGCCATTAAAATGATCAATAAGACAATAACAGAGCCAAGCATCCAATATGCAAGAACAGAGAAATGAAATGGGGACAATTGTGTTTTTATTGGTTTAAAGTCAATTTGATTCAGCTAAAATTGTTTGTCAATACTTGACCGGTTTATAAAGATAAGTTAAAGAAGTCACTAAGACCAGGCTAAATACAAGTTTCATGAGAGAAGAGTTAATCAAATTTAGGTAAAAAAGGAAAGAATTACCTGAAATTCAAAACAACGAGGACCACCACAAGATTTGCAATTGGGAAGCTCAGATTTAGAGACTCGTCCGCTTGCTATTGGCCAAAGGGGTTTAGCACCAGAGCTCCGGGAATATCTGCATCAATATTTATTTCAAAAATTGATGTTATGAGAGAATCAAGAACAAAAGTATGCGGAAGATCACAACTTCTGTGTGTTTGAATCACACCTTAGAACTTGTTCAGGTGCTTTGGCTACACGTTGCTGGAAATTAACCCAAGTCTTTTTATCAGCATCTCCCTGTACAAGCATGGAAATTGAGAATCATTTGAGGCATTTTGAAGTTTGCAAAAATGGCCACGAGAAGTGACGTTACCTCAAAATCGTTCATTAGCGATTTCATTTGGTCATCAACTTCTCTCTTTGAGACCAAAGGTTTAGCTATTTCATCATCTCCTGACATCTCTGTATCATACTCACTTTCATCCTCGTTGATCATTACAAATTCTTTCCATAGACTCTTACTCGCAACTGCACTAACCGAAAAATTTCATATCACTAGTTACACACAGTTCCAAGGCTCGGAAAAGTTTGTGAATTTTGCTAACCTTTCTGCTTTTGAGTTAGAGCAACCCCATTATTGACTCGGCCTGATTCAGATGTTTCAATAACCGTTCGAAGCTGTTGGCATTCGGTTTTATGACCTAAACGCCAATGCAGGGCCTGGAAATCAGAAATGAGACCAGATTGTAAAACTTTATTAAAAAGAGCGGATCTAGCGGAACTACAGAAACTACGATGCACATATGTACACACCTGGTGTTTTTGTGAACAGTATCGAGCACTTTTGCAGCCACTACATAGTTTATCTCCTTTCCACGTTCCACACCAAGTGCAAAGCGGAGCTATAAAAGTGAAACAAACGATATCAAGAATTGACGATTAAAAGACAATTCTTGGAATTGAGTCAAATCCATCATTCAGTTCATAATACCTCCATCTCCCAATGGCTTGTCTGTTCCATCGTGCTTTGGAGCCTCACTCGAGTAAAAAGGATTAACCCGAGGCAATTGGCAACGGAAAACCTTCGTACTTTTGGAACAATAAAAAAACAGTACTTTAGTGTAACAACATCCCACTTGGAGAGGAGACAAACAAGACAAAGATACAATATCTAGTAAGAGGTTTCTTTCTACCTCCGCATAGCCTTCTCGGGGGCACGTTTCCATTGTTCATGTTGATCACGAAGGAGACAAGACATAGATGGACACATGAAGAGAAATAATGTCCGGTGAAAAGCTGATTCCTTATCCGTTAACGGAGCATAAAGCTGCCAAATATCCCCAAATCTCATAAATAAAACGACAAAAAGACATGCAAGAAACAACAAATTAGGTTGTATGAAACTCACCTGAAGTACAAATTGCATAGGTTCTTCACATAAATCACATAAAATTGACTTCCCTGAAGGTAAATTAACTGGATCCAACCATGCCTATAATCACAAATATCAACACAAAGAATCAAAACCTAAGAACATAAAGGAAGAAACACTTTGATTCTAAAATTGAAAGATGTTTTAACATAGTACCGGAACACCACCAGCTAGATTAGGGAACAGTTGACGAAGATTTGACCAAGTGAATTTAGGACTCTCTACGAAACCTAACATCACAGGTTCATAATCTTCGTCATCTTCCTCATCATCATCATCAAATTCATCCATGTTTGTCGGTTCCACCGCAGTTTCCTCATCGTCATCATCATCAAGCTGAGTTATTCGGAGGCCTTTGAAATCATCCATGGACTCTCCGTTGAAGCTACTCATCTCCTTTTTATGTGTTGAATTGATGAAATCAAGACTGCATAACAAAACAAGGAAATGAATTTTAGGGTTTTACTCTTTTATTCATAAACCTCTCAAAAGTATTTGGCAAGAAACAATGCACAAATCATAATCTGATAATGGGTTTTTCACAAAATACGAATTGACTATGTTACCAAAACTAAACTCACTGATTTTTCAAGATTTAAGAGCTCAATACTCAGCTAATTACAAATCCCAGAATTGGTACGAACAAAGGTTAAAAATGAGCTCACTATTTACGAATCACGAGATTCAAAACCCAAAAGAAACTTACAACACCAGTCTGTGATGGAGAGATGTTCTTCAGATAGCCTTTAAAGGTCGAATCTTCTTCTTCTATCAGTTTAAACAGTGGACATCTTTCACGAAGACGACGACGAAAGCATAAAACAAACGTCCCTTTGGCCCAAAAACAAACCCTAGTGTAAACGATGTCGTTTTAACGTTTAGGCCCATAATATCTTAAGCCCAATAAAGGTTACTAAATTGGTTGCGAATAAAAGAATAACCTTATCCTGGACAACCTTATCCCTAAAATCTCACCGGAACTTCCAATTCCCGTTCACTGGAGCTCTCTGTAAGCGACCATTCTCTGCTCTCTAGCTAATTCAGTCGAATCTAAATTGTGGGTCTGATTCTGTTTCTTACGAGAATCTGATTTCTGATTTCATAACTTGATTTCTCGATTTCAAAATTGTGTTCGTGAAATCGAACTTTTGCAGGTATAGAAGAAGGAGAAATTACATAATGAGCACACTTAGTAGAAACGAGAGATTAAGAACAGTGTGGACACCTGAAATGGATCAGTATTTCATCGAGCTAATGGTGGAACAAGTTAGAAAAGGCAACAGATTTGAAGATCATTTGTTTAGTAAACGAGCTTGGAAGTTCATGTCTTGTTCCTTCACTGCCAAGTTTAAGTTTCCTTATGGTAAAGATGTTTTGAAAAACAGGCATAAGACATTAAGGAACTTGTTTAAATCTGTGAATAATCTTTTGGGAGAAGATGGTTTTAGTTGGGATGATACTAGACAGCTGGTTGTTGCTGAGAATAGCGTTTGGGATGAGTATCTTAAGGTGCTTTTGCGTTTTGTTTACTTGTGATTTGTGTCTTATTCTCAGGGATTGATTTGTTTTTGCTTTTGATTTCTTGAAGATTCATCCTGATTCGAGATCTTTTCGGATAAAGCCGATACCTTATTACAAAGATCTGTGCTTGATTTACTCAGATGGAATGTCTGAGCACAAAGGTACAATCTTTAATCTTCCTTGTACATTCTTGTGAACAAAGATCAAAGATTCTTCTTCAGCCTTTAGATTCTTAAGTAATCTTTGAATGAATAAAATATGATTCAGCTGAGGAGAATATTACTGAGGGAGAAACCAAGACATTGATTCAGGAAGATGAAGGTTACAACAGGATATGTGAGTCGTCGTCAACAGTCATGTCTAACTCAAAAGGAAGCAGTGTCACACGGTGCAGGACTACTTGGCATCCTCCAATGGACCGGTATTTCATTGATCTGATGCTGGACCAAGCGAGGAGAGGAAATCAGGTTGAAGGTGTTTTTCGGAAACAAGCATGGACTGAGATGGTTAATCTCTTCAATGCGAAATTCGAGTCTAACTTTGATGTTGATGTGTTGAAGAACCGGTATAAGTCTCTGAGAAGGCAGTTCAACGCGATCAAGAGTATTCTTCGATCTGATGGGTTTGCTTGGGATAATGAGCGTCAAATGGTTACAGCTGATTATAATGTATGGCAAGACTATATAAAGGTAACTAATTGCTCTGATATATGCTGTGTGTTTAGTAACAGTGTTTGGTCTCTGTTTTGAAGTGTGTTCTTGTCTGATACAATTACAGGCTCATAGAGATGCAAGGCAATTTATGACTCGGCCAATTCCATACTATAAAGATCTGTGTGTGCTCTGTGGCGATTCTGGGGTCGAAGAAAACGACTGCTTTGTAGCTATGGATTGGTTTGATCCTGAAACTGAATTCCAAGAATTCAAGTCCAGTGGTACTACAGATTTATCAATTTCAGCTGAGGAAGAAGATAGCAACTCTCTTTTGTTTGACCCCAAGAACAAAAGAGATCAACTTGCTAATACTGATACAAGCCCTGTAAACCCAAAGAAGCCTCGAGTTGATGAAACCCAAACCATGGCGATAGAGGACACGGTTGAGGCTATTCAAGCGTTACCAGACATGGATGATGAACTTATATTAGATGCTTGTGATCTGCTTGAAGATGAACTCAAAGCAAAAACTTTCTTGGCTCTAGATGTGAAACTACGCAAGAAGTGGTTGTTAAGGAAACTCCGACCTCAAGTAACTTAAGGATTATGAGCAAAGTATAAGTTTGAAGATAAACAGAAGCTCATTGGCTTATATTATAGACTACTCTAGTGTACTTTGCCAGAGTTTCATATACAAATACTTAACTAAGAGCAACAAAGATTCAAACAATGTATCACATCTTCTCTTATACTTACTCAGAAGTTGTAAATGTGATCAAATATGGCTGATGATATTAAACCTTGTACAAACTCTCTCTTCTTTGCCTTCTCTAGTAGCTCTGTATCTGACAAGGGAGACATCGATTTCCAGTCTCTGAGCACACAAAAATACAAAATGAATCTTTAGACAAGGTTTGAGAAGGTGAGAGAAGGCACGAGAATCACGAAAATGTCAAAGAGTTGCTTACTTTTTTGTTGAATCCCTTATAGATCTCTTGTCTTCCATGCATGCTTCACTTGATGAATCAGGCAGTACAAGCTTGGACTGGTTTGGTGATGGCGGATTGTAGATAAATGATAATAATGGGTCTGGAACACTTTTAGATGTACGATTAGTAGACAGTGGCTCATCGATTAGAGACTTTAAATATTTCTTAGTCCTTGGAGAAAATGCAGAATATGACTCATCCTTGGAAAGTCCTTGCTTTTGTTCAAGGTAAGTTTTCGTCAAGGAAAATCGATATAAACATACCAAGATTTAGAATAAGCACAAAAAGACTCTTAAGTTTTCTACTAAATGGTTGAAAAGGCAAGAAGAGTAAATTAAAAAGGATATCTTTAATACATCTCTATGCTGCGTGGTAATGTGATCAACCATATGCATCTTCACCCGTCTGCTACAAACCGGACATATCTACATCACAAACAAAGCTGAATTTATAAGAAGTTATTACATTCATCATCACCAAAAGACTATTTTCATTTCTCGGATCCAAAGATGATCTCTTTAAGCTCAAAAAGGTATTGGAGACCCCGAGGCACAGCGTTTCGCACACCAAACACTAAACAACTACAAAATGGTTCCACAGAGCATCAGGCAAATGATCCAAATGAACTAAAATCCAAGAAGTCCCTACCCTCTCATTACAGAATCGCAATCCTACCTACTAAAGTAAGCATGCAAACCAATAGAGTACAATGAACATCACACGATAAATAGTCTAAACTCACAACTAACTGCTTCATATAAAACCTCTATGTCTAATGAAAAGAAAAGCAAATAAATTTAGAGATGGATATGCATTGCAATTACCCCATTGTTAGCGTCTAGTTGATGCTCCTCGTCGATATGGTGACACAATTCTACTAAATCATAATCATCTGAGCAAAACGGGCATGGATAATCCACCGCCATTTCATCATCTCCTTCAACATCTTCAAACTCAATACATGAACCTTTTTAAAAGTTTCAAAAAACCATAATTAACACCACAAAATCCAGAAAAAGTCACAAGATTTTAAAGAAGTTCACCATCACAAAACCTTAATCAATTCAAAACAAAAATTCTACCCATAAAGCAACAAAATTTAAACCCACTAGACCTTAATGGCCAAAAGAATTGAAATTTGATAAAGAAATTAAAACCACCTGCATAGAAACCCTAAAAAATAAAGCTAAATCCAATTGGAAAAAAAAGAAGGGATTTTTTCACTAACCAGACTGATACTTGGCAAGTTCTTCTAACCGATATTTCTTCGAAGAATCAAACCCACAAATGCCCAACAAATCTTCTTCCATTAGATTCTGAATCCAGAAAAAAAAAAGAACCTGGACTGAAAATCTCAGATCAATTTACTTAATTAAATGAGCATATCCTTCCTCCGTATATTTATTAGCATCTGTCAGGTTTACTTTGTTCAGTCTGAAAGTGCGAGGAAACACACCTAAAAGTCGAGACCTTTAAATGTGGTCTCTTTTCATTTCTCTGACGACAGATTCCATGGACACGAATCTATTGAGCTAAAGCCAAAATGACCAAACTACCCCTAATAGGTCACTAAAGCTTTTTAGTTTTTAAACCCGTACCACCGTCCCTTTGTTGACTTTTAGCCGCGCATGAATCCACGGGCATATTCGTCTTTGCGTCACCGTCTTAAAACGTGTGCTCCACACACTTATATTGACCCTATCGCGCAAGTGGTTATAAAGCCCAATATATAATTGGGCCTAAAAAAGCCCATATATTAAAGGCCTAATAATTCTCCTTCGTCGTTAAGTCTGTAACACGCGGCTAAAGTTGGAAACGTTATTTGCGATTCAGATTCGTTTGCTTTTTCCGACGACACAAGCTCCGAATCCGATCTTGTTTATTTTTCCGGGAAAATCTTACAGTAGATACTTTGTTGAGAATCATTTGATTTGGCATTGATGGCGACGAGGAATCGAACGACGGTGTACCGGAAACACAGGGATGCGTGTAAGAGCGCGCGTGCTCCGTTATCTTTATCGGCGTCTGATTCGTTCGGTGGTCCGGTGATCGAAATGGTTAGCGGTTCGTTTTCTCGGTCAAATCACTCCTCTTATGCTCCTTTGAATTCCAATGATCCTGGTCCATCAAGGTAATAATATAAGGGTTCTTGCTTGTTATTTGAATCTGCAAAAATTGGGGAATTCTAGGAAATATAATAGAGCAAACACGGAATTGATTCGAAATTTTTTGATTGAATTGAACTATGTAGACTAGTTTAGGGTTTAAAAGCTTTGTTTTCTTGCTTTTGATATATTTTTTGCAGTAGCGATGCATTCACAATTGGTATGCCACCAGCTTGGGTTGACGATTCTGAGGAGATAACATATAATATACAAAAGGTGCGAGACAAAATGAATGAACTAGCTAAGGCACATTCGAAGGCACTCATGCCTACATTTGGAGATAACAAAGGGATTCATCGTGAAGTCGAGATGCTCACTCATGAAATCACAGATTTGTTGAGGAAGTCAGAAAAGAGATTGCAGAATTTATCTACTAGAGGGCCTTCTGAAGAATCAAATCTCAGGAAAAATGTGCAGGTATTGTTGGACTTTTTCGATATCGAGCTTGTTAACGATAAAGAATGCATGGCCATTACCTTTTCTTTTGTGTTTTTAGAGAATAAGATAAGGAGTTTTGGGTTAAATCATTCTCATATGTATTGACTACTAATCTAGTTGACATTATCAGTCAGCAAAATGTATGAAGTAAATTTGTGTTTTTTTTTTCTCTTCTATATAACTACTTTGGGCTATTCTATGTTTTGAGTTTGTAGCATGAGGTTAAAGTTCTGTCTACATGTATAGTGGGGCTCTCCAATGGACTTGACCTACTTTTTGGCATACTGTTTTTGACAGCGTTCTCTTGCAACAGATCTTCAAAACCTTTCCATGGAGCTCCGCAGAAAACAGTCTACTTATTTAAAACGTCTGCAGCAGCAGAAAGAGGTATGTTTCCCTTATTTTCAAGAAACAAACAAAAAAAAAAGCTTTGATTCTTGAGACATGCATGTACCCTAATATGATGTTCTTATTTGTATTTGGCTTCTCTAATCATAGGGTCAGGATGAAGTAGATTTAGAGTTTAACGTGAATGGAAAGATGTCGAGACTGGATGAAGAGGATGAACTTGGTGGGATGGTAATTACGATTCACTTGTTTTGTAAAACTATATATCGTTGACATTAAGAAACACTTCTTATGGTTATCATGCTAGAACGATTCATTTTTTTTAATCAATTATCATTGCCTTCCTTACTCTGCCAATACCATAATAAGACTCACTGGTCTTCAATAAATTGTAGGGTTTCGATGAACACCAGACTATCAAGTTGAAGGAAGGGCAACATGTCTCAGCGGAAAGGGAACGAGAGATACAACAGGTAATGAAAGTTGTTACTCCACCATATTTAGGAAGCTGCGTGCTTCACATTTTGATGGTGATTAACTTCAGATTTCTGTCTAGGTTCTGGGTTCCGTGAACGACCTTGCACAGATAATGAAAGACTTATCAGCCCTTGTGATTGACCAGGTGCCTAGCTTATTCATTAAAAGGCATATGAATTACATAACTGGGGATACAGAGTTTTTGTTGGTTTCTCAACAATTAGTTTTCTTATGTTCTTGTATCAATTAGGGCACGATTGTTGATCGTATAGACTACAATATCCAAAATGTTTCTACGTCGGTTGAGGAAGGCTATAAACAACTACAAAAGGTTTGATTCTTTACCACAAACTCATAAGATTTTGTGAGTACTACAGATTTTTCACCTTATAACAGAGACATATTTCAATTTTTGAATAGGCGGAGAGAACACAGAGAGAAGGAGCAATGGTGAAATGTGCGACGATACTCCTTGTACTCTGTTTCATAATGATTGTTCTTTTAATCCTTAAGAATATTTTGTTTTAGTCATATACCAACAATTTTAAAAGAAAAACTGCTTTTCTTTTGTTGTAACAAACCGTAACCTTGTCTTTTTTTTTTTTTTAACAACTACTGAAACTTTTATTAGATGGTATAAGGTTTATACAAATATGGAATCAGACAAGGAGGGGGAACAGAATACAAGTGATATAAAGAAGAAATAGTGAGAGTATGTTGAGCCATTTTATCTGCAGCACTGTTCCTTTCTCGATTGAATTGAATTCCCATTTTCCCAACCGTTTTACTAAAACTGTAGAAGTATATTGTGTAGACCGTAAACGGCTAATTAGTTAAAACACCATAGGGAAATAAATTGACACTATAACTTGTCACAAGTTTTGTGTGTGTGAAGCCAGTACTCTCGTCACAAGTTTTGTGTCTCGTGTTAAACAAAATTTGTGACACGTTTTTGTCTCGCATGACACATTTTGTGTCTAGTTTACAGAGGCAGCTAAGACGCTAGGATTTGAGAATCCCTTTGAACAAGAGTACTCCTCTCAGTGCTATGCAAACACAAGTTCTTTGGGTAACTAGGGTTACCTCTTTTTGGTTTTTATTGATTTTCTTAAAACAAAAGACTGAAGAACAAAGACTCGATTCCTCCTTGGACCAGGAGTCACAACGGGAAACCTTGACAAAAAATAAGTGGAAAAAGATTCAAACGACCCTAATAATTTGTTGAACACAAAAACGTGTGTGACACACAAAGCCCAAAACCAAACATCAAATAAAATCCCAACAACTTGTCGAAAAAGAAAGCCAGAAACGTGTTGCACAAAAGCCCTAAAAGAATCCAAGGATGCACTGCATCATCAGTCTCTCTTTGTAAAACGCTTTATGCAAACATCAGAGCAAAGGTATGAATCTGAGGTTTCAGGTATCTTATAGATGATAGGGTACATGCAATGCGACTTACACTGCCTGCAAAACGGGCGAGATACATTCTTGTTGAGAACAACCTCATATGATCCTGTCTCAGCCTTTATTACGCTTCCTGGCATGACCCCTGAAAAGTCTCCGACCACACACTCTGTGTGCATACTAGCCCACTGATCTTTACATGTGTAGAACCATTTCTCTGGATTCATTTTTTTCTCACAAATCTCACACCAATATATACCATTTGCCTTTTCGCCATAGCATAGTGAGAGAGGATAATCGTCAACTCTATGCATTACCACTAGTGGTAAAGTGGCGCATTTGAAGCATAAGAAAAATCCACAACCATCTTCAATGCACATGAGCATTCTAGTTCCCGACATGTTACAACCATTGCAGACTTCTTCTATCTCTGGTGAAATGTAATATAAGGGATGATCGGGATGACTTGGATGGACAAATGGCTCCAATACTGAACAGCATATGACATCTAATTTCATATCCCCAGATTGGTAACTGAAACCATTGGAGATTCTACCACAAACATTACACAAAAAGTGACCAACCTCGCGTGTAAATAAAGTAAGACGTTCATTGTGTAGCACATGTCGTTTCCTTTTAGGAAATTTAGCACAGTTTTGGTGAAGAATGAAGTCACATTCCATACAACCATAGAAGGATTCGAGACAAACGGAATGGGTGCATGCGCTGCACCGCTTGTTTACATCACATAGATCACCATTAACGTGGAGTCTTAGGTAATGCTCTTCGTGGCTGAAATGTTTTATTGTGTTGTCATCTATTTCCACATACGGCTCAATATCTTCGGTTTCTTCAGGTGCTCCTTCGAGTTCTTTCCCGTTCCACACATCATTTCTGGTAGCACATTTGGAATGAACGACATAGTCAGAACACATTTGACAAGAATAACCCCCCCAAGTCCAATCTACCTTTTGGCGACAAACTCCACACACAGAATTTACAAGACCAAGAAGATTAGTGCGAGAAACACGGTGATCATGCCGATTTATGTTTATAAGGCGTGGAAGGGCAACACATTCTTGGTGGATGATGAAATTACATTCAACACATATGTAAGGGCTTCGATCTCCCTTCAGCCCACAAGCATTACATGTAAAAGAATCGAGTCTTGGGAGAAGAGTGAGTTTGTGATCATGAGTTTTCGAATCCGTAAAAGATATTAATGGCGGGTTTAAAGCACAACGCATATCCAAGGTGAAGTTACATGGAGAACAATGATAAAACAATGGGCTATCGATCTTTTTTTCGCAAAGACGACATTTTCCATCAGAATAGTCTGGTAGTTGACCTGTGAGAATAAGCTTAAGAGGGTGCAAGGAGTGACAAGAGTGATTCTTTACCTCTAGCGGGTGGATTACCTCCGACAGGTGTTTTACCTCGAATGGATGCCAGACACAATCGATATGAAAGGTTAAACCACATTCAAGACATTTGTAAGGAAAGCCATAACCAATCTCCTCACATTTAGCATCACAAGAAAACTCGATCTTCTCCTTGAGAAGGGTGAGCTTGTGGAATTGGTGTCTCAGAATTTTCAATAACCTCTGGTGGTGGGTACTTTTCACAGTATAGATATCCAGGTCGAAGTTATCAAAATGATAGCATAGATCCTTAATGTCCCTTCCACATAAATTACAATAACTATATGTTTGTTTACTTTGAAGCTGAAGAGTGTTAGCGGGGTGAGATGGATGCTCGATATATTCGGATGACTCGCCACATGTCTTGTGGACGAAAAAATCGCAGCCTTGGCAATAGTAGCCATCGCTGGTCCGCAGATCACTATTCCATGGAATCATAAGATTTGGTAGCCATCCAAAGGTCAAATGTACCTATCCGTTCCTTCACCCAAGTAATTTCTTCTTTATGGCTCTGATACCAATTTGTTTGGATTTAACTCGAATCACATACAGTTCCCGTGTGACACGCTATATGTATTTACGAGCTCAATACCAAAAATGGTACCTACGTGATTCTCTTATGAACTCAAGCTCAAATGTACAACAATGCTGAATCGCTCTCAATCACAGAATCACTTCTTCCCGGTTTATAGCTCACCGAAACAGAGTATTGAAAAAGTTGTAACAGAAAATAAACAGACTCAAAAAAAAAAAAAACAGACTCCACGTGATTATTGTGTTTCGAAGACTCTAGCTCACTCCGAAGCTTTGCAATAAACATATTTTCTAGCTTTTTCTTTTTAGCTTTTCTTCACCACCTCTACTTAGATTGATTCTAACCAACCAGTACGTAAGTACTAAATTAAGTCGTATGCTTCATTGAGTCATTGAGTGGATGAGATCATATGAACTTTGTATCCGAAATGTTGTATCGGTTCTTGTTCGTTCCGTTTTGTTTAATCAAGCTGAAGCCATTCAGTTTTCCCAATCAATTATCATTGCCTTCATTACTCTGCCAATACCGTAATGAGAATCACCAGTTAGTCTTCAACAAATTTTAGGGTTTTGATGAACATCAGACAAATCAAGTTGAAGAAAGGGTAACATGCATTTCTCAGCAGAAAAGGAAAGAGAGATACAGCAGGTAACTTAAAGGATGTTACTCAACCATATTTTAGGAAGCAGCTTGCTTAACATTTCAATGGTGATTCACTTTAGATTTCTCTTTAGGTTTTGGGATCCGTGAATGACCTTGCACAGATAATGAAGGACTTAATTATCAGCTCTTGTGATTGACCAGGTTTCGAGCTGACTCATTAAAAGGGATATGAATCACATTGATGGATTGCAGAGTTTTTGTTGGTTTCTCAACAATTAGTTTTCTTATGATTTTTTTTTTTTTTTGGTAGGAATTAGTTTTCTTATGTTTTTGTATCAATTACGGCATTATTGTTGATTCGATAGATTACAATATCCAAAATGTACAACTACAAAAACTCTTTACGTTTTTGTGAGTACTGCATATTTCATTCTAGTGCGTTGTAGTTAACAATTGTTTGTATGAATTGTTGACGTTTTTACTTAAATAGATGTTGAGTAAAAAATGTAGCTGATCATAAAAGTAATCCTAGTAAATTCGCAATTTTCTTGTTTTTGGTCTTATGATTTTTGAACAGACAAGACTGATATTATTTGTCATTTGTCAAGGTGAAATTATTTACAGTTTGATTCTGCGAGTCCAAAAGTCTAGATGATTCCTAAAAGTAGTCATCGCAATTTCTTGTTTTTAGTCTTCAAATTTTCAACAGATAAGACTGATAGTATTGTGTTCTTTCAATTTTATCGCAAGATTCTGAAGAAATCGAAAGGCTGAATACATTAGAAACATGTAAGTCATTTCAAATAAAGATTGCAAGATTCTTAGATAATAATAATACATCAAGGAAATCAACTCATAAATGGAAATAAATATGCAAAGAAATCTAAAAGAAAAACCTGGTTTCACATGCTTTTTATTTCAGTTTGCGCTTTAACAGTCTGGCTTCTTCTACACCCGATACTGACTCCCTCTTTTGCAAGCATCTTAAAGAGCAATAGTATTCATCTGAGGTTCCAACCGTCTTCAAGATGTTTGGAAAAATGCAACGCAACTGGCACCAGTAGCAATATGGACGAGATATACTATTATTGAGCACCACCTCAAAAGATCTGACCCAACTCTTAATTGTGCTTTTGGGCATGATCTGTGAACAGTCTCCGAGCACACACTTTGTATGCAAACTAGCCCGGTGGTCTTTACACGTGTAGAACCATGTCTCTGGATTGGTTTCTCTTTCACAAATGTCACACCAGAATTTACCACTAGCCTTTTCGCCATAGCATAGTGAGAGAGGATGATCGTCAACTCTATGCTTTACCACTTGTGGAATAGTGGCGCATTTGAAACATAAGGAAAATCTACAATCATCTTCAATGCACCTTAGCACATAATAACAACTCTGGTTGCAGCCATTGCAAGAAATCTCTCCATCTGGTAAAGTGTAATATAAGGGATGATCGGAATGACTTGGATGGACAAACGGCTCAGAAATTGAGCCGCACCAAACATCGAATGTCATGTTCCCATGCTGGTACCTGAAACCATTGGAAATTCTACTACAAGCATCACACCAAAAGACTTTAGTCTCGTTAGTAACTAAAGTAAGACGTTCATTGTGTAGCACATGCCATTTCATTCTAAGAAACCCAGCGCAGTTTTGGTGGAGAATGAAGTCACAATCCATACAGCTGTAGAAGGACTGGAGACAGATGGGATGGGTGCATGCTCTGCACCGCTTGTTGTCGTCACAAAGAACACCATTAACGTGGAGTCTTAGGTAATGCTCTTTGTGGCTGAAATGTTGTATTGTGTTGTCGTCTATTACAACATATGGCTCTATATCTTCTGTTTCTTCGGGTACTCCTTCGAGTTCTTTCCCGTTCCACACATCAGATCTAGTGGCACATTTTGAATGAACAACATATCCAGGACACCGCTGACAAGAAAAACCTCCACAAGTCCAATCCACCTTCTGGCGACAAACTCCACATATAGAATTCATAACACCAAGAACAGAAGTTCGAGAAACTCGATGATCATGCCGATTAATGTTTATGACGCGTGGAAGGTCAAGACAGTCTTGATGGATCATAAAGTCACATTGAAGACATACGTAAGGGCTTCGATCGCCACTCAACCCGCAAGCGTTACATGTAAAAGAACGGAGTCTTGGAAGAAGGGTGAGTTGGTGGTCATGAGCTTTCAAATTCAGAAGAGATTGTGGTGGTGGATTTAAAACACAACGCAGATCCAAGGTGAAGTTGCACAAAGAACAATGGTAAAACAATCTATCATCAATTTTTCTTGCGCAAAGACGACATGTTCCATCAGAATAGTCCGGTGGTTGGCCTGTGTGGAGCTTAAGAGGGTGCCAGGGGTGGTAAGAGTGGTTTACCTCTAAAGGGTGATTTACCTCTGGCGGATGCCATACGCAATCCACATGGAAGGATAAATCACATTCGGGACATTTGTAAGAAAACCCATAACCAATCATGCCACATTTAGCATCACAATCAAACTCGATTTTTTTTTTGAGAAGGGTGAGCTTGTGGTGATGCGTTTCGGAAATGTCAATAACCTCTGGTGGTGGGTACCTTGCACAGTATAGATCCAAATGGAATAGAGAATGATAACAAATATACCACGCATTCATACCTTCCCACCTTCCACATAAATTGCAACTTTCTATAGGATGACTTCGAAGCTCAAGACTGTAATCGGGGTGAGATGGGTGTTTGATGAATTCGAAGGACTCGCCACATTTCTTGTGTACAAAAAAATCGCAGCTTTTGCAATAGAAGCCGTCAGTGTCAGATTCCAAGCTTTGACAACAATCTCCTTTCCTCAGATCATTCCAAGGCATCATTAGATGCTCGTGAAAAACCGGTAGTAACACTCCCTTAGAATTCACAACACCAGGAACAGAAATTCGAGAAACACGGTGTTCATGCCGATTAATGTTTATGACGCGTGGTAAGTCAAGACAGTCTTGATGAATCATGAAATCACATTGAACACAAGTGTAAGGGCTTCGATCTCCATCCAGCCCACAAGCATTACATGTAAATGAAAAGAGTCTTGGGAGAAGGGTGAGTTGATGATCATGAGCATTTAAATTCAGAAGAGATTGTTGTGGTGGGTTTAAAACGCAACGCATATCCAAGGTGAAGTTGCAGGGAGAACAATGATAAAACAATCTTTCATCAATGTTTCTTGCGCAAAGACGACATTTTCCGTCAGAATTGTCCGGTAGTTGACCTGTGAGGAGCTTAAGAGGGTGTAGGGAGTGATAAGAATGGTTTACCTCCGACGGGTGTTTTAGCTCCGATGGGCGCCATACGCAATCCACATGGAAAGGTAATTGACATTCATAACATACGTAAGGAAACTCAGCACCAGTAATCTTCCCACATTTAGCATCACAGTTGAACTCGATCAGCTCCTTGTGAAGGTTGAGCTTGTGGTGATGCGTCTCGGGAATGTCAAGAACCTCTGGTGGTGGGTACTTGGCACAGTATAGATCCACATCGAAGTCACAGAGATCACAACGATAGAATAAGTCACTGATGCGCCTTCCACATAAATTGCAGTTATTACATCCTTCACTTCGAAGCTGAAGAGTGTGATCGGGGTGAGATGGGTGTTTGATAAATTCGGAGGACTCACCACATTTCTTGTGGACGAAAAAATCGCAGCTTTTGCAATAATAGCCAGTACTAATAGCTTCCAAGAGTCCACAGCAATCACCTTTCCTTAGATCATTCCAAGGCATCATAAGATGTTCGTGGACCAACGGCATTAACACTCCCTCAGAATCCATTGTCGTATACTACGAAATTTGAAAATAGACAAATAGTAGAAGAAGAAAAAGAAGAAGAAGAAGAAGAAGAAGAAGAAGAAGAAGTTGGATCTGAAATCTCCAAGCAATGCTCCTTTCACGTTTCTTTCTCTCTCACAAAAAAGTCTTCTCTCGTTAATCTCAACGATCGATGCTCTTACAAAATTGTTATATTTTAATATTATGGTTGGAGTTGTACGATAGTGACAATATAACTAATCATATAAGTATATTATTAAAACGAACCACTTGTAAAAATTAGTAACTTTTGATGTTTTAGCTGTCCTCGTAGCAATTTGAAAGGCCAACTGTTCCATCTAGGCCTGGGCATTCGGATTTCGGATCGGATTCGGTTCGGATTTATTCGGATTCGGATAGGAGATTTTATTATCCGTTCAGATTTTATGACTATTCGGATCGGGTTCGGTTCGGATAGTGTCGGATTCGGATCGGTTTCGGATCTGTTTTATGAGAAAAAAAAAACTAAAAAAATGTTCAGTTTAAATAAAAAAAATAGTTTAATTTTACTAAAATTTGGCTAAGTTTTCCAAAAATATGTATAATTTTAACAAATATAACTAAAAACTTTCCGATATCTAGATTATTTAAGATATTTTTGTTATTTGTTATAAAATTATAGCTAAATATAACTAATATTTTTGGATATATAATTTTATTTTCGGTTTTCGGATATCTTTTCGGTTTTCGGTTCGGATCGCGTTCGGTTCGGATAATTCGGATAGGAGAATTCATTATCCGTTCGGGTTTTGTGACTATTCGGTTCGGATTCGGAGCCAGATTTTTTGGATCGGTTTCGGATCAGTTTTCGGATTTCAGATTTTATGCCCAGGCCTAGTTCCATCGGTTCCCTCACCCTAAGTAATTTCATCTCCAAGTTGCTTTTAATATCAGAAGAAACAATTTTAAAAAAAAATCTTCGATAGTCTCATAAATGTTGTTAATATCATTCTTCTCGTGGGTCTATTCAATAACAATAAGTTAAATCACTAAATGTAGTATAGAAATTGATAATATAATTATTATGAGCAAAAAAAAATTGCAAAATCCTTAGTTGTCCAAAATAGGTGATGAAGAGACACTTGCAAATATAGTCTACTTTGGAATTTTAATTCGATGAAACAGAATTTGTAGATTATTAACAAATCGTTTTCCCTGAGGATGAAAGTTAAAAACTCAAACACTAAGCTTGGGGCAGAAATCTTTACTTACAAAAGGAGAAGTAAACTCGTCGAAACAAGCCATCCTGATACGCTCTGGAGTCGCAGGAGTGTCCAGTGGGAACCATTTGTTGCTAAGACCCATCTCGGCTCTAGCCGCTCTGATTGCATCTTTAATCGCAAAGAAGACCGATGATGCTAGAAAGAACGGAGGCTCACCAACTGCTTTTGATGAATGTATCCCCTTTGAATTTGGATTCCCCTAATGAAATTGAAAACCTCTTGGGTCAGTTTCTACACTAGCATGTAGAAAAGCTTTTTGATTATAGTGGCATGTACCTTGAGAAGAGAAACCTTGAAGTTGAATGGAATGTCGTTAATGGTAGGTATTTTGTAGTTTCCAGGTCCGCAAGTGAGTAGATTTCCCGGTTTAATCCATTTATGAGCTGCATCTCCCCATTTGAGTTCTTCTAAAGCTACCCAACCTAGCCCTTGTACGAATGCTCCTTCTATCTGCAAAATGGTGAGAATTTTCAGAACTCAGAAACAACACAACCTAACTTTTCTTATGACTTTCAGTAGGTTTTTTTAAGAGAAGAAGAGCACGCACTTGTCCAATATCGATGGCTGGGTTAAGAGAATATCCGAGGTCCAATATTATATCAACCGTTCTTGTCTGAAAATCACCAGTCAATGTATCGATCTCAACTTCAGCAAATGCGGCTCCATATGTATAATACCTAAATGGGTTCCCTTTTCCAGATATCCAGTCATAGCCAATATCGGGAACGATGTGAAAACCGTGAGCAGAGAGGTCTATGCGTTGAAAATAGCACGCGCCTGCCAGCTACATAACCCTCAAGAGTAGTCAGATGAAGATAGCTTTTCATCAAAATGCAAACAAATTCCAGGACTCAACGACAATTACCTCAGCAAAAGAGTTGGTATTGAGCTTAGATGCAACAGGCTCCATTTGTGCTTTGATCTGCTCACAAGCATCCAAAACTGCAGCACCGTACATGTCAGAGCTCACAGAAGCAGCAGTTGGTGACGCATTTGGAACCTATCAAAAAAGACAGTAAACAATAAGAGAGCAAGAACAATTTCGTGCTCTGCCTGGAACAAACTTTCATCTCAAAGTTCTAGCAGACATATAAATGTACCTTGTCGGTACTCGTCTCTGACACAAAAACCGAACTAAGGGGAATGTTAAAGGCAGATGCGGCAACTTGGGCAACCTTTGTATGCAATCCTTGACCCATTTCCACGCCTCCATGTGTCACCAAAACAGTACCGTCTGTGTAAACATGAACAAGAGCACCAGCCTAAATAACAAAATCAAAATGGATGAGTATACAAAAACTCAGATTCTATATTTATAAGGAACGGTAGTGCAATGGTTAGATTCCCGTGGAAGATTTTTCTTATTATTGTCAGTTTTTGGGTAGATAACTAAAACTGAACTAAAAAGAGATACCTTAAACAAAAATTACCTGGTTCATGAATTTTTTGGTAAATGATACGCCAAATTTTGTGGGAATCATAGCCACACCACGCTTTTTCCACCGATTATGACTATTAAACTCGTTGACTTCGCTACGAGCCTTTAGAAAGTTGCAGGATACTTTCAGCTCCTTCCACAGCTGATGCAGTGTGCAATGCTGAAGATACTGAGAGTAATGTGTCATAGAACCTTCCACTTGAAAGTTCATCTCCTAAAGTTTGGCAAATACCCAAGAAAACATCAAAAATAGGAAACCAAGAAAAGGATGAAAAATTCCTTCAAACTTTCAAGAAATTGAAGATTAAGAAAAAACATTCAACTCACTTTGATTTCTTCAGGGCTTCTATCAAGTTCAGCTGCGATTCGCTGAATCCAATTTTCAGTTATAAGCATACCTTGAGGCCCTCCAAACCCTCGGAAAGCAGTGTTGCTAGGAAAATTAGTAAAGCAAACGCTCCCTGTGATCCTCACATGTGGGATCTCGTAAACATTATCCGAGTGAAACATGGCAATTTTGAGAATAGCAGAGGAAAGATCCAAAGAGTTTCCACCATTGTTGTAGATTTCAAGGTCATACGCCAATATTTTTCCTTCATTCGTAAATCCTACCTATAAACAATAGCAGAATAACAATTAGAAAAAATCTTTTGTCTAACGATCTATTCCCACTATTTCTTTTATTCCCAACTGTCAGTTATTTCCCATAGATGAAACACAATCTGCTGACTAATGGATTCCACAGCTTAAGAGTGCCAAGGAAAAACTGGAAACATCAGAGGAAGATACCTTGTACTTTCCAATAAAACTATGACGATGACCAGATATCATCATGTCCACATCTCTGTCCAGTATGAGTTTCACAGGTCGATTCAGCAGGTAGGAAGGAACAGAAGCTGCAGCAGCTATGAAGCCCGATCTCGTTTCCTTACCACCAAAGCCACCACCAATTCGTTTGGTTTTGCATACCACTTTAGACATTGGCAGACCGAGCACACGAGAAACATAGTTCTGGTGCCTATGAGGATCCTACACATACAATAACCAATATTGCCTACGTCGAAACAACATTTTCATTTAAATCATAGACTCATAGTCTAGCTTATGCCCTTATGGTTTTCTGTTACAGAGAGCTTATGGCCATCTACTGGTCTTAGGAAGCAATAAAATGAATTTGACTCTGTAAAGCATATGACAGTATGCTATTCTAATCCTACGCTAGACAACAATAAATTTTATATGACGTAATTACTAAGTAGGTAGGATACTTACTTGAGTGGATGAGAGCATATGAACTTCGTTGCCTCCATCAATTGTCCAAACTAAGCTACCATGAGGTTCCATGTAAAAGTGTTCCTGACCACCCATTTGAACCTCGCCCTCTATTATCCTATCACAGTTACCTGATCGAAAGCATAGCTCTACATCCCCTTTTGTTAACCTTTTTTCTGTGTTCGGGTGGAAACTTTTAGCATCAATAGCCTCCTTGATTGATAATATCGCTGGTAATTCTTCATACTCTACTTTAACTTTTCCTGCCGCGGTTTTTGCATTTTCATGTGTATCAGCAACAACCACACCAATGACCTGAAAGAGCCACATGCGATAAATGAAATAATAGGAAGACAAGAATTACATGTATCCAACAAAATAACTGGATCTATATGACAACTTTCGATTACTTTCTCGTGATAACAAATTTTATCCTAAATATACATGCATAATCCTTGCTCGTTTACTTTCTTGTGATAAAACAGTTTTACCTGTAACACTTCTTCTAAGACACAAAGATAAAAAAGGGTCCTAATCAGTCTCCAAGGAAAAAGCTAATGAAAGAAAGTGAAAACTAAAGATTCAAATTTTCTTACTTGTCCTACACAGGTGACCACGTCCGTGGCAAATAATTCCTCATCAGCAACAACTGGTCCAATCATATTATCTGCGGGAACATCTTTAGCAAGAAATAGACCAGCAAAACCAGGCGAATATTTGGTATCGGAATCGTCAATTGAAAGTATGCGGGCATGTGGCATTTGGCTTAGCACTAAGGCAGCATGCAAGGTATTAGGAGGCACTGGGGTATCATCAGTATATTCTGCCTCTCCTGTGACCTACATTAAAACAGAGCTATTGTATTATGTCGGAAACAACAACTCTACTCTCAAGCATCTTTTTCTCTTCTACTCTTTAAAACAAAATCAATCAACAAGACATATGTAACCCCAGAGAAAGCATACTACTTGAATTGACGTGGCTAATAAAATAAGCAGACATACCTGCATTCTCGCTGAAAGATGGACTTCCGGCAAGCCAATAGATGTTCCCTGTTTTACGGTCTCATAGTCTTGTCTTCCAATTCTACATTGCCGAGAAAAAGATTGCATAGCTGACATATGGGAGGATGGGAAGGTCTCTATAGTTGGCTTTATATCATGTATATGATGAGAAACCCATAAGAAAAATTTAAAGAAGAAGCTTAGGGTTAGAGATTTCCGGAACTCCACCATTCCACCAGGAGAATCTTCCTTAATTAATACATCGCTTTGTATGACCTTCAACGAATCTTGCAGAAGACCTCTATTCCAATTCTTTCCGATTAGAAATTCCTCAGTCTTTCTGGCACACAGAGAAACCTCGCCCACACCACCAAAAGCAATCGTTACGTCAGAAACACACAATTCTTGACCTCTCTCTTCAAGAAATACACGCATTCCACCATTGACAATAGCTATATCATCATCCCTACGGTGGGCTTGTTTAAATTCTTTCACATACTCCAAAGGCCTTGTCCATGGTAGGAATACTGACAACAAGATTTCATTGCTTTCCATATCCACTTTACGATAACCACGGAAGAAATCTTTTGCAGGTATGGACCTAATATCTCCATTGCAGTTGATTATCCGAAATTCTGCTCTTGAAGCCATCCAAAGAGGATTTAAATCAGATATTGGACTAGCTGTACAGATGTTTCCACCAATGCAAGCAACATTCCTTATTTGTGTCCCAGCAAACCACTTCAATTGTTCAATAAAAGCCTTACAAGCTGATGTTTCATGTGCAGGACGCTCCTTTACAACCGTCCTGAATAGTCTCAGGAGTTCAGAAAGTCTCAGCGCAGAACCAACCTCTACTCCATTGTCATTGACATTCACTGTGTTGAGTTCTGGGACTTGAGCCACAGATATTAGCACCCGATACTGTAACTTCTTCAATCTCATTTCGATTCCCACCTCCGTATTACCTACCACTAGTTTTGCATCCGGATGTTTTGCTTTGAGATCAAGCAAGTACTGAAGTCTTACGGGTCTGTACCAGATAAGCCCTCCCTTTCCTCTCAGCTTTAAAGGAGCTAATTTCCTCATTAAAAGCTCAGGGGGGAATATAAGCTCCTTTTCTGTATACTTAGCTCCATCTATATCACTATATGAGATAGGCTGAAATCTAGCGTCGTTACAAGTGGCCGCTTCATTTGTTGTTGTTGATCCACATGAACAGGGCTTGCCAGTAGATGGGCAGATACTTAAACCATCTTGAAGGCTAAGTGAAGATAAACCACTGTATAAAGCATCATTAGTTTTGGCAAAAACTCGAAAGGCATCAACAATCGGTCTGTAACCAGTACAACGACATAAATTTCCCGCAAGACATTCTTCAATCTCTTCTTCACAAGGTGAGTTTTTATTTGATCTAAGTAACGCATACATCGACATGATAAACCCAGGAGTACAAAACCCACACTGGGAACCATGAGAAGATGCCAAAGACTCCTGAGAGAATTAGAAAACATCACGCTTTAACGACATCGATTCTCCAAAGAGAAGAAACTAGAACCCGAAAGAAGTGCTACAAAAGTAAAGTTACCTGAAGTGGGTGCAAGCCAAGTTTGCGATGACCAACTCCCTCAATGGATATTACATGCATTCCTTCTACAGAATAGAGAGGTGCTAAACAAGCATTGACAGCATAATGCCTGCAATTAAAAATTTCCAGTTGGGGAGAAAAATCAACAAGAAGGTCTAAACTTAAAGCAAAGTAGAACCAACAACATATAGAGAAAAAGAAACGCACACGCATCTGTTTAATTCTCTGTCATAGGAAGAGACCATCACCGTGCAAGCCCCACAACCACCTTCGCCGCACCCCAGCTTTGTCCCGGTAAGACCTAAATCTAAAGGAAACAACAAAAGCTTTAGCAAGTTATAGAAAGAAAAAACTCCATCTCCCTCTTGGAGCATAGCCTTACCAAGATGCATAGCAATCATCTTCAAACTAAGAGACATAAAGAGCAAGTGTAACACACATGAATATAAAAATCCAAAGTTCCAAAACTCACCTAATTTGCACATACACATATTTGCATCTCTAAGAATATTTCCAACACTAAAATTGAACTTAAGAGTCAAGTGATCATGTAAGTAACAAACCACCTCTGAGATATTCAAGAAGAGTCATATGAGCCAAGCCATGAGGCAACACTCTACGAACACCATTAACGTACAGTATCGCCTCCATAAACTCATCTCCCGTTTGCTCCATCTCTCCTTCGTTCTTCAGCGAACCCATAACTCAATGATTTCACCTTTTTGAGAGAGGACTAAATTAAAGAAGAAGATGGAGAAATTTGATGTGCTTTTAGTCAAAGTAAAGCCACCAATTCAATGAGAGACTAAAAGAGCATAATTTCTTACTTTTGATTTATAAAAAGTATATCTTTCGTTTTCAATTTCTCCATTATGTGATACTGTTCTTCGTCGTTGAATTTTCGCACCGTTGAAAATTCTTTCATCAATTCGTTCGAACAGCGACGTGAAACGAACGACGCCTACTTCCTCATTCGTTCTCTTCCTCCGACAGTCCCTTGAATCTACGGCTACATGAGGGGTCCGCATGGTTTCTCCGGTGGCTGTTTCCGAAGAGACGGTGACGATCGGTGGCGGTTTAGCCTACGTGGATTTTGGGTGGGGAGAGATAGAGATTTGTGACTCGACGCACTGAAAAGTAAAGTGTTAATATTATTAAATTATTAGTAATTATTTTGCTTTTTTGTTAAAATAAAGAATTTTCTTTTATTAAGTCACGAGATTCATGTAATTTCCAATACTGGTTCTGTGAAATTTTGGGCTTCTTGTGTAATTATTTCATTTTTATTTTAAGAGCTTTTGAAAATTTTTAATTATCTAAACTAGTTTGGATATTTAGGATGGTTAACAAATTTGTACCTTATTCCCTATAACAAATAATACATCCTAACTAAAAGGAGTAATTTTATAATTTTATGATTAGATGATTCAATTTTTTTTTTGAACAACTTTTAATTAAAACTCAAAAGAAGTATTTCTAAAGAATGTTGTTTACATATGTGAGTGGATGATTCAATCTAAATTGCACCGACTGGATATTATTTGGACTAATATTTTTTGGGTTTGAGGCAAATTGGGTCTGACTTCTTGTTAACATTAATCAAATATCTCTCTTTGATTTTTGGCAATCTAATAACAATCAATGTACTACTTATATATTTGTGTGAAATTAAACAACAATATGGTAAAAGGAAATTCATAAAATTTGGAAGAAAAAAATATCAAAACTGAAACATATTTTTTTGTTGTAATATATATAGACTCAATTATCTACAAAAACAAGCTGCATTCATATAAGCAAATAAAATCATCATAATTAAATCTATAATAATACGGCGTCGTTGTGTTGTTTGTATTCCAAATAAGAGACTTGTCTCTGCAACTTGATCTGCTCATAGAACTTAGCAATGAACTCCTCTGCTCTCACATCCACCCCTTTCTCTTCTTCCGAATAAGATTCATCGTAACCGTACGAATTTACCTCATCGGAATAATCTTGACCATCCATTTCAAAGTCATAGTCAAGATCTAATGGAGGAGCAATGCAGGGAAGGAGGAGGAGCCTCATAGACGTATTAGGACGATGAATCTTCTTCTTGACGTTAAATAACGGCGTTTCATCAAAGGAAAGCTGGCGTTCTCCGTAGTAACGGTCACCGTTGCTATGATGATGAGCTAGGGCTTTGAGATGCTTGGAGAACAAGCTACGTAGTTCGAACAATGGCCATCTTTTGAAAACTCCACCTTTTCTTCCCCATAGAAGAGCCATCTTCACGAGACTCCAAGCTTTATGTGTTATTGCGTTTCTTCTGATTTTCTTTTGAGACGAATCCGCCATTGATGACTTATTATATCTACTCTCGATTTGATCTGAGATGATTTATTTTCCTTGATGATGAAGAGTGTTTTTTTGTTGTTGTGTGTTGCTTATGGTTCTTGAAATGATTGTGTGTGTATGTGTGTTATATACACAAAGGTGTGTAGCTTTTGCTTGCTGTTTGCAATTTGCGCAACGCGGAGTAACAAATAAAAATAAATTATCACATTTAACCCCAGAAAAATATATTATCCTACGTCTGACATTTAATTATTTAGTCCTTAAATTCTATTTCTTATGAAATATTTTTAAACGCTAGGTTTATAGTTGATTTGAGAAGAAATAAAAATTCCATAGACAAGACTACCCGAAGTTTTTTAAAAACTTATATGCTTTTCTATAGATAATTAAACATCATTTAAATTTCTTTATTATAACTTCGGGATCCCTTAGACCATCTTTATTGGGAGGTGTTTAATTTGGTTCTTAGCTCAAAAAAAATTAAAATTAAAGGTGTAATTGATGATTATTTTACGAAAAACTTTAGAAAAAAGTTCATGTGGGTCACGGCTGGACGCAGACCATATCTTAGCTGTGTTAGCCGTTTTGTTTCTCAATTTACGCATTTTTCATTTTATTTCTTTTGTCTGTTATGCTTTTTAATTTAAAGTAAATTAAATACTTTCAACATCTTTAGTATTTTTTTGCTGTTTTCACCTAATTATTATTAGTTTCACGTTTTCTGTCTCGAGATGTGTACGTTTAGATATATTTTTTGCTATCAAATGATATTGAAATATAAATGTTACGTTACATAATATTGGTTTGCGCCGTCTGTATCACAAATTTTGTAGATGTTATACAACCAAAAAAAAAAAAGAGTTAAGAAAAATTATGATTGACTAAGAGATAAATTGTTTTTTTTTTTAATGCAATTATATTTGAATAATTTGATAACGAATAGTTCGAAGCCCTCTATAATAATGTCGGATCATTATTGAACTTATTAGAAGAAAATAAAAATATATAAATGGATTTTTCATTGTAATTAATTAAAGAAGGATTATAATTAAAGTAACTAGGACTCCGGACCCCCGCGATGTCGCGGGGGAAAATATTTCAAAAATCGTTAAAAAAATATCGAACGAAAATTAATAATAACGATAGTAGATGACTAAATGTTATAACGATTTATAAAATAAACTTAAAGTTGCAATTTTTCGTGAAATAAACTAAATGTTGCAATGGTTCAACTAAACGGCTGCAATCATTTTATGAAAAATTACGATAAAAAGATGCAACCGTAAAAAATATTTACTCGGATTGCAACTTTCTCAAAAACATAACGTAAAATAATTTTTTTAGTTTAAAAAGAAATAAATGAAATGTTGCGATATATCAAAAGTTGTAGCGGTTCGTCAAGTTCGTCAAATAAACTAAAGATTACAATGGTTCGTAAAACAAAACCCAAAATTGCAATGATTGATCAAATAAACCAAATGTTTCAACGGATCAATTAAACGATTACAATCTCATTTAAATGCATTTTGGTAATTAAAAATTAAAAATATTAATTTATGAAAATTTATACCGAGAGACACGACGGTAGATAATTAGATGTTATAGCAATTTGTAAAATAAACCAAAGGTTGCAATTGAATTGTTCGTAAAATACAAAACAAAATATATAAATCAAAGGTTGCAATCGTTCGTGAAATAAACTAAATATATAAATCAAAGGTTACAATTGTTTGTGATATAAACTAAAGGTTGCAATTGTTCGTGAAATAAACTAAATATTGCAATAATTCGAATAAAAGGTTGCAACTGTTTATGAAGAGGTACAATAAAAAGAAGCAACCGCAGAAGATATTCGGATTGCAATTTTCTAAAAAACATACCCGTAAAATATAAATTTTAGTTTAAAAATTAAAAATATAGTCATATGTAAACTATGAAATAAAACCAATTTTATATGTACTTTATTGGTTTACGTAAAAATAAATTTAATAAAACAACATGACCGTACAAAAATAACTGTAAGAAAAACAACCATAAATATTTAAACGAAAGGTTGCAATAAAAAAACACAACCGTTCAGATGTGCAAATGGTATTTATTGGAAACGACATAACCGTAAAAAAATAACCGATTAAAACGAAAATTACGATAAAAAAAACGTAACCAAAATAACCGATTTAAACGAAAGGTTGCGATAAAAAGACGCAACCGTTCAGATGTGCAAATGGTATTTATTAGATTGCTATTATATATAGATTAGAGATCTAATTTAAACTTGGGAGAGAAGGCTTGATTAGTTTAGTTGTGTGTGCCGTTGAATCATGTTGTTTCGGCTGTATCCTTATTGTAGTTTCTAGTTTCCACGAAACCGTGTTCCGTTTCCAGATATTGTATAACGTGCGTTCTTTGTCGGATTTCAGAAATATATAGATTCATGTATTTCAGATTTTCGAACAACGATATATATTGACAACGGAAAAAGAACAACAATGATGTTTTTCTTTTTTTTTTTTCTTTTTTTTGTTAAAATGATGTTTAAAGAACAATCTTCATTTTTAACAAAAAAAAAAAAGAACAATCTTCATGTAAAATTAATGCCGGCCAATATATTGTCTTCGCACCGCCTAGGAAGCCTTGTTTTTTTTTTTTTTTTTTTTTTTTTGTTGTGAACGGAAGCCTTGTTTTACTATTGAGTATTGACTATAACAATAAAAATTTCTTAGCGACGTTTAGACATTTTATGACTGGTTAAATTTCCTAACACCTGGTCCTGGTATTTGTTCGATTTTACTTAAATTTGAGGAAAGGATAAATCATAAGTTGTTTGTTTCTTCTCATAATAAAGTTGGCCAAAAGGTTATGGTTATATGATTGCGCGTAGTCTATATGGACTTAGTATTTATTTTTATTTTGCTATCATTTCTGGTTTCAAATTGATTTTTCTTTGTTTTTTCCTTCTTTTTTTTGCCAAAGTTACTTGTAATACCATTACTTATCATTTTCTATGATATTTATATTCTTATCAAGCAAAAGATATCTAAGAATCTCCTTCTGTTTTGTTTTTTTGATAATATCTGACTAAATTCAGAACCGATTTATAATCTACAAATTTATGTGCTTTTTCAATGTATTATTTGTGAATATGTAGCGCTAATTTTCTATCTCAATCGTCTAAGTTGATGTTAATTTAGTTCTTAGACTAGTTACAATTTATAAGACGACAAACAAAATATTTAGTTATTTACGTCGATATACCATATATGTGCATGGTTTATTGGTTTTATTCCTATATGAAACATTGAGGCGTAAAGAACAATATTCGGTGGAATTTTTTCAGTACAGGTTTTCGAAAATTCCGGAATAGTTACGTATGATCTTACCAACTTGAGGAGAAAAATTCAAAATGTTTTTTTATACATGATGATTATATATTGGCCATATGAGTTATATATGTATCAATGTTCAAAAAATAGGTCACCGCCTGCTTAACGCCTAATAGAAACCTAGGCGATTTTAGGCGGTTTATGCACTTACAATATAAAATATAAAACTATATGTTAGAAAAATAAAAATATTAAATCATAAACAAAAATTAGACAAAAACAATTTTTTAATTTATATCAAACAACATATAAACGTTTATAACCATGTATATGGAAATAAAACTTATAAATTTAAATCTATGTGGTTGGAAATTGAAAAAATTACATTAAAAGGATATATATGCTATTTTAGACGGTCGAGGCGATCATATATATTAGTGAGCATTTCTTACGAGCAGATAATGGATCGACAGACCTTATGGGTAAGTAGAACTAAACTTTCGTTCAAAGAGGGAAGTAGGCCATAAGAATGCTTTGAGTTTGATGAGTCTGACAAAAGTTAATTAGGTTCAAAGTACTTATATAGGCGGTATGTGAACGTCTAGCGCCTAGTCGGGGCCTAGACGACTGTATAAACTACTTTTTAGAACACTAATATATATGTTTAACATATACAGGTTGGAACCTTAATTAGTGTCATTATATGCATGGAACCATGTTTTGAGGATATTCTTCTTGCAAGAAACTTAGTGTTTCCTCATTTATTTGATTCAAATATATTCATTTATTTATATCTCTACATATATTTCAAATTATTAACCATTTTATATATAATTTCTTCCGAATCATGATACGTCAATTAGGGCCAGAGCCGGTCCTAGAAATTTGGGGGCCAAAGCAACAAAATATTTTTTTAAGGTTATGATAAACAGTTATAAAATTTGGGGGCTTTTTCATAAAACTAAACTTTTTTGGGGGCCTATTTACATATATTTTTTCTAGCTAAATTTTTAAGAAAATTTGGGGCCACATACATTTGCTTCGTGTTGCTCCCCTCAGGGCCGGCCCTGATTAGGGCGAAAACACTAACTTAAGTAGTGTTTAAGGTAAATAAATGAAGCAATAACTTTTGAGCCAAAAAAAAAAAAAGAAGAAGCCATAAACTAATTTAGTTACCAAAGTACTTAGCTGTCTTTATTTTCTTTAACTTCCTCTTCCCGTAACTAACGCAGGAAGTTCGCGCTGTCTTTTCTAGTTATGACGCGAAAGCTCTCTTAAGAGACAGCTTTTACTTCCACCATTAAACCCAAAACTCTTCATCTCTTATAGTTTTCACCCCCAATACATTTAAAATAGTCAAATACACCCTTGTATATATTTTCACAAGTATAAATAGACTTCGTTTGTACGCAAAAAACCTTGGGATCTTCTTCCAAAATCTCTCTTCCCTGCTCATTGCAGGGAAAAGCCTCCCCCATCTTGATACCCTTTTAATCACCATTAATTCTTATATATGGAAATTCAAAATCAGTTTAATGGTAGCCAAGAAGAGATCAAGAATAAGATGAAGAAGAAACGATCACGTGGTTTCCACGTCATTGGTGTCGTTTTATACATGCTTCGCCGTCGGAGGAGGAGCAAGCCGTTTAACAACGGGTTTTGGCGGCGAGTTGTCCAGTCCATTGGGCAGTTGAAAAACGACAATGTTACGGTACTTCCATCGTCTAATATTACGATACTGCCACCATCGTCTGCTCCGGTTACGGAGGAAGGTTTAGCCAGTAGTGACGATCAGGTATCGGAGATGGTTGAGGTTTTCACGGCGACGTCTAGTTCTTGCTCTTCGGGAATCTCGGGATATGGATCAGCAAAGTCGTTGCGTGATATGGATTGTCTTGATGAAGATGATGATGATAATTATGATGATGATGATGATGAATATTATGGTGATGATGATGGAGGTGATGAGATGATTGATGCGAAAGCTGAGGAGTTTATTGTGAGATTTTATGAACAAATGAGGATGCAAAATCAGGCTTATACAGAACGTATAACAAAGCTAAAGAGATGATGATGATGGTCTAAATCGCATATTGTAATTCTATTCATTGAAGCATGATATCATATTACATGAATATACATATATGCATGGAGATTGTGCATATTAATCAATTTAAAACGTTCTTAGGGTTCGTCTTTGTTTTTAATTATTTCGATGATTCAAGTAATGAAATATATACATATATTGAATTCAGTTAGTTTTGATCGCATGTATATTATAGATATGATGAATTTGTACGCATATTGTATTTATTATGTATTTATAAAATTGATATTATTTTTGTTTACTATATTTTCTTCAAGTCATGATGCAAGCACCAAATTGTAGCTAGCTTTTTCTGAATGTAACAAGTCCTTGTACCGGATGTTTCATATTGATGAACTAAAAAAGAAAAGTTCATTAATATGTCCTTAATATGACTCTAAGCTACAAGCCTTTGTTTGTTGGTCATAAGATTCAAGCAATTCTTCTTCTTCTTCTTTTTTTTTTTTGATAATTGATTTTCTATTTTTGTGACCCAAAAAAATAAACAAATGTTTTTCTACTGAAAGCATGAGAATGTAAATGTTACAAAGCCATACAGGCTCAATTGGCTAAATAGCCTAACACACAACAAAAAGAAGAACCTATTTCGAATCAAAAGCCCAATAATGAGTTAAGTAGAAGTTAGTAAGATTGCCCAAATTGAAAGAAAATCAATTTGGTTGTTCTCATTTGAAAGAAATTCAAGCAATTGTTATACGGTTGTCTCATCTTTCCAAGATGCATGAAATAGTAAAGCATCTAATTAATTAGTAAACTTACTAAAATGTGGAGACGCCAAAGTTTGTACCATAATACTTAATGCTCACATTGATCTTTTTACCCCTTTAATTTCAGGATTGTCTTGTACTTACGTTGGGCTATATTTGAACCAAGTTTGGGCTATGTAATAAATAACTTGGGCTTTAAAAGCCTCTTCAAATTAGAGTATTGCTGCAGAAAAAGAAAAGAATATTTGCGTGGAGAAAATAAAGGGAAATATATAAGATTAATCCATAATTAGTCGGTGTATACCTAAAAAAGCAGAGAGACGTTAAGATTCAAATTCAAAAAACAAAAACAAATGCATGGCAATTTCGTAATTAATAACAAGAGTTAGGGGCAATATTGGATTAACAACAAGTCTCCTAAGTACACGCTCTTGTATATATACACTCGCATCACTCCAAAACCCTTAATACTCTCTCATTAATCGAACTTCGTGTGTTAAAAATCTTCCGATCGTTGATTCTCTTCCGATTTCGATTTGATTTAGCGGCGATGTCTCTCAGACCTAGCGCGAAGACGGAGGTACGACGGAATCGGTACAAAGTGGCGGTCGATGCGGAGGAAGGACGGCGGAGGCGAGAGGATAACATGGTTGAGATCAGGAAGAACAAGAGAGAGGAAAATCTGCAGAAGAAGCGACGCGAGGGACTCACGGCTTCTATGGCTTTTGGCTCAGCCGCGGGACAAACGGAACAGGATCTTTCTTCAGCGAAGCAAGTATGTGATTCTTTCTTGTGTTTACGATTTTACCTTTAGTATATTTTTTTTATTTCATGTTCCGATTTGATCAATTAGATCGTACCTGTTTGATATGAATATGTAATTGGAGATGGATTTGTATTAGATTGCGAGTTTTTGTGATGTTTCTGTGTTTTTGAGTGAGAGTATTTTTTTACTAATGTCTACTTAATTGACTGGGAATTTGCTTGGTTTTAAGATTTGCTATATGGAATCTAGTTTGAGCTGTGTTGAATTTGACATGTAGAGAGAATTAGGGTTGATATCTCAACGGAGATCATCAAATTTGCTTTAGCTAGATGAGATTTTTGATTATTATAGTGTCTCTTTGTGTTACAGTTGAAAGCAAATCTACCAGCTATGGTTGCTGGAATCTGGTCAGAGGATAGCAATTCACAATTGGAGGCAACAAATCTCTTGCGGAAACTGCTGTCTATTGGTTTGTGATTTATGTTATTGATCGTTACTAGTTGTATATAACAATCAGCGTTTTGGTTAGAGTCTTTAGCAGTTATATTTTTGTTTTTGTAGAGCAAAATCCTCCTATCAATGAAGTTGTACAATCTGGTGTTGTTCCTCGTGTTGTGAAGTTTCTTTCCAGGGATGACTTTCCCAAACTTCAGGTGAGTCAGCGCCTGCAATCGGCTTTTATGGATAAATTGATAGTTACTAGTTTTGATGTATTTGTTAACTTGCTTTTGCCGTTTATTTCTTCCCTGTGTTTAGTTTGAGGCAGCTTGGGCGCTCACCAACATTGCTTCAGGGACATCAGAGAACACAAATGTCATCATTGAAAGTGGTGCTGTCCCGATATTCATCCAACTTCTCAGCTCTGCTAGTGAAGATGTCCGCGAACAGGTATATGTTTAATTCCTCACTTCCATTTGTTTAGGATCAAGTGGAAATTCAATGAGACTGTTACCATCCTGAGTTCTCTTCTTTCCCTGAGTATAGGCTGTTTGGGCACTGGGAAATGTGGCTGGAGACTCACCAAAATGCCGTGATTTAGTCCTAAGCTATGGTGCCCTGATGCCTCTTCTGACTCAATTCAATGAGAATACAAAGCTCTCCATGCTGAGGAATGCTACATGGACATTATCAAACTTCTGCAGAGGGAAGCCCCCGCCTTCATTTGAACAGGTTTCCTTAAAGATTATACACACTTTATGAATCTCCATCATACTTTTAACATTGCTTCTGATATGTTGTTTCTTTACACTTTTCGAGCAGACACAACCAGCTTTACCAGTTCTTGAGCGCCTTGTGCAATCAATGGATGAAGAAGTTCTCACAGATGCATGCTGGGCTCTGTCATACCTCTCGGATAACTCAAACGATAAAATACAAGCAGTAATCGATGCAGGAGTTGTCCCTCGCCTCATCCAGCTCTTAGCGTAAGCATCTGATAGTGATCATCTTAATTTTTATGGCCAGGCATGTTATCTGATTTATGTGCTTCCGTTTTCTCTACTTAGTCATTCGTCACCATCAGTGCTGATTCCCGCTCTTCGTACAATTGGAAATATTGTAACCGGCGATGATCTACAGACTCAGGTGCATATAATACATTCACAATTCTATTTCGAGTTTTCAGAAGCAAATGTCTCTAACTTATTCTCCTAACACAGATGGTTCTCGACCATCAAGCGCTTCCTTGTCTTTTGAACCTTCTAAAAAACACTTACAAGAAGAGTATCAAGAAGGAAGCTTGCTGGACTATCTCAAACATTACAGCTGGGAATGCAAATCAGATACAAGTGAGTTTTGTTTTATATATGGCATTTAACAACAATGTAGGAAATCATGTGCCTGATTTTATTTGAACCCGGGTGTGCAGGCAGTGATTGAAGCAGGTATAATCCAGTCTCTTGTTTGGGTGCTTCAAAGTGCAGAGTTCGAAGTAAAAAAAGAAGCTGCTTGGGGAATCTCAAATGCTACTTCTGGTGGCACTCATGATCAAATCAAGTAAAAGCATGAAAACCAAAACCAAATGTTTCCTTAACAAAGAAAGGTCATTTCTATAACATGTCAATTTTTGTTTGTTTCTTATCAGGTTTCTAGTGAGCCAAGGCTGTATCAAACCTATATGCGATCTCCTTACTTGCCCAGATCTGAAAGTCATAACGGTTTGCTTAGAAGCACTAGAGAACATTCTCGTGATTGGAGAGGCAGAGAAGAACTTAGGTCATACAGGAGACGGCAACCTCTACGCTCAAATGATTGACGAAGCAGATGGGTTAGAGAAGATTGAGAATCTTCAGAGTCATGACAACAATGATATATACGAAAAAGCCGTGAAGATCCTTGAAACCTTTTGGACTGAAGACAATGAAGAAGAAGGCAACGACGAGAATCATGCTCCACAATCTGGTTTCCAGTTCGGAAGCACTAATGTTCCTCCTGGTCAATTCAACTTTATTTGAAAGGTAAAAAAGTTGAAAAATTGAGTCATATAGTAGTTGCTTGGACTTTTTAAGTAAGCCACATATCGAACGTGGTAACGTCACAACGAAGAAATATCTCTCTTCTCTATCTCTCCATGCCCACTCCTCAACTCGTGGATATGAAGAAACAAAGATTGTTGATTTTGTCTCAATGTTACTACTAAATCATTTGGGGAAGAGAAACAATTATTCTGTGTTGGCCATTATCTTGCTTTTCAATAAATTTCAGATTTTTCTCTTTTAATGACTCCCTTTTTTCATATATTAGTACCATTACAAAATCGTAGTTATGCCTTAACTAAACCAGAAACATTTTATTCAATAGGTAAATTATTTTGACCCGCAATTTTAGAAAACAGAGCTCAGATTCAAACAAGAGCAATCTCGACCAAAATAAAAAAATAAAAAAGAGCAATCTCGACCATAAGAGCATCAGCAGTGGCAAATGTGTTTGTGTGGGTGTAAGTATTTTTTTATTATTATAATTTAAAGCAAAAGAGAAAAGAGAGAGAGAAAGAAAGAGAGAGAAAGAGAGAAAGAGTGTTACACCCGAGTGTAAAGTTACACCCGGGTGAGAAGAGAGAGACAACATTTCAATTATTTTTCTTTTGTTTATTACTCACACTCGGCCATTGAGTGCGCCAATGTGTATGGCCTAAGGAGTTTTGAGGTAGAGTTGTTTTTATTTGGTACTTTGGTCCTATAATTAAATAGGAGAGATTAGTGGTGATTAAGTGGTTATTATCATGGTCATAGTTTCTTTATGCGAGAAACTAGGGTTTAGACTTTGTGACTATTTCGTGTATTTAAAACACCCTCATTGTTTTATCCAATAGACAACAACAACAACATAGCCAGATATAATGCGGTATTCACCAGCTTTTGCTGCAGCACGTTCTACTCTCGGTCGTCGTCTTCCTGCGAAGAGACTAGCTTCTTCTGGTCGAACCGCTGATCCAGAGATTCATGCTCGTAACGATGGAGACGAGCCTGGTCTTTTTCCATCAGACCCCGAAGTATATATCATCAATATCTTTTACCTCTTTTCTTTTAAGATTTAGCACCGGATATTTTTGGTTTCGCACAAGTATATATATGATCGATTTTTAACTTGGTTATGTTTGTCATTCATTAAAATTTATGTAAAGTCTAGCTGTCACAACTAAGTTGTTTGTGATATGTTGTTATTGTTGTTGTAGGGTTTGGATGATGTAGCGAATCCGAAGACTCCAGCCGATGAGGATGTACCGGATATTCGACCACCCGGTTTTGTAAAGGAACCGCTTTCGCCGCCAAAAAATCCACGAGATACTTCACACAAGCTAGAATCTACTCCTGTTGGTCTACCCGCAGATCTCAATTTCCAACAGAAACGAAATTAATAGCAGCAAACGCCTTAGCCGCTATGGCCTCCTAGATAATTCATACTCCCTCCGTATTTTAATAATTGTCGTTTTAGAAATTTTATTTTTTTGAATTGGATGTCGTTTTCAAATTTCTATGCAAAATTTATTACTTTTTAATGTTTTATGACATCATAAAACATTAAAAAATAAGAAATTTTGCATTGAAATTTGAAAACGACATCTAATTCAAAAAAATAAAAATTCTAAAACGACAATTATTAAAATACGGAGGGAGTAGTAAACTGCACGCAGAAATGCTTACTTTTGATTAGCTTCGAGAATAAAATTTAAAAACTCTTTCTGCTTTAGTTTCTTGGGATTAAAGAAACTACTTTACTCTATATTTGAAATGTGTTGTGTCTTCGTAGTTTGAGTTTATGGGATCTATGAGATTATGCACAAAAGATTTGATTCGAGCATAAATAATGAATTGACGATAAGACACAGTTTTCACATGGTCCAAAAGGGTTTTAGTTTTGTTCTTCACGTTGTTATTATCCTCACAAGCTGTAAATTTAAGGAGAATCACATTCCAAAGTTGCTATTGATGAAGTCTTAGAAACAGAGCTTTTTTTGGGCCGACCTAGAACAAGAAGAAAACATTTTAATAAAATCACAAGACTTTTGTGCACTCTATTAATCGTCCACCTTTGAAAAACTACCATTGGAATTAACTTAGAAAGAAAGATGTGTATCTTAGGAATCAAATAAATATACCGAAAATCTACTTGTAGATTAAATTTGGGAAAATCACATTTTTAACCCTAAAAGTATCACTGGATAGCACTTTAAACCTCAAAAGAATTCCACTAACACTATAAACCACCAAAATAATTTTACTAACACTTTAAACCTCCAAACTAGTTTTCATGTTTGCACCGCCATAAAATATGATGGAACAATTAATTTATGTTGGTTTAATATAAATTTATTTAATTTAATATAAATTTTAATTAATTTTATTATTTATTATGATTTTTCGATTATTAAAAAACGTAAAAAAAAAATATAGATTCCTCCGATACGGAGAATGCTTCTTTTTCTGACAAAATTTTGACATTCTTTAGTTTTTATTATTCTATTCAAGATTCTCTTGTACCTTATATTATACATTATTTAGTTTATATTATTATAGTATAAATTCTCTTGTGCTTAAATCTAAAGTTTCAGAGGTTGAATTTCGAAATTTTATGGTCGAACGGTGAGTAAACAAAGAAGGTGAAGTTTATTTAGATTTTTATTAATTGTAATAAATAATAAAATTAATTTAAATTTAAATTAAAATTTTTATATTTTTATTAATTGTAATAAATAATAAAGTTAATTTAAATTTAAATTAAATTAAATAAATGTATATTAAACAAATAGAAATTAAATTTTTCCATCATTTTTTATGGTGGGACAAACAGAAAAGCTAGTTTGGATGTTTAAAGTGTTAGTAAAATTATCTTTGTGGTTGATAGTGCTAGTGAAATTCTTTCGAGGTTTAAAGTGTTACCCAGTAACATTTTGAGGGTTAAAAATGTGTTTTTCCCGATTAAATTTGGTAGTATTTAAAATATTCACACGCATCTTTTTACGTTTATGATATAATTTTTGTCATGACTAGTATATAGTTCTGTGTTGCTCATTGGTAACATTTCATCGTTGTGACATAGATTTTTACTCTCAATTATGTAACAAATTAACATTGCACCAAAGAGGTGGCGATTTAGTGGTAAAAAAGGGTTGATTTTTTTTGTGTCCCGGATTCAAACCCTTCGCTACGGAAAGGTATTCTCTAAATCATAGTAATAGCTAAAGACTGACTCTGAATATTGAAGGAAATTATGGGCTAAAGGCCCGAAACTCTCATCGATGTAACATTTTTTTTTTTTGAATACCATCGATGTAACATTTTAGTAGAGAATGAATCTATCTTGAGATTAACAAAAAAAAAAAAAGCTATATTGAGCCAAGAAAAGAAGAAGTTAAGTCTCAATCTCTTGAAACTGGTTTTGTTCCCACCAAGTAAAAGAATCAACAGAAATGAGTCGGGTACGGGTCCGGTTTGGGACCTACGAGGCAGAGACTGAGTGAGAATCCGAGTCACGACCGGAGTTATGGTCGTGGAAGCCAGCCTGGTCTGAATTGTAAATGGGCCTATCAGGTTCTGAAGCGTAGACTGTACGGACTGTTACCATGTGCTTTCACACCAACATCAACACATTTCACAATGTATTAAAAATATCATTACAATAATCTCAAAATCAAACCGTAGGTTATTTTTAAGGACCTATTAACTTCTAAAGTTTTCATTTAATTACAATAGATAATCGCTTTTCTATGATTTCATTTGACATGGACACGTGGTTTTGATGAAAATTTTAAATAGCAAAAAATAAGTAAAAAAATAAAAAAAAAAGCTTCTCTACTTAATGAATGGTACGTTAACGTACGTGTTAGATTTTTTCATAGCGAAGGAAAATTTAAGATTCGCATTGGTCGTGTCGCTTGTGTCAGGCTAAACGACGACGTATTAAAATAGATAACAAAGGGGTCCACAGTTAAAATATGAGATATTTTTAAGTGATTTTTTTTTTTTTGGTAAGATTAAGTGATTTTGTTTTGTCAAATATTATTGAATATAAATTCCAATTTTATAAAATTATGTAATAGATCAGACAATTTGGAATGTATCTGCTTTTTAGTTTTTTTTTTTTTGTCAACTCTGCTTTTTAGTTTGTTTTTGGAATTTCCATACTTTTAATCTATTTTTGTCGGGTAAAATTACTTTATATAATTCCATTTATAGTAAATATATTAAAAAAATTAATTTTGCATTTAACACAATCCACATAAATATAGAGAATGCATTCATATCGAATCACCTATGAAAGTACTTAATACTAAAATCTCAATTAAATTAAGGGAACATTAAATATTTTATCATGAAATATTAAAAATTTACTCGACAGATCTTGGTTTCTAGTGCATAATTTTTTTGGTATTGTCTTGATATTAACATGCAAAACCAAAACATAAACATGTGTTATCTCCAAACCAAAAACCTAACTAACATTTTGTAAATTGTAACTGAGATTCCATTTACATCTTTAAATGTTTTTTTCCCTTTTAAACCAATTAATTTTCTTACTATATTTTATTTAATATGGGAAGAAAACAATTATTATTTTCCATAGAAGTAAATCGTGGCGTTCCAAAATATTCAGATTGTGTTGTAATAATAGCAACAAATTAGAATAGAAGACAGACAATGACAGCTGGTCTTCATTTCTCTGTAATCGTTACACTTACACAAAATTTAATTTGTTTTCTTATTAAATATTTATTCCAACTTGACCAATAAACAAAACGAGTAATTACAAATACTGATGCTAAAATAAAATTTAAATAACATTTGCATTCACTCCTCACTCTCGTTTTATTTTTAAAGAATCGTATTTTTTATTTTTAAAAGAGATTTAATCAAACCATTGATTCTCTCTCTGTCTCTCTTTCATCTTCTTCTTCTTCTCCGAGCTCCGAGCAGAGAAGAAGAGAAGGTAAGTTTTAGAGTGCACTTGTGTGCCACTCTGATATCTTATCCTGCGCCTCTCCGATTTCTTATCGTGCGCTTCTCCGACTAGTTTCGGTGTCTAATGGACTCTTCTTCTTCTTCTTCTTCTCCATCTCTCCAAGAAAAAATCTCTTCTGGTTATTTCTAGGGTTTCGTTGATTTCGATTTTGAGGATTTAATTAATTTTCGAAATGCTTTGGATAACGAGATTTTCTGGATTTTTCTCCGCCGCGATGGCAGTGATCGTGTTATCTCCGTCGCTTCAGTCATTTCCTCCGGCGGCGGCAATCCGTTCGTATCCATCTCCGATCTTCAGAAAAGCTCCAGTGGTGTTCAACAACGGCGACGAATGTCTCTCTTCCGGCGGCGTTTGCAATCCGTCGTTGGTCCACGTGGCGATCACGTTAGACGTAGAGTACCTGCGTGGCTCAATCGCAGCCGTGAATTCAATCCTTCAGCACTCGATTTGTCCAGAGAGCGTCTTCTTCCACTTCATCGTCGTCTCCGAGGAAACAAACCTGTTGGAGTCGCTGGTGCGATCGATTTTCCCGGGATTGAAATTCAATATTTACGATTTTGCCCCTGAGACTGTTCGTGGTTTGATTTCTTCTTCCGTGAGACAAGCCCTTGAGCAACCTTTGAATTACGCTAGAAATTACTTAGCGGATCTGCTCGAGCCTTGTGTTAACCGTGTCATATACTTGGATTCGGATCTTGTCGTCGTCGATGACATCGCTAAGCTTTGGAAAACTAGTCTAGGCTCGAGGATTATCGGAGCTCCGGAGTATTGTCACGCGAATTTCACGAAATACTTCACCGGAGGATTCTGGTCGGAGGAGAGATTCTCCGGGACGTTTAGAGGGAGGAAGCCTTGTTACTTCAACACAGGTGTGATGGTGATAGATCTTAAGAAATGGAGAAGAGGTGGTTACACGAAACGTATCGAGAAATGGATGGAGATTCAGAGAACAGAGAGGATTTACGACCTCGGCTCGCTTCCACCGTTTCTTCTTGTTTTCGCCGGTCACGTGGCTCCCATCTCTCACCGTTGGAACCAGCATGGACTTGGTGGTGACAATGTTAGAGGTAGCTGTCGTGATTTGCATCCTGGTCCAGTGAGTTTGCTGCATTGGTCTGGTAGTGGCAAGCCATGGATAAGACTTGATTCGAAACGGCCTTGTCCGTTAGATGCATTATGGACGCCTTACGACTTGTATCGACATTCGCATTGACGTTGCCGGTAAAATGTTCTCTCAAACTTTACTTTCATTTAATTTCATAGCTGCTTATGTTTTAGTTTGTTCATCAGTAGTTGAACCACTAGATTCTTTGGAACATGCTCTTTGTTTTTTTCTTTATCATCATAATCTATGGAGATAAAAAAAAAATGACTCTCACTTTGAGATTTTCTGGCTATGGCTTTTCTTTTTGGTTCACCAGTCTTGATTGAGAATCTGCAGGGAAGCTCTCTAGATTGTTTGCTTGTTTTGTCTAAGTTTGATATACAACCATTGTGTTCTGTCGGTGGATATGCACAGTGTGCCACTAGGGTTGTCTTGGTCAAAAGGACAAATGAGTGGCTCCTACTAGGGTCTGATCAGAACACAATTATATTGAGGATTGTTGTTTAAGCTATCGAATTTGTGAGTGTCATGTCTTTGTTTAAGTCTTGTGATTTAGTGACACAAGTTTCTGTTATTTAGAGAGATTTTTTGTGTTGTTAATTAGTAGTTTCATATCTTTGTTTAAGAGAGGTTAATTAGGTACAATCATTAGCAAAAAAAGGGTCGGTGAAAGGAAAATAAAAAGAAGAGACGTGTGAACAAGCTTCTCTTCACCATCCCTATTAACACAGCTAATTAGAGTTGCAAGAATTGGTCTCTCTTTGTTCTTGTGTTTGGTATCTAAAATATGTGTCCCACGTTCTCTTTTGTTCTTTATAAATATGTCTGAAAGCAAAAGGGGACCGATTCTTTTTTTCCGGACCCCATTGTAGAGGTGACAAATGCTCTTACAATCCAACTATTGATTGGCTTGAGCCAGCTGGGTTATGTTCTAATCACATGTGGGTCTGATTTTCTTTTTTGGTTTTTATAAGTATCTGATTCCATAATGTGGGTCTACATTTATTTGTAGCGTCTAAGAGCATGTGCAATAGCAGACCTTGGCCCCGGTCCCGCAGACGTCCCTTGCTTTTGTTTGTAGATCGTTCCTTTAAACGGGACGTCCCTTGCTTTTGTTTCTTCACTATTCGCGGGCCCCACTGACACGTGGCGGCCCGCGATTGGTTGCGTTTTTTTTTTTTTTTTTAATCTACAAATAATAATAAAAATATTAATATTATAATTCATGGGACAATTTCACCAAGGACGAGCGCTGCACATGGTCTAATAATAAAACATAAAACTAAGCCGGGGAAAAACGAATGTAATTTTCTTTTCTTTTTCGGCTGATTGTAATTTTACCAGTTTTTAAAATAAAATTTACTATGACAAAAAATAAATTAAGTTTTTGATTTTATTTTTGAAAGCAGTGGATGGTGCTTATATGAGGAGAGAGTAGAGGAAGGTTTCACACTTTCACTGGTCTTGGCCGGCCAGGTCTGGAAGAAAATCAAAGGTAGCTTTTGTTGTAGAAAATGAAAACCCTTTGCTGATAAAATGGGTTTGGTTTAGCCAAACCGGAGACACAACTGAGATGTGGAAATTTTATTTTCAAACCGCTGGGTTGGATCATTTTTTTTTGTTGGGGAACAAAAAAACAAACAGAGTTAGGTTATTCATGTGGATGAGATTTTGTTGTTTTTATCATTAATTTATTTTAAAAAAGATTTCTTCTTATTTTGTGCAGATACTTCTTCTCTTTGAAAAATAATAATTAGATTTGTTTACACAAGTAGAGAGATTGATTTAGTTTAATAAATGGCTAATGAAATTGCCTCCTCTCTATTTGTGTCGGTCCAAAAAATGTAAATAATGAAATGAATATATTCTTATTATTCTTTCATACCCAAATAAAATAATGATATAATCGCACCTTATTTTGTTCATCATCTATTGTCACTTGTCAGTGAATAAGTCTTGCCTTCAATTTAAGGCTCTTATATAAAAGGACAAAGTAACAAAAAAATGTCGGCTTTATTCTTTTATTAATGTATATACAAAATGTAAAATGACGATGAAGAAGAAAGAGCTCGAGCTTCTTCGACTCAATTGCTAAAATGGGCCTGAAGAAGCTTCCTCGCAGCCAATATAAACCCTGTAAAAAAATTCATTACAATCTAATGAGCTTTTAAGATAATAATGTCACGTCAGGAATATGAGACAAAGTGTTTCTCAAGACTTGCCTAAAAACAGAGGAGAAGGTCTAGTAGGTCTTGACTTAAATTCTGGATGAAACTGAACTCCAACATAGAATGGATGATCTTGAAACTCAATCACCTGTTGAAACAAACAAATAAGATTTTGACAGAGAGACCAACACTAAGATGGTGTTTTTTCTTATCTCATTGTCTATACCTCAACTCGTTTTCCTGTATCATCTTTACCCACAAATCTTAAACCAGCTTCTTCAAGTGCTTGAGCTACTTCTGGATTCACCTAACATCATCAAATAAAAACACCTTTTTCACATCATTGCTATAGATACATTCACTTAGACCAGCTTACGTTAAATGAAAAACCAACCTCGTAACGGTGCCTATGCCTTTCGTCTACATAACTAACTTCGCCGTATCTGGTAAATGCCCGGAGAGAAAACAACTTGCTGTCTTTAAAACCGTGAACTGAAAACTACAAGGATTCTCAAGGAAACGGCGAAGATAAATGCAATTTTTAAACTTACAGCTTTGAAGTGAGAGAGTCTTGGTTCTGTAAATGTGTTCTTCGGGATCCAAGTCTCATTGTGCTTCCCATATGTGTTCTTGAGCCCTGTGGTAATATCAACAACAGTGAGAGAATGAACAGACTCCGTTGATAGATTTATGAATACATGTTTGGAATACATACTTCTGGCATAAAAATAACAACAGGGTCAGATGTCTGAGCATCGAACTCGGTGCTATTTGCTCTTTCCAAACCCAAAACCTGTAACCCATGTCAGAGAATAAGAAGAAGAACATTAAGAAGATAGTCTTAGGAAGAGAGATAAGGAACACAGCAAGTTGAAGTTATTTCAGAGTTTGCAAAACATTTCTTACAGATCTGGCAAACTCAATTACTGCAATTTGCATCCCCAAGCAGATCCCAAGATAAGGAATTTTGTTCTCTCTAGCGTATTTGGCTGCTAAAACCATTCCGCTCACGCCACGATCTCCAAAACCACCAGGAACCAGAATGCATTCTGCGCTCTGCAAACAACAACAAAAAAAAAACAGAGACGATATTGTTGGCAAACAAATGTCTCCTTTTCAATAGACAAGTGGAGAGGTTATGAAATAAATCAAATCAGAGAATTCTAAGACTGAAATTCTCACCTTCAAGATGTTCCAAGCAGCAGCATGTGCCTCCGGAGTCTGCAAAGGAGAAACTAATGCTTAAGAGGAAAACAGTGATAGTGGGGATAAAAACTCTGGATCAGAAAGATTCAAGAAGATGAAAGTCATTAACGATATATACCGATTTCTCACTTTCGTCTTCAAGATCTGAAGCTGCAATCCATTCGATATGTGGCTTCAATGAACATGCAATGCAGGCATGAAGAAGGGCCTGCAATGAAGAAGGAAAATATGAAGAGCAAAGCAAACCAAATGCGATAGAAATTCAATTGAAGAAGACCAAAGTCGAAAATTGACTTTCCAAGTTTACCTTAACAACCGATAGATAAGAATCGGTTAGACCAATGTACTTTCCAACCATAGCAATTTTTACCTGTGCATAACGAAAGGATAGTCTCTTTAAATAAGAAAAGTCAAGGCTCTAAAACAAAGTGTACTGGCCGGTAAATACTCACATGATTTGTCAAGTTATCAAAAGTCTCAGCCATCCTAGTCCAGCTATCCAGATCAGGTGCTGTTGCAACGCTGAAAGAGATGAGTTTATGGAACTTCGTGTTACCCTGAAAGTGTTCAATTATGATATCGGAGTAATGAACACCATAAGAAATGAGACTAACCTAGTTAGATTCAGTTGTTTGAGAATCGAGTGATGAGCGTTTTGATTCTGCAGCAAGAGCATACATGGAAAACTACTTCAATAACAAAACACATATTTCTCTTTCTTTTTTTTGGAAGAGCCAAAAAAGCATCCAACTTACACGGAGTAGGAGAGGAACATGCCAAATGTTTGGAACATCATGGATATTGAGAATATTAGCTGCCTGTAAGAAGTCATCAAGTGATATAAGATCCCAACAGCATAAGATATACATAAGTTCAGTAAATACATAATGTAGATTTCACACAAAAGTTATACCGACACATGACAAAACTGAGACAATTTTGCCTTGGTACTTTCCAGTAGTGGCTGCAGAAAAAAAAAAAAAGACTTGTCAAGACTCTGCAGCAACTGTGAGAGGTCAAAGTTTTCCAAGGTATACAAATTACAACTGATCTCAGTAAGTTCTGAAGTGATACCTGAGCAGAGCGACATGCCAAAAAGTGAGGAGTCAATCCCAAAGCTCTTAGTTCTCGGACACTGTGTTGGGTTGGCTTTGTTTTCTGCATGAAGGTTTAAACCGATTTTAAAGTTTACCATCCATTTAAAAAGGGATATAAAGTGTTTGAGCACATGTCTAAGGTAAGAAAATATTCTACCTGCTCCCCAACAACACCCAGAACGGGAATCAAGCTCACGTGAATCAGGCAGAAATTTTCCGGTCCTAGGAAGCGAAATATGAACCAACATCATAATTAAGAATAAAGTAGAGAACCACTGAAAGAAAGCATACTTGCCCCAGAGGAGGAGGATTCACAGGCTTACCAACTGAGAATGACAATTGTCTCAAGGCCTCGATAAAAGGCATTGATTCGATGTCACCTATCATAAGCAGAAAAACTAAGTAAATAAGGATCTTTAATTTAAAACCGTAATTAAGTAAACGAGAACCAGAAATGAATGGTATCGTCAAAAGCTCTTACCAACAGTCCCGCCCAACTCAATAACACAAACATCAGCTTGGCCTTCCATTCCATCCACAGGAATCAGAGAAACTGACTCAATCCAATCCTTGATTGCATCAGTAATGTGTGGAACAACCTAAAAACCGATTTAAATTGGAATAACATGAGCTAACGTACAACATAATCTACTAATTCACCCACACAAACATTTACCTGAACAGTCTTCCCAAGATAGTCGCCTTTCCGTTCCTTCTCAAGAACAGACTGGTGAGGGTAAAGGGGAAAACTTTAATCACTATATAGCGAAAAAAAACCCCGGCGGTTTCAAAACGTTAGCAGCATACATTTAACACAACAATGCCTCCCAAATCAGTACCTGATATATCTTCCCAGTGGTTATGTTGTTGTCTTTGGTTAGTGTCACATCGAGAAATCTTTCATAGTTCCCCAAATCAAGATCAACCTAAGAAGGAACACAAACAGGGATATGCAACCATTCTTTAGCAACAAGCATCTAGCAATAAGATGCTTTACAAAACAAATGTAAAGAAGAATGAAAACGAAGAAAACCTCTCCACCATCATCGAGTACAAAAACCTCTCCATGCTCAAAAGGGGACATAGTACCAGCATCAGTGTTCAAATATGGATCTGCATAAATAAAATTGGAGAGCAAAAGTCAAGATCAACACAAAAAGGCTCAAACTTTATAGTCTGAAACCCAAAATTGTTACAGTTTCTAGTCAAAAGGGAATGGAAATGAGAAATTCCAATATGCAGAGAGAAGAGATCTTAACCAATTTTAATGGAGGTAACTCGAAGGCCACAAGCTTTAAGCACGACGCCGATACTACTGGCGGTAACGCCTTTGCCAAGCCCACTCACCACTCCTCCAGTCACCAATACGTACTTCATCTCCGAAACTAGAGCACAGGCTAGTCTGGAGAGAACGCACACCAACTGTTTGTGTTAATGTCTGATCGAAACTACAAAGCGACACCAAACTCTGGTTTCCATTGACGGATACGGAAAAAGCTGACTTCTTTTTCGAGGATCAATTGTATTCTACCACTAGTAAGCTCCCACGTGTCACACTCCCAAATCGTATGCGCATAATCAAGGATTTTGTGCAATTTTTAGCAGAGTGCAAAAAAAAGAGTAAAAAACCATCTAAAGCTAAACTTTATCTGTATTTTTATATTATTTTTTATATATTGTATAGATTATCTTCTAACTCTTACATAAATGCACTTAAAAGCTAAAAATAAACTCTTGAAACAATAATAAAACTTAGCAAGCATAGTTACTGTTAAGATTAAGAGTCTCAAAGACATTGACTTTCTTGAGCTTAATCCTTAGCAAACCAAGACTGAAGTAGTTTGATGCAAAACAAAGTCCAACACATGGAAATGAAACAAAAATATGCAGAGAAAAGAACAGAGACTTTGAGAGAAGAGAGAAAGGTGAGAAAGGGAAGAGAGAACACACATAACATTTGTTCACCCATGCTACGTCTGGGCCGAGTCACAGCTCGGAATTCACTAGAATAAGCAAGTTACAAGAGGGAATCCCTCAGAGAAAGAGTCTCACACTTGAGATCTCCTCTCTGTTACACACTCAAGAGAAACACCAAAGCTTACACCTTTTAATGGCTATATCTCTCTCTTGCTTTCTTTCTACATTGTATCTCTCTCTTATTCACTCCCCTTAGACAACGCTCACAACATAGCAACATTGTCTCGAAATATTGATCATATAGATTACAAGATTGTCTCGAAATATTGTCATAATCTGATTCCGAAATGATTTGGCAGGAGTCTTTGTATGAATGAGTAAATGATATCAAAATCTCAATTAACCAAAAGTAAGGCCAAGAAAATTTTCTGAAAGGCTCAAAGCAAATTCCACAGTTTAATGCTTAAACAATTAAAAAAAAAACAAAAACTGAAGAAACCTGTGAATCCAAACCAGCTAGCTTTAAACAAAAGTCTCTCCCTTCTTCGTGATGCTTGAATCCATTTCCACCTTGTGTTTTTCTCCCGTGCTTGCAAATTTGTACGGTCGAATATAAATCCTTCTGAAATTTAGCGAAGAACTCACTTTGCCTTCGTCTTAGTTTTCTTGAGGAGGCTGGAAGTTCTGAACTCAGCATCGTCTCTAATGAAGCTCCACCAGAGAATGGTTAAGGGAATTGTGGCAGCGTGCCAGATCGAGTGAGCATCGAAGTAGCCTTCATATGGAGGAAAATCATATATCTCTAGAAGCATGGCTAATCCTCCAGCTATCACAACCACCCAAAGTTTCCAGTTAGAAGGATGGCTCGAGACAGCAGCCCATCTTGCCCATAGAAAAAGCTGAGTGACTCCCATTGCCACACACACAATCATGTTCCAACCTGTAAACAATATTCAAAACTAGTGAGCTCACCAAGACTGCGTAGAAAACATGTTGACTCTGTAAACAACATTCATAACTGGTGAATTCACCAAAAATATTGACTCGATTTCAGACAACGGAAAGAGTTTGTGGGGTACCATAGTCGAGTTTGTAGAAGTTTATGTAGAGTATGTGGGTGGTTACAAAAGCTAGTATTGGAGCCGATACCATAACCCTTGTAGCCTCGACCCGAATATCAAAGGTTCGTAAAATGGCTAAGATGAGTGAGAATCCGAGAACGGCTACTGCAGATGAGTAGTCCAACCTCTCTGTGAGGTCAACATCCCTGAGAACCAAAGAGACGGATTACCAGAAAATCATATGAATATATGAAGCAGATTGTGGATAATAAAGTAATGTGTAGATAATTTACCGGCTGTGGAAAACAGCACTCCAGAACCAAGAGTTCATGGACAGAAGACCGTAGATATGCCACAACCGACGTATTCATAGTACGCTGACTTATCTTGTTTCAGAGGCAATTTATAGTAGAGCGTGATGAAAAAGGAAAGCCAACCATGGAAATGCATTGCTAGGTTGAGCACAGAGAACGCAACAGAAGCAGGCTCCTAGCAAAGAACAAGGTAAGTCAAACTCATATTATATGGAAACAACCAGAATCAAAAAAGTGATTGAAGAAAAAAACTCACATGAATCCCAAGTACACGCTTGAAGGGCCATTTACCATGGTACTTGACCGGGGCTTGACCAAGAGTTTCCCGTTCTCTCTCTCTATTAACCATACATTGATAACGGCAATCACCTTGACAACCCCATTTTTTCCATTGTAAATACAGAGGTTCTTGTATGTACCATGGACCACCATCGGATGAAGAATTGCACTGAGGAAAGCAAAGTTGTCCAACACAACCGCTTATCTCACATTCTGAAATGCATGTCCTACGAAATTGCGAGACATTCATAATCTCCACGAGTCAAAAATGCTGGTTACATATGCGCTGCTACTAAACCAAGTTCATGCTAGAAACTCAAAGAACAAACAGTCTATCTTGAACATAAATTCTAAGATCACAAAGTGAGCAAGATAAGTTGTATATAAATCCTAAAGAAAGTGAAAAATCATAATACCTGTAATCTGGATCGGCATCGCCAGCACTAGCATTTGAAATACTGAAAAGGCATGACAACAATAGAAACAGGGCTGTCCAGTAGTGGAATGCCATCTGAGCAGAAAGTTGAAGTGAAATCACTGAGTGATAACAATGCAAGCAAGCCTCAAAAAACAGACAAAGATTGCTTTAAGGAGCGATTTCAAGTGAGCGATTTCTCATCTTTGTGTTGTCTCTGCGTAATTGGTAGATCTCTAGGGGGTTTAGGCTCTGATTTTGATTTATGTTCTGAGTTTTTGATAATCTGATCAAATCTGGAAATCATAGGATTCGATTCTATAGGAATTTGGATGTTTTAGGTTTTTTTTTTCACAGCAAGTTCGGTTGTCATCATGAGCTGATTCTGCAAATGAAACAATCATGAATTTCAGAATTTTAGTAACTCTTTGCCAAATGATGATTCATATTCATATCAGATTCATTAAAATTATACTCTCTTCTGCTAGAAACAAAAGTGAAAATCAGTAAAATAGTCGATTCCAATACAAAAACCAGATTCAAGACAGACTCTCAAGGCAACTACTATGATGTCTCTTTACAATCATGAAGTATTACATAAATTAAGCCACACTTGTCTAACACAAGATCAGACTCAAACTCACTCAAAAGTACTTCAACAATACACAAACCAAGATAACCAAAAGACAAACTCATATTTCACAACAAAGCAAATCAATCTTTTCCCATGAATGTATTACAACCACTGCAGCAAATTCAAATAGAAAACTAGACAAATCTCAAATTCTTCACTAATTATGTTTAAAACTCAAGAAATCTGAAGACAAACAAAACCCATTTCACCAACAAAATAGAGTATGAAAAACTTACAACACCGGTTGAAGAGTAAGTGGTGACACTGAATTTCTGGTCTCCTTGGTAATCCTTGTACAGAAGATCTACAATAACATTCAAAAACCTTCAGATTCAAAACAAAATCTCCAAAAAGAAACACGAGACAACTACTCTGTATATAGATAGCCATTTTCACGATCGCTAAGATCGTTGATTTGTTTCAGAAATTCACATTTTCGAGTTTTACACCAAAGCCTCTTTAGTCTTCACTTTCTCTCGATCCAAACACGATGATGATAACCCTAGTTTTTAATGAAACTGGGCCGACCAATTGTCCGTATGGGCTAGCCCATTATGTCCATGGACAAAATTGGTCTTTAGACCAGATGACCCATTTTATTTATGGGCTGACCACGGACCGTCCATAACGTTTTGGACTGGGCTTAGCCCATGGTCGGCTGACCATTTGACAGTTCTAGTGTTAATGATGTTCTATGTAGTGATTTTGTGAAAACAATGCTTAGTATATCCAGCCTTAATTATTTAATCATTTTCCTTCCAGTACGATATTTTGGAGATTGAAACTTTTTTTGTGGTATGTGCAGGTGTTGTATACTTGGATCATGCTGGTTCTACTTTGTATTCTGAGTTGCACATGGAAAATATTTTCAAGGGCAATGTTTTTGGAAATCCACGTATCCTTATCTTTTGATACTCATAGGAAATGCTTTACATTATCGTTTTCTACGTGACAAGGCAGATCTATTAGGATCTGAATCTCAGATTTTAATGACTTGAAGATGTTGGTGAAAAGAACGTAGCTAATCTCTTTTCTGTAGATTTTTTAGATATGATACCTTTTGTTTGTGAGCTTATGTTGTTGAAAGAGGTTCTTTAATATCGATTTAGATAGTCAAAGTGATATCAGTTCGGCAACCAGTGACCTTATAGCGGATGCTCGGCATCAGGTACTACATTCTTAACATTTCTTGAACTATATATGTGGAATATGGGGAGTTTTTTTTGTTTAATCTTATTACTGGTATTCATCTTATAAGTTGGTTTCATGTGTTTCAATCAATCTTCATTGCACACTGGAGTTAGGTGCTTGAATACTTCAATGCATCTCCTGAAGATTACAGTTGCATATTCACCTCCGGAGCCACAGCAGCGCTGAAGCTTGTCGGAGAGACATTTCCTTGGACCCAAGACCGTAATTTTTTGTATACCATGGAGAATCACAACAGTGTGCTTGGTATTAGGGAATATGCATTAGCTCAAGGTGCTTCAGCATGTGCAGTGGATACTGAAGAGGTAGCTAACCAACCAGGCCAGCTCACAAATTCAGGACCATCTATCAAGGTAAAGCATCGTGCTGTGCAGATGAGAAACACTTGTAAAATCCAAAAGGAAGAGTCAAGAGGTCCGTTATTTCTTATATCATCCTGAATAGAATCTGTTCAAGATGTATCACATGTCATATTCTTCTACTCTGGGTAAATAATCGACTTTTATGGTTTGCTTATCCTGTGTTTCACTCTATCGTATGTTTACAGGAAATGCCTATAATCTATTTGCTTTCCCCTCTTCTGGCCTGAGGTTTAATCTAGATCTGGTGAAGTTGATTAAAGAAAATCCTGAAACCATGCTACAAGGCTCTCCCTTTAGCAAGTAGGTTTCACATTCTCTCTACTCTTCTCTCATTTTTCTCAGTTTCTTGCATTGGTACCGCTGAATGTCTGCTTGGATTCATATTGCTGAGGTTTGGCGATGCTATGCCTACAACAATTCAACTCCTTGAGCTTAGTGAATTTTTTTGTACATGATCTTTGAGTGTGAGTTAGATACAGTCTTTGAACAGGAGAAGTGGTACAGGAATCTGCCATACACTTTTGATACGATTTTTCTGCTTTTAATATGGTGATATCTAGAAATGAACTGTGCACATTTTGATGATCTATACCAATTAATAATGCAAGCCTAAACCCACTAAGAAACTTTTGAAGGAACTACTTTGTCTTGATTGATACTTCTTTCTTTGTTGATGCTAAGTGTGTATAGGACTTGAAGAGGTTCATTCGTATAAGTTTCTATTGTTTATCTCTCATCATGGCTTGTATACTTTTTATAAGGAGCAAGCGGTGGATGGTCTTGATTGATGCTGCAAAGGGTTGTGCTACACTACCACCTGATTTATTGAAGTATCCTGCAGATTTTGTTGTTGTGTCATTCTACAAGGTATCTCCTGGATTTTCCAAAATAAATGAAGCTCTTTTGTTATCAGATTTTGACTTTCTTGTTTTCCGCTGTTTTCATGAAGTTATTTGGTTATCCTACTGGGCTTGGCGCTCTCCTTGTACGGAATGGTGCGTAATTTGTTCCCTATGTTTATCTCCTTCTGTAAATCTTCACAAATCTGACTGTAGTTCAGAAACATTCTCGTTAAATTCATTACTTAGGTCAGAGCATTTCTGTTGTTAAGATCTCTGATATTGTTTTCATTTTATTCTTATCTCAGTTGAGACTAATTTCTCCAACAAGATCAACGTGTATCATTTATTGAAACAAATATTGCAAATGCTAGCTGCTGACATGATTTTCTCGTTATTAATCTACAGATGCAGCCAAATTGCTCAAAAAGACTTATTTTAGTGGAGGTATGCATCTCATTTAGTTGTGTAAAATGGCTAAATTTGTATGGCATTTGATGAACATAATATTTACAGGCACTGTTGCTGCTTCAATTGCTGACATCGACTTTGTAAAAAGAAGGGAAAGGGTGGAGGAGTTTTTTGAGGATAGTTCTGCTTCATTCCTGAGCATAGCAGCCATCCGTCATGGCTTCAAATTACTCAAGTCGCTTACACCTTCTGCAATTTGGATGTGAGTAAAACTTTTGTTCCGTGCAGGATCTCCAATTTTGAAAATGAGTCTAAAATTTTTTGTATGTTCTTTTATTTAGGCTCATTTTCAACTCTTTTGTTGCGACTATCTAATTTAAACTGTATGCTTTTATTCACAGAAATTTATTGATTTCATTATAAGTTCATTTGTTTCACCTCCAAAGAAGATTGGGAATGGAACTGTCGTCAGTGGAAGGTTTTCTCAACTTCCTAGTGAAGGTACTTTCTTTGAAATCTCTTACGGTGCTTTGTTCCTAGCAACACTAGTTATTGTTATTTAACTCTCTTGGAGCATTATTCACTCACATTGACATAAAAGGGACTTTGTATAATTGATTCCACCATTCATTCTCTGTGATGTGACTTAATTAAACGTCACCATCTTTACATGCTTACCTTTCCGTAATTTAGTAATTGATACTTGTGTTAGCCACACAAATAAAGTGCATGTAGCTTGTCGCTACTTCGTATGATCTTTGGAAATCCACGAGACTTAACTTGCGAGATAGCAAATACTTCATAAAGTATAAATGGCGTCTCAATTCTATGGATCTCCGCTTTTTGTTGATTTGCAGAACTTGAAAGTAAAGAATCTTTTCAAAGCCACTACCTTAAGTCAATTACTACATACCCGATCAAGTCATGTGCTGGATTTTCTGTGATACGTTGGCCACCTTGCAGAACAGGTATTTCAATTAAGGACAGGATGTCTAGGCGCGGTTAGTTTTCGAACGTGTTTAAAATTTAACACTTAGACTAATTTTTAAGAAGTTTTAGTGAGGTTATAGTTAAAAATATTATTTTATTAAAGTTTAAGTGTTAAATTTGTTTTAAATTTTAGTGAAAATCATATTATTGTTTTCTGAAAATGAGTTTAAGTGTTAAATCTATATTACGTGAAAACATATGCCGAACTTCGAACGCCAAAGCTTACAAACCAATTAAGGACATGATGCATAGGCGCAGTTAGTTTTCGAACGTGTTTAAAATTTAACACTTAGAGTAATTTTTAAAAAGTTTTGGTGACGTTTCGTTTAAAAATATTATTGAGGTTTTTAAAAAGTTTAAGTGTTAGTGAGGTATAAGACTAATTTTTAAAAAGTTTTAGTGAGGTTTCTTAAAGTTTAAGACTAATTTTTAAAAAGTTTTAGACAGGTTTTATTTAAAAATATTAGTGAGGTTTTAAAAAGTTTAAGTGTTAGTGAGGTTTAAGACTAATTTTTAAAAAGTTTTAGTGAGGTTTCTTAAAGTTTAAGACTAATTTTAAAAAATTTTAGTGAGGTTTCATAAAGTTTAAGTGTTAAATTTGTTTTAAATTTTTGTGAAAATCGTTATTGTTTTTTATAAATGAGTTTAAGTGTTAAATATATATTACGTGAAAACATATGTCGAACTTCGAATACCAAAACTTACGGACCAATTAAGGACATGATGCATAGGCGCGGTTAGTTTTCAAACGTGTTTCAAATTTAACACTTAGACTAATTTTTCAAAAGTTTTAGTGACGTTTTGTTTAAAAATATTAGTGAGGTTTTTAAAAAGTTTAAGTGTTAGTGAGGTTTAAGACTAATTTTTAAAAAGTTTTAGAGAGGTTTTATTTAAAAATATTAGTGAGGTTTTATAAATTTTAAGTGTTAGTGAGGTTTAAGACTAATTTTTAAAAAGTTTTAGTGAGGTTTCTTAAAGTTTAAGACTAAATTTTAAAAAATTTAGTGATTTTCTTAAAGTTTAAGTGTTAAATTTGTTTTAAATTTTAGTGAAAATCGTTATTGTTTTCTAAAAATGAGTTTAAGTGTTAAATCTATATTACGTGAAAACATATGCAGAACTTTGAACTCCAAAGTTTACGGACCAATTAAGGACAGGATGTCTAGGCGTGGTTAGTTTTCGTACGTGTTTAAAATTTAACACTTAGACTAATTTTTAAAAAGTTTTAGTGAGGTTATAGTTAAAAATATTATTTTCTTAAGGTTTAAGTGTTAAATTTGTTTTAAATTTTAGTGAAAATCATTATTGTTTTCTGAAAATGAGTATAAGTGTTAAATCTACATTACGTGAAAACATATGCCGAACTTCGAACACCAAAGCTTACAAACCAATTAAGGACATGATGCATAGGCGCGGACGCGCGGTTAGTTTTCGAACGTGTTTAAAACTTAACACTTAGACTAATTTTTAAAAAGTTTTAGTGATGTTTCGTTTAAAAATATTATTGAGGTTTTTAAAAAGTTTAAGTGTTAGTGATGTTTAAGACTAATTTTTAAAAAGTTTTAGTGAGGTTTCTTAAAGTTTAAGACTAATTTTTAAAAGTTTTAGAGAGGTTTTATTTAAAAATATTAGTGAGGTTTTAAAAAGTTTAAGTGTTAGTGAGGTTTAAGACTAATTTTTAAAAAGTTTTAGTGAGGTTTCTTAAAGTTTAAGACTAATTTTTAAAAATTTTAGTGAGGTTTCTTAAAGTTTAAGTGTTAAATTTGTTTTAAATTTTTGTGAAAATCGTTATTGTTTTTTAAAAATGAGTTTAAGTGTTAAATCTATATTACGTGAAAACATATGCCGAACTTCGAATACCAAAACTTATGGACCAATTAAGGACAGGATGCCTAGGCACGGGTAGTTTTCGAACGTGTTTAAAATTTAACACTTAGACTAATTTTTAAAAAGCTTTAGTGAGGTTATAGTTGAAAATATTATTTTCTTAAAGTTTAAGTGTTAAATTTGTTTTAAATTTTAGTGAAAATCGTTATTGTTTTATGAAAATGAGTTTTAAGTGTTAAATCTATATTATGTGAAAACATATGCCGAACTTCGAACACCAAAGCTTACAGACCAATTAAAGACAGGATGCATAGGCGCGATTAGTTTTGGAACGTGTTTAAAATTTAACACTTAGACTAATTTTAAAAAAGTTTTAGTGATGTTTTGTTTAAAAATATTAGTGAGGTTTTTAAAAAGTTTAAGTGTTAGTGAGGTTTAAGAATAATTTTTAAAAAGTTTTAGTGAGGTTTCTTAAAGTTTAAGACTAACTAATTTTTAAAAAAATTTAGAGAAGTTTTATTTAAAAATATTAGTGAGGTTTTAAAAAGTTTAAGTGTTAGTGAGGTTTAAGAATTAAGACTAATTTTTAAAAAGTTTTAGTGAGGTTTCTTAAAGTTTACGTGTTAAATTTGTTTTAACTTTTAGTGAAAATCGTTATTGTTTTCTAAAAATGAGTTTAAGTGTTAAATCTATATTACGTGAAAACATATGCCGAACTTCGAACACCAAAGCTTACGGACCAACTAAGGACAGGATGCCTAGGCGCGGTTAGTTTTCGTCGTTTTTTAAATTTAACACTTAAACTAATTTTAAAAAAGTTTTAGTGAGATTTTAGTTAAAAATATTATTTTGAAAGTTTTAATGAGATTTTAGTTAAATTAATAAAAAGGAAAGAAAATAAAATAATAAGAATTGAAAAAAAAGGGTACCTTGTTGGACTTGGTAGCAAAGAAGAGCCATACAGCAAAGCCCATTTAAAAGTTAGACGTGCGCCCACCATTCTTCTGTAGGCTCCTTCGTTACACGAGATGGAAGATTCTTTGCGACATGGACGATTTATCGATGGCGATTTTGAATCGTGTTGCAGATTTGGGCTTCCTCCGTTACTTGTGGGATCGATTGCTCTCATCGGAGTCTTTGGCGTGGACATAAGCGATAGATTGATTTTCATCTTCAGATTAAAAAAAAACCTATCGTAGGAACTAGTTATATAAAAATCTAGTTTTAAATCGAAACATCAAAAATCAAACCAAATAAATACGCTTACCATTGTTGTCGATGGATGCTCCGTTCCTTGAATGATATAGTTTGACGAACCAAAATCTGGAACCTGTTTACGATAAAGGTACACAAGCAAAAGAAAAGAAGAAAAATTAGGAATTTAAGTAGTACCAATCCATAAACAGGTTAATTAGAAAATTAGGAAAACAACAATAGAGGAGACACTAATTTGATGATAGAAACCTTTTTGAAGCGCAAACGTTTCTGAAAACACCTTCCTAGGGTTTTACGAAGAGGAGAAGAGAAGAAGATTCACAAATTTTAAGTCGTGAGAGATTGTTTTAGCTTCACAACGGCTATATTGATCGTGGAATGTTTTATACTCTCTCTGAGAACCGACGTAACTATGTGGGCTTAATAATGAACCGGCTCAATTACTTTAATCATTAACAACTAATGAGATGTATAACATTAATAATTAACACCATGTTCATGTTTCTTCAACCGCATCACGCATATTGGGTCTGTTACCTTCTCCTGACGCACTCTTAACTTCACAAGAGGTTGCGGCGGTAATGTTCAAAGTACAAAGTCAGGAGAAGCGTAGGAAGTACTGCAAGACCTGGAAATTCATATACAAACAAACATTTTTGCTGAGAGTTGTGCCACAGAATGAACAACATACACTCATGGGTAATTAAGTGTAAAATGAGAGGGATGCAGAACTCATGGAACTTGAGACAGCTTACTCTTGCTGGTATGAAGCACAAATGGAGATCTAGACTATTACAATCATTTCCAGAGCTGAAACAGAGGATAATAATGAGTGTATGGCAGCAAGTATGAAGGACTGGTTTGTCTTATGCACGGTGAAGAAAAACGAGACGCTCGGCCTTTATTGTTTGTGGGAGCTATACTTGTTGTTGCATGTTCTAGAACAGGATCATACTCACGGGGATTCTTCTCCATGACAAAGACAAAGATGTCGTGCCTTCAAAGACTACTTACACTCCAACTCAACTGTTTGAGTTTCGTTTCAGAAACATGAAACTATCATCTTGGTAGAAATTAGTGAGCAGCACAAAGACATAGAGCCAGCTTGTGTGTACGTGGGAATGGGTTTAAGTGGACACATGCACAAGTTTTCTTATCTGGTCAAAGCCTATGGAGATGGAAGAGGAATTACATGGTATGATCTTATGGGATTGTCCTATTACAATCATATCTGACTCTTGTCACAGTGGCGGTCTCATAGATGAAGCCAAAGAGCAGATAGGAGAAAGCACGAATAAGAAGAAGAAAGACTCTGGAGACTCTTCAACGATCAACAAGGAGACAGAAGCAGAGAAAATTGAAGTGGGAAAACAGATGGAAATCAAAGCCATTTGTTGATGAAGGGCAACGATGAAGGGCATTGCGGAGGGTTTGTTGTACCTTCACACAGATACACAAACCCGAGCAACATCTTACTTGGTAAAGATATGACCCCAAAAGTCTCAGATTTTGGGATGGCCAAGATATTAGAAACAAACAAGAGACAAGTTGAAACGGAAAAAGCTGTGGGAACCAGGTAAGCAACGAAAACAGCTATTTATTTGTTCTTTTTGAAAATAAAAACCTCTGACACTTAAGTAAATCTTTTTCCCTATGTCTGAAGAATACGCCATGCATATGAAAATCTCTGAAAGATGAGATATCTTCAGCTTTGGTGTGACTGTACTTGAGATGATTACAAATCTGGATTACTGCAATTCGTATCAAGGAGATAGTCTTTTGTAGAGTTTCCATATCAAGTTTATCTGCTTCAAGTATTCACTGTTTTTTTGCTCTGTAGATTTAGTAATACAAGTGACTGAATCTTTTTCGATTAACAAGTCACTTCTTCTTTATTTTATTTTTTTTATCACATTTGCATAAACAGGTTTATAGGATAATTTTGGAAATTTATTCATCTACTTTAAGTTAATGGTACACACACACATCTGCTCAACGCTGCATCTTGTTAAACGACCTTTCTGCCCATGAGTTCGTGTTGTAGAGCACATGCTTGTCAAGTGCATATCCGGGTTTACAAACGTACTCCACCAGGTAATCGGAGAGGACACACGGGATTTCGTGGCGTATAAACTCTTGGATCCAGACATCGTCCCGCGGCATCCCAGGGCTTATCAACGCGAAATCCGTGTTCTGATTCAAGAAACGCGTGTAAGGAGGCGCCGTTGCTAGTATAGTACCATCCCCAGCTTTCACGGCTCGCTTTAGTGTATCCTGATTAGGGAGAAAAGAATAAATAAAGACATCAAGAACCAAGAAAAAATGACAAGGATGTGTGACACGTTTTATCTAAAAGAATCATTCTAGTGTTTCAACTGTATCAGCTCTCTTTTGCTTAGTTCCATCAAGTTTATTGTACTGAAAAGAATTCACTCTGCCAGAGAAAATTGGCAGAGATGTGAGAAATACTTACCAAAGAAGGGATGGTGCAGTCACCGTATACAACAATGCGCAGTCCATATAAAGCACCATGTCCTGTTTGCTCCCTGACGAGCCGCCATTTCCTTGGGGACTCGAGGTTTATCGCACCATCAGCACTAAGACCAGTACTGTGCCATTCATAAGGCTCCTCTTGTAATAGTTTCCCAGCTTCCTTTGAATCAGCCACATAGTCAGTCTTCAGAATCCAACTGCATTACGGAAACTGATGAGTAAAGATACAGTTTCACCAAAGCAGAAGCTCAAACTAGCAATTTGTTTGAAAATCAGGGCTTAGTTTGGTGTACTACACAATACAGAGGATGTTGATTGACATAAGTTATTGTACCTTCCAGATGCAGCAGCAGCGAAAAACTTTTCGGTCCTACGGATTTCAGGAGCAATGAAATGTGTTGCTTGATAAGACCACTGATGAGAATCCCGGCAACATTTTCCTTTTAAACGCTTAATGATCTGCTGGTATTCGTTTCTCTGGGACCTAGGACCACTGACAATAAAAAACTTCGGCTCATGTTCTTGGTCCTGTAAGACTTTTCTACTAGCCAAGGGATTAACCCTGAGCTGCTTAGACTCTTTATCCGCCTTTGTACCTGTTTTAGCTGACTTTGCAACTTTCTTTTTTGCTAATGGTTTTCCTGAAACCGGGCTTTGGTCTCCACCAGAACCCACCTTTCTAGATTTATTATCCACTGCAATGTTCTCCTTCTCTTTTGCAGAGTTATCCCCTATATCTTTCATCACAGTGTCGGTTGCTTTGGCGCCACTTCGTTTTTTAGATTTTATAGTCTTCTGGACACTGGATTTCCCTACTTCAACTGTCGAAGTCCTTCCTTTCTTTCCACTTTGAAGGCTACTTCTTTCTACAATTCCCTCATTTCCGTGTTTACATTTATTATTATCAAACTCTAATTGCATCGCAGCATTACCTGGATCCTTAGCTGCAGCCTCTTTTTTAGCTAACGATTTCCCCGCAACCAGGCTTTGAGCTCCATCAGAACTGACATCTCCAGATTTCTCATCTACTGCTACATTCTCTTTCGCTTCTGCAGAGTGAATCCATATATCTTTCATAACAGTATTCTTTGCTTTGGCGCCATCTTCTTTTTTAGAAATTTTCGCCTTTTTGACAGTAGGTGTTTGAAGCCAATTTTCTTCTACAGTGGCCTGCTTTCTGCGTTTAACTTTATTTGTATCAACCTCTAATTGCACTGCAGCATCGCTTGGATCTTTAGGGGCAGCTTCCTTTCTTGCTAATGTTTCTCCCGCAACAGGGCTTTGGTCTCCACCAGAACTGACCTTCACAGTTTTATGTTCAAATGCTAAGGTCTCCTTCCCATCCGCAGATTTATCCCCTATATCTTTCGTCAGAGTACTGTTTGCTTTGGTATCATGTTCTTTTCTAGATTTTTTGGTCTTCTTGACACTGGATTTTCCTACTTTGCCTGTAGAAGAACTTCCTTTCTTCCCACTTTGAAGGCTATCTTTACCTACAGCAGCCTCCCTTTTGCGTTTACTTGTATTCTTATCAACTTCTAATTGTAATGCACCCTCACTTGGATCTTCAGTTGGAACATCATTAAGCTCCCGTTCTAGCACCGTAATTTCCACCTCTGCATCAGCTTGCTCTGGGGTCTTAGCCTGCAGCTTATCTTGGTTCACCATCAGATCCAACACAAGATGGTCTTTCTCCTCTGGCGCTAAAGATTTATTATCTACAGAGTCGATTCCCTGGAGGGCTTCAGTCTCTGAGTCAATATGTTTTGCCATTTCTGGTACGACCTCAGTATTAAGGACAGGGCTTGATATCTCCTTCTGATTGCTATTACCTGTTACTGGCGCTGAAACTTTTCCTTTGTTTAGACAATCATTGCGCTCGTCCTTTGGGGTAGGTTCGCTCAAGTATATCGATCCCTTTTGGTTAATGGGGTTCTTTTTCCTGCCTCTGGTGCCCAGGCTCTTTTTTGGAGCTGCTTTCTTCTTGGGCAGCTCTGTTTCTTGCTTGTCTTTCATTCCGATTAAACCCGACCCAGGAGAGGTGCTAGATCTCCTCATCACAGGCTCAGTTACAGATATTTCAGGTACTTCATCCAATGCACCCTTCATAGTAGAATTTTCTGGAGTCCTAATATCAGCTTCCATGGGAACAACACCTGAATTGAACAACCTAGCTGCTGAATCACTCAGATCCAACTTATGTGCAGCTTCCCTGCTTTCGGTGTGGTCACTGAGGTTTGGCACAACCCTAAGGTTTTGCTTAGGTGAGCCTGATCTTGGTTCCTGCAATAAGACATTTCCTGTCATTGTCTCAGTCCATGATCTCTCCGGTATTTCATCCCGTGCACAATTTGAAATGATATTCTCTGCAGTTGAAAGGGCATCAACCACGGGTACCACATTTGAGCTCAACAGTTTAGTGTTTAACTCACTCGCGGGTGATTTATGGCCAGTTTCCTCACTTTCAGTTGGATCACTAATGCTCATCACAGGCCTAAGGTTTTCGTTAGGCGAACTTGGTCTTAATTCCTGCAATAACAAACTGGTCGGTGGTGGAATACTTGTCTCACTGTTGTGTACTTTCTGTGAATCTTTCCTACTGACAGATCCATCTGTAAATTTCGGCTGTGGCATCATCGGAGGGAACTCCTCCCCATGCAACATATCAATCTTGTCAAGATCGTCAAAGAGTGATGTTCTTTCAACGGAAGAACCAGATTTTGATGCAGAGATATTAAAGGCAGTCGAAGCTTTTAGGCCCTTGTCATCCATTCTCAGGGTACCGTTTTGGCCACTTGACTCTTTTCCCAAAGTATCTGTCTCTGGCGATCTCTGAAGTGTTTTCCTTGAATAAGTGGCTAGAGAAGAATGCCTTCTGATACTCCTGTTAATAGACGTCGAGCCATCAGTCTCCATTATGCTTATCCCTTGCTCAGGAGTCTTGTTTGCAACCCTAACGGGGGACACATAATTGGAAGTATCCTGAAATGTGCTTTCTCTCTGGTAATTATGTTGCTGAGGATCAGTAGAGACCATGGCTTCAAAAGGTCTGTCCGTCTTTTTAGGAGTTACCCAATTGTCTTTGGACGTATTACATAATGATGAACCTTCCTGTGCGCCTGAATTTGTTCGAACAAGAGGGATATCTTTTCCTCCCGGCTTAGACATATCAACTGCAGCCACGACACCGACCCTAAGACCAAGAGGGCTGTTGTTTGCACGCTTCACAGAAGCATCTTCTGCTTCGTCCTCAGAATCCCTAGCTGAAGCCTCCATTAAATCCAACTCATAGCCACTGAGAAAAGAGAAAACGATCAGCTTGTAGTGGAAGTATATGCCGAACAGTAACACTATTAATCAGGCTGAAATGAGCACGAAATCCAGAAACCAATTTCTTTAGGAAGACATAAATTCATCTTTGGATAAGAGACTATAGCAACTCTAACGAATAGCAATTCCAGGCGTCCACAAATACAAGAGATAGAGATGGATATGTGTGCACTTTTTACCTTATCTCGTAATCAACTTCAGGAAGGAGCTTCCAATTCTTTAAGCTGCAAAGAAATAAAGAAAGAGAAATTAATATTTCACATCCACAAAAAGGAAAACGAAAAAAGAAAAAACTATTGGCATGCCTCTTACCAGTCCTCTAACCAGCGGTGGTTCACAAGTTTAATCCTCTTAATCCGCTTGGCTAGCTCATACTTTTCTCCTACGCAGAAAGAAAGAAAGACTCGATGGAATGTAAATTCCCCGAAAAACACTAGCTCAGGAAAGTTAAAAGATGTAAAACCAAAGTAGAGACACCACACCCTCAAACTTGTAGCATATAAGATGGGTGACTCGGTTAGCAACCAACGGCTTTGAGAACTGCCCACCGATCAAACCAACCATTGTCTGTTAAAAAAACGAAAGAAACAAGTCTCATAAGGGTACAAATACCACAACAACAAGATAAAGTAAAAAAAAAAGAGGCAAAGCAAGAACACACAAACCATAATGTCTTCTCTATCTTGACCTTGGTAGCCAGTCAAGCACACAACTAAGGTTTTGGACCCTGGAATCCCATTCAAATCTCTAAGAGGCCTAAACAATAACTGTGAAAAGAAAACTAAGCAATCAACAAAAATACATATTAAAGATTAAAAAAAAAAGAAGAAGATAAATGTTGGTAATGACTGACCGAATTTGCATTAACAAGCATTCCAATGACGAAGGTGTGATCAACCCATGACCCAGTGACAACCACCTTCCCGCTGTTTCGAGCAGCAACGCAAATCGGATCATCCTATGATTATTGAGGATTCAAAAGTAAGGGATTTTGCAACAAGAGACTCAAGAGTAAGAGATAATAATAAGACATACATAGACAAGCTTATCTACGATGAGGTGAGTACAGGATTGAGAGTATTGGCCAACTTCAACACCACCATTACTCACAAGCTTCGACCGTAACTGTTATAGAGAGACTCAAAATCAGAAACCCTTACAAAAATAGGATCTACGATTGAAAATAGAGAGAGGGAGAGTAATACCGAGTTTCCATGGATGGGATTGAATCCAACGAGAGCGAATTGAACACCCGAATACATCTTGGGAGGAAAACCCGAATCCACCATTTTTTTCTTTAAAATAGAAAAATTAGGGTTTTATTAGGGTGGAGAAATCGAAGATCGAAACTTGGATTTGAATCAAAACAAAACCCCAGATTTTACACAATCAATTGACTTTGAATCAGAAGAAGATTTTTCTAACACACAAAAAAAATTGGGAATTGTAGAGACTAGAGTGAGAGCGTCTCGGGGAAGATTTAAGGAAGCGGGGGAAATTGAAAAATGAAAACTTTTGATATTTCTTTTAAAAAGTTTTATATTTTGCTGAAGCGGTCTGGCGGGATAAGCAAATCGACGTGGCACCCATCACAATATTCCACGTTGGTATCACCACCATTAAATAATTGAACTGGTTTGGATTGATTTGGTTTGGTTTTATTCAAATTGAAATACGACACTAAAACTGTAATTGGTTTGGTTTATGTTCGGCTAATATAATACGTTTAGTCGTTTTAACGCCTGCTATAATACGTTTTTTTCTTTTTAAGATTTCTTACATAAATAAAATAAAAGTATACAAAAAAAAAAGCAAGATAGAACAATTACAAGCCGAAATTTAAAAAAACAAAAAAAAAACTAGTAACTAGAACTAGGGAAAATAAATGATCCAAACACAAGAAGCTTGAATAAAGGAAGGAGAGACGGTCTCAAATCTTTGTGGCAGCTTGAGGGAATCCAGCATTGTAGAATTGAGATTCCACGCTTGAAACCTAGATGAAGCATTGCGTTACATTTATTTTACAGGGTGAAAATAATGGGCCTTGCTACTTGAACCCGAGAGAGGGAGAGACCGTCATGGAAGCGTCGATTTCTCTCTCGCCAAAGTTCATAGATCGCACCCTTGGCGGAGGGTTAGTCTTTTGTGCTTAGATACTGAAGTTGTTGACAACCAAAGGAGGACTTGATCGGAGGAAATGAGATTTGAAGATGTTGTGTTATGATTCGCCAAACTGATCCGTAGAGAAGACGCATTCAAAAGATAAATGATTTCAAGATTCTTGGGCTAAGCCACAAAAAGAGACAATCTAACTCAACATCATATCTGTTATAATACGTTACGTTATAACTTACAAAATTACTCAATTGTTTACGTTACATTTAATATGGATTTGTTCTAAAATTATGTAAAATATAAATGGTTCAATTTGATTCATATTCTTAAATTTATTGGTAAAAACAGTAATTGTAATATAAATTTTAATGATGAAATATAATATATGACTAACATATAAATTAGAATAATTTCGTTTAAAATAAGCAAAAATGATGAGTGGGACCTATTACCTATACGATTAGATCAAAAGACTATTTTATATGATAATAAAAAAAAATTGAGTGTTTAAAACTTTAAATTCTAAAGTTCATAAATTAATTATGTATTAAGTTAAAAAATTAGTTTCCTCATGTTATTCTATGTTACGCTCAACTGATTCTCATTATATTATTTATTGGTTTTGAATGGTAACATGTACCACTGCGGTATAGGATGGACAACTTTGACAATTACCAATCATAAAAACAATATCAAAAGCATTTCTAAAAAAAGTTACATTTAGTTTTCGTGTACCATTCTTTCTTACAGTTTTGTACTATTACATAACAATTTATCGCTCTATAACAAAAATAATTTTCGATGCCTTTTCATCGTAGAGAAGTTATGTTTTTTATTTTATCGACGAATAATCCTTTACAACCGTATAATAGACTGGCTGCTTGAAGGTGGCATGGTTGATGAGCTTCGAAAACATATAGCAAACGAAAGACGTCCATTGTGCACATAAATATGTGGTTGGAACTACCAATAACACGAGCGACCAAGTGACCAACGACACAATTGTCAATCTGAATAATTATCAAACTCTAACTTTTTTTTACCCGAGGATTTTCTCATTTTTAAACTATACAGTGGTTGAAGCAAAATTTGATCATATATAATTAAGCTGTAAGAGTGTTGATGCTAACCTGAACTATGAACTTCTAAACCCTTTGTCTTCTCAACGGCTGGTGTTATTGGCTCGACCGTCGAGCCCTTTCATTTTGTAAATATTCTAACTACTAGACCGGATTTATTCGGTGATGTTTTCGAAAATTTGCACGATGATCTATTGTTAGTGAAAGGTTGACAGCTGCATAATCAAATGAACTCGAATTAGAATTTTGCTTAAACATTTTAGTTTTAGTGGCACCTGAATAACCTAATTAACCTGATTGAACAAACTGAGATTCCTAGCCTACTGTTCTCTCTATACTTTTTACCTTGGTAAAATCGAGAAACCCTCATTTACCAATGTGCTGTCTGATTTGTGGCATGCAAAGACATTAAACCAAAAAAAAAAAAAGGTTTAATCGCGTTTTAAAAGTGAAAAAGAAGAGACAAAAAAATAACCAATGGGAAAGTGAATCAACGTTATGGGCAGCAGTATTATTATTATAATAGTATATATTATACATTCATGTACCTTTCGATATGTCATGTCCAAAGAGAAGAAACTTTTGTCCTTTGCTAGTTTCTTCGTTTTGAGTGCATTTGATTGGACTTCTGTCAATTCTTTCTTTGAATTTTTTAACCTTTTCTTCTCATAATTTATTTTCTGATAATAACCTGTCGTCTGAAAATTTATTAATTATTACACAATCTTTTATTCACAACAAAATTTTTTTTTATAACTTTTATCCTAACCATCAAAATGAGTGGATCTTGAGATGACTGCGTTTTCAATTGGCTATCTTGAATCATGTAGATCCCGGCTAATGATTCTTTTTTAGTCGACAAGATGAAATCTGTACATGGGCTTGATTCTGGTGATAACACAACCACATCATTAACAAAAACCCAAACCAATAAGCTATAAATTCTTGTCACAGCAAATGGCTTTACTTACAAATTTATAAAACAAAATATTAATTGACAAAAAAAAACAAAATATTAACTAAATTTAATATTTGTAATTTAGGTATGTATGTTTGTGGGGAGAGCCGTTGTTTGTTGTTCATTTGGCAATGATATAATTTTTTTTTTTTTTTTGTCATCTGGCAATATGATATAAATGTTAAAACAAATTTTTTGACCCGTCAATTGAAAGTTTAGTATTTCTTCTATTTTTTTTTTGGTAACAAAAAAGTTTAGTATTTACTGCTAAGGAAATCTATATTAATAATAATGTTATTTTGGTAGATTGATAATTCTTTTGTTGAGTGATAGCTTATATAACAAATGATCAAACTGCAAGTAGTTTGTTTTCTCAATTGATTTATCTCTAATACAAGTCGATAACTGGACTGAAAATGTATCTTGGGTAATCCAAAAAGTCACATGATCGGTGTATGTTGTTGCTACGTATTAATTATATATTGATCCGGTCTTAAAAATATGGATGGAGCTCAATCCAGAATTTCTTAGTTATCAAATTTCTTTTTGAAATAACTCATAGGAGCAAAAAGAGGAGACAATCAAACATGTTGTGCTCTCTACAATTTCCTAACCAGTCTCACTTCTCAACAATATTATATAATTTGCATTGCTTCATAAAGTATTCCACTTGTAACCAAAAAGATTAACTTTAAAGATAATTTCATAAGGAAAACAACATTTCATCTACATAGTTCTTTAAATGATATCAGCAAAGATCATGTGAAACCATTTTTAAAATATTATATCTAGACAGTAAAACTTTTACTTGGGAGATAATACTTGCTTTTCAACTATTAGAAATACAAAATTTCCTAATGATTATACCGTTTATTTGTTGATATAAATATTTTATAGCAATTTTTGATATTCAAAAAAAATATTTTTCATGAAAACAGAAACACAAATGTGAATAGTGATGTAAAATTTTCATAAATAGTATGGATCAACTTTTTTTGGGTTTTGTCGTTTAGGCATAGTGAAGAATAAAGAAGAAACAAACAAGAAAGAAAGCTCCAAAATTCTCGGGCAGACAATATTCTTATTATCCATAATTTCATCCAATGTGAATAGTGATGATGTTCTGTCTTTTCTTTTGTACAAAACGCAGAAACACCTTCGCACTCGCACGGTCATTCAAATTCAGCAACTAAGCGCTTCGTATTTAACCGGAATCGGTTGGTTAAACCCGGTCCGTGCAATCAAACTCCCAACCACCGTCAAATCTCTACAAAACACTCCTTTCACCACATTCGTATTGTTATTAGTACTATTACTGTTCACCGCAACCGCGGCCGCTCTGATCGGCGTTTCGATGTTATTACTCCGATGAGTTTCCGCTGCCACGGCTTTTCGTTGCTTCTCCGCGGCTTGTTCCGTTGCGATGTTACTTGTCACGACTGAGTAGCCTTTCTGGATCAATCTGTATAGTAATAGAGTTGACATTCTTGCTCGGTCCTTAACCGAGTCTAATTCTTCCTCATCATCGGTTAACTCAAACCGGTCAATAAATGACATTGATCTCTCCGGTTTATGCTTTAAATTGAGTAACAAGTAAGCTCGATCCAGCTCTGATCTCGAGCAATCACGTCTGATTCCCATCAGAGCATAGTAATCCACGTTTCCGATTTCTCCGTTTGCGATTTTCGTCTTCAATTGCTGGATCTTCGAGGTCAAAACGCATAATTTTCCCGGTATTTCTCTGTACCGGACGTTGTGCCGTTTCCAAACCGGACCGGGGAGTTTCCGGTCACGTAAGATGGAGTTGTAGAGGAGTTTCAGATGTTCCAAATCGTGAAGCGAATCGGGGAAACACCGAACGGATTCTAGCAATGCGGCTCTGGTTTCTAAGGCTTGGAGACATGACGGATCTAAGGCTAGGGTTTTGTTACAGTCGGCGATTGATTCCGCGATTCTTCCGGCGGATCTGTAAGCGGAGGCCCGGTGCATAAAGCACTGGGCGAGAAATGCCTGCGGCGCGCCACGGCGGCTGTCTAAGATTTTTGAGAAATGTCGAATTGATTCTGAGTAGAGCCCTGCGTCGAGAGCGGCGAGTGCGGCGGCGCGTCGTCGTAAGAGTAGCTTGATGTGAGATAACACGTGAGCGATGCTCTCGGATCGTGGCTGAGATCCGGAAGTTACGACGACGGAGGTGGGAGGAGAGGAACCGCCGTCTTCGGAGGAGAAGAGAATGAAGCTATCGTCAGACCAGCAAATGCTCTGACGGCGGAACGCGGCGGTGGCTAAGCGTTTACCGGTTTGAAGAAGAACCATCGCGTCTTCCATTAGACCTAAATGGCAACAAGCTTGACCTAACACCAAATATCTGTAACAGAAAGAAGAAGAAGAAAAGATCCGAATCAAAAAATCCGGGTCGGGTTTTCTTTAATGAAAATCAGAAATGGTTTTGAAGTAAATTACCTCCATTGCCCTTGTTCGTCGCAGTTTTTACTGAGACCAGCCATGACTTTCTTCTTCAAATCAGAGACAGAGAAGCATTTAAAAGACGAGTCATGATGATGACTCGGCAAATCGTTGAGAAGTTTGACAGATTCACGAGAAGAATGAGTAACAGAAAGCTCCGATGAACCGATGCCGGAATCTTCGCCGGCTAGTTTAAGACTAGGAATGTAATCCTGAAGCATATCAGCGACGTCTTTGAATCGACGGAGGTAAAGAAGCGATCTGGCTTTGAGTTCGAGAGCGAGTTCGTAACGAGGAGATACAGAGAGTGCAGATTCCAGAAGATTCAGAGCAGATTTAACGTCGTTTGGATCTCGACTCGCTATTAAATTCTTAGCTTCTTTCATGTACTTATCAACGATCTGAGAGAGAGAAACAAACATAATTTGATCAGATCAATTTCGAATTCACAAAAACAATGAAGCAGAAGAGATCCAAATATGGAGACTGACCTTCTTGTTGCGGAGCCACCAATGCTTCTTCTCTCCGTAAACCGCCATTGTCGTAAAACTTGTGAAACAATCAGAACAAGAAGAAGAAGAAGAAGAACTTTTCTCTCTTCTCGATCCGGAAAAAAAAAACTAAAATAAAATATTATATATAGAGGAAAAGTCGAAAACACGAGAGAAGAGAGAGATTTTGAAAAATCATGTGAAGAATTGAAGTGTCTTAAATATGGAAGAAGAGAGTTGTGTAATAAGAAGAAGATGAATGCTAAAATGACGGGTTTACCCTTTGATGAAGTTCTTCTTCTTCTTTGGATCCTTTCCTCTTCCTTAGCTGGCAACACAAAACCACACTATTGCTTTGCTTACCATTAGCCCTATCATCATTCCATCCCTCATTCATTATTTCCTAAAATACACATTATCATTAATATTTTATTTTTTGATAATTAATATAATCTTTTTTTTTATTCATTAAAAAAACAAATTCATGGTCATAAAACTTACTATTGATATCCAAATAACATATGTGGTTAACATTAGTGATCTAATTGGTTGCTATATGAACGAGTATAAATAAATTCTAGTACAAAACAATACAGTAAATAAGTATGTCGTAAGCCACAAGACTCATGCTAATTTTTAATGGGTTGTTATTGTTTTATTTAATGAAGCAGTTTAGGTTTTTGATTCGTTTAATGTTTTCTTAATCGAGCGGGGAAAACTTTCGGCTTTATTTAATTGTTATTAAATACAAATATTTACTTTTTAATTAATGCACATGTAATATAAATGGGTACTACAAGATTAGATCAAAAGATGGCCTGCTTTGGTTGGCTTTTAATAAGTCTCTCTCTCTCTCAGATAAAAGTTAAAAATTATGTTTAGAACGTGACAATATTAATCGTGGATGGAGATTGACTCGTTATACAAGATGAAAAGTGATTAATTATTAGATTACTAGTAGTAAAATTCACTTATGTCTTATAATGAGTTAAGATACCAAATGTTGTCATGCATTTAACAAAACAAATTGTGAATTCTACCCGTGTATTAATATGGAATTAGGATACCAAATGATGTCATGTATATAACCAAAAAAAAGTTTATCTATATATATTTCTTTATCAAAGAAAATACAATAAATTTACAAAGGTACAAAAGTAAATGTTCTCCAACTAACGGGTTTGCTTTTTGCAGTTGCTGCTGATATCTCATGCACGCAACAATTATACCGCTCGAGGTTAGACGCAATAAATTTTTCAATTTTTGTTTTGAAGAAAGTGGAAAAGGAAACAGATTTAAATTTTAAAACCCTATCATTTTAGGTTTTATTGACTGGTTATTCAAAAAATAAAAAATAAATGGCGAGGGATAAAGTATGCACTTCGTTAGCTTTTTCCCATATGGACAATACCCTTTTTATTCGTCATATAACACTACCATTTATACCTAGACAAAATAATAACTCTATTTGTCAACATGGTTATGAACCTTTGTTTTTTTTGGTTTGACAACCTTTTTTGTCAACATGGTTATAGGTATATATATGCCTATATCATTTTTCGAAGAAAAATTTATATTTAAAAAAGGAAATAAATTAACCACATTATATACTTTGATGGCAGGAAAAAAAAAGTAATTAAATAAGTAAGGAGGAAATGGTTGCGTTAACGCCAAGAATATGACTTTGTATTAGCTTCGACGTGGCATTCTCCTATACGAGTGAATAGAATAGTATAAACTCGGCCAGAAAATGCAACAAATTTAGTGAATCATTGCATCAACATCAAGGATAAATGCCTAATCTAAGTACAATACTTAATCATACAAAATAATCAATAAAGCTTTCTTTAAAAAAATTAAAGAGAATAAAGCGAAACAATATTCATAGAAAGGGTCTCGAGATGGAATATTTTTATTTTCACCATCATTTGTTAGAGACAAATGTCACGGAATGCGTCATTGCTTCTTACTCATATATTATTGTAATATAGATCCTAATTATCAATACTAACTTGTTCTTATAATTTTGTACACCCTTTTTTTTTTTGGTTTAAAAAGACTGTATACAATTCAGATAGGGTGTAAATTAAAATAAATGAAGCTAGTACAGCCATAGAGTCACTTCAAGGAATCATTTGACCTAGCGATCTAAACCCATTTTATTAATATATGAAATATTTTGCACATTGTAACAATTTTTTACACAAATATATATAATTTTGTTTTTTAAAAGAACAATTCTAGACAAAACATTTTTTAGTTATACTCCGAGGAAAACGACTATGTCAATTACGGGACAAATATATCTATATATAGTTAAACGATATGATGCTCCCAAGTCCTAAACTCCAAAACAATTATAATTTAGAGATTATTAGTTTATATATTGTTACTATTATGATACACTAATTGAGCTACAATGTTGGAAGTACAATCTTATGAGCTAATATAACCATCTAATTATTGGTCATTCAAAAGCAAGTTTATATATTCATGATTTGATTCCTTTTAAGATGCTAACAATTCTTTTTGGAATATGTTTATATGAAAAAAATAAACCATGACTGATAATTGTGGTGTTCACAAAACCATACACCATACATATAATATATATATATATATATATGTCTTATCCTAGGAATAATAAATGATTATGTATGAGTTCTATAATGAAGTCTTGAATTGGGCTCCAATATATGGAAGAGGCCAGCAAATAATGACATAATTGCAAATTAACATGACAAGTTCTATCATCTATGAGTATCAAAGAGTCTTGTTTTGGTTTCTTTCTACACGAATAAACATGTCTTGACAGCTCATTTAGTCATTTAATTTCTCCAGCTCTAACCTCTTTATCTTCAGCGCTCTTAACCTGATTTGCTTACTTCTATATAAATATTTCATGTATTTGGTTGTGTTGTGATCCGATGGTTTTTAGGGTTTTTCGAGGTAACAAATTGGTTATAATTTGATGCACACGCTAGACAATTACATAATCCAGATGATAATTGTAAACTCGGCGATTTTGTCATTAATGCTTTGTGGTTTTCAAGGATAAAGATTGTTGTGGTAAAAATAATATGATTGGAATATATAATTTTACGAGATATAAAAAACTTAATCCCATTGTTAAGAAAATTCAATTTTCATAAAATTTGACAATTGTAGCTGATGAAATCTTGAATTTGATATAACTTTGTAATTTCAAATTTGTGAAAAGTACATAATAAGAAAATTATTATGTCATTTTATTTAATTTGAAAGATAATTGAAACTCATTAGTTTAGTGTAGTTTGAAAGAACATGTTTATAGAACTCCATATAATAATTCTCTCCTAAGTTGTTAAGTAGTCCTTTAATACTTTTTTTTTTTTTATAAATATGCAACTATCTTGTAATAAGGCCTCGAATGTTTTGTAGTTTTTGAAAGAGTTTTTAGTTTTTGTTTTTGAAAAACTCATTTCACACCAATCAAGTTTTTAAAATTTTGGTTTCTCTACAATTTAGAAACATTTTTTTGTTGTGATCTTCCATTCAAGATTTTAGATTTTTAGTTCTCCTATAATTTAGGGAATCTAGTTTTTACTCAATCTACGTTATTTTTCTCAAAAACCAAAAACCACTTTTTTGGGGTTTCTAAAACAAAAATCTAATTACAAAATCTAAAACTAAAATCTAAAATCTAAAAACTAAAAACAAAATCCAGAAACCAAATTGAAAAACAGCATCCATTCATGGCCTAAATCTGTCTTATGGATGGATATACAGCTAAGGCTGCTAGTTAGTGTTGGTAACTTGGTATATATAGGTAGGCTTAGAAGATCCATCTTTAAGGAAGTAATATAAAGAATTGAGACATGATACATAATGGTTGGTTTCTAAAATTATTTAAGAAATTTACATCAAATTTTAAATGTTGAGGATCAAGAGTGCTGAGTTAGAAGAGAGCAAGTCATTAATGTATCAAGTGGGCAAACACATGTTGTGTTTTTTAATACAAACTTTTTTTTTCTTTCTGAAGATGTAAACAAATATTTATTCGTTTTTAGGGAATTTTGTCGAATATACTAATTTGAAGTTTCGACCTTTGAAAATTTCAATTGTTTTCATATATAAATACTCTCTTTTATTTCTTAATTGGTAATGGAAATATAAGAAATACTCCTACCAAATATCTATAAATTATTTATACGTTGTCTCCTCCGTATAAGCTACTTCATTTTCATTTTAATCAGCTGTTGGATTTGTAGTTTTGTTCGTAGTAGGCAATAAACTAAAATCAACTATAATTGTGCAACCCCTGTCAATATAATTATAATTATAATTATATAACAATGGCTAATGAAATTAACGGTTTTTCCCCTCATTGGATCCCTTGTTATATATATTTCTGCAGGAACAGCTGCGAGTAGTTGTTGTTTGGTGGGAGCTTACTAATTGTACATTAAATAACGTTAGCAAACTGAAATATACTACTCCCTCCGTTTCGGTTTAGTTGTCGTTTTAGGATTTAAATTTTGTTTCATAATAGTTGTCGTTTTAGGTTTTCAATGCAAATGTTTGGTGAAAATTTCAGTTTTATCCCTACTGTTTTAATGTTTTGGCCAATGAAATTTTTTATAAAATATATTATTAAAGGGTAAAATAGAAAATTTAATGCTTTTCTTAATTTGTGTGAAAAAACCTTAAACGACAACTAAAACGAAACTGAGGGAGTACATATTTGCAACTTGGCATAGTCATATGTCAAAAAGAAAAAACAGAGACATTTCGTAAATTCAAAATAGATAATTGCAAACTAAACCCTTTTTTTTAAAGAAAAATTGCGTACGTAGAAAAGTGTATAAATTTAACATACAAACACAAAACAGTTGAAGGTTAATTTTGACAGAAGTGCATTAGTTAAATATATATTACTGGAGTTTACAGATATGCGAATGCAATCTCGTGAGTGGTCAATTAGTTGCCACTAATTTCGATCTAATCATACTGCACAGAACTACGCATTGATTTGACCATTATCATTCTACTATGTTAATCATTAAAATGTAAAATAATGAAATATAATAAAACTCTTCCAATGAGATCTCATCCTATGGTAACTTGCTATTTAAGCTATTAGTTAACTAAAATAGATATATAGATTAATGGTAAGCTCTTCAATTATCAATACGTGTTGGTGTCCAATGAGGCAAAACTTGTTGTGAAGCCCTAAAGATTCCCTTATCCAAATTTGACCCACATCCACATGTGTAGTTTGTGATAATATATTTTAATTACCATTTAGATTACTGCGTTTATTCTTATACAGTTGAGAATTGAGATCTACATTATATGATTATATTTAGCTTTTTGGGATATAATTCCATTTCATTTTCAGCAAAATGTAGCATGATTCCGTAGATAGCAAGAAATTCATTTTTTGGTATTTTAGATATAATTAAAATACGTCGTATTTAACTATATTTATGTTATTTTTTGATTTTTTGATTTTTTGATTTTTTTTTTCTAGTAAGGTCATAAAAGCCACCCTTAAAAATGTTTTCAACTTTCTTCTAAATGTTAATATATTTTTTTGGCGGCAAAGAAACGAAGTTTTGTTTGTACGGATTTATTTAGGTTTATAACCTAACATAGAAAGTAATTAGTATTATTTCATTAGATTTGCAACATGAACAAATCATATGTCGAGGTCATGAACCAATGCGACGTCATCTTTTTTACACAAATACAAAAATCTTCGAGAGGTTGGACGACGTGCTCTGCACGTGCATGAAGACGATATATCACGTGTCACATGCAAACCATATTATTTCTCAGGTATTTTCCTATAAATTTTTAAATAGTATTTTTTAATCATAACATTGGATAAAATCATTTAACGTATGGTTTATTTAATGTTCTGATTAAGAAAAAGAAAACTACTTAAACTAGTAACTTTGTCTTAAAATTTTCTGCTCATGCAAATGGATCTCAAAAGTGTCAAAAATGAGTATAAAAGTTCACAAAAATGTAACAATTACATTTTACTGATATACTTTGGAAATTTCTTTTACTGATACTTTGCTCTGTTCATATACATTGCTTTATGCAAAGTAAATCTATACACACGTTTGAAAAAATCATAAGAATTTATTTTAACATGTAGAAGTCCTGCAACACCTCTTTATTTAACCTTTAGAAAAATAAACATCTCCTTTATTTCCATAGAAATAAATTTTATAATAAAAAAATTTTGAAACAAAAGAAAAAAAAATCACAAAGGAAATAAAAATATGACTAACGTTCCAAAAGACACTGTACAAATAAAAAATAACAGACTGCGCCAAACAAATATTCCGCCATATATAGTTCAAGTAAGAAAAACTAGTGGATGTATATGTATATATATGTACAAAAGATCCAAAGGGTGATGCAACAAGAAGTAAATTTTAGGATGGACTGCGACAATTCATATATCCGATCACTAACCAAGAATTGGTTTTCCATTAGTACATGAACAAAACTGCGACATGTATTTTTGTGTATTGTTCATATCATTTTCTAAATCTTTGTGTGTGTTTAAATGAACTTAGAAGAAAATATTGAAATTGTAAAATATTATATGTTTGTAAAAATGTGACAATCCTTTTCTATCGCGATTCACCACATTGTTTGAAAAATGAGAAAATTACATAAGAATTGGATTTTGAATTACTACATTAGAACAAGTATCAAGTGATAACGAACGAAACAGAGGTTTTGGAATTCAGGTGAGTTTCTCGTGACCGGCGTACAAGACACATACGCACGTTAAGAAACGATCTTACACACAATTTAGCACAAAACACACACCAATACAACAAAATCATTTAGAAAAGGATTTTAACCAAACGACAACGTATTTATAACAAGAACCGTTGATGGATTTTCTTCTTTGCTTTCTTCTCTTTAATAGGATCCAAGCTTGGTTTCCACCCTCTTCCCGACAATTGCCGGCTCAAAAACTCCGGCCTATCTTCCTCCTCCATCTCTGCCTCCAATCTTCCAACCGACGTAGCAGCAACCACCGCATCAGTCGCTGGATTATTGTTCTTATAACTTCTAGTAGTAAACCAAGGAAGAATCCCTTCATAGTAGCTAAACGATGACCTTACCATTGCCGTGGCGCTAAATAGCATTTTCCGCATCTCCTCTGATGTCAGCACCGCCGATGATGATGATTTGGCGGCCCTGCCACCGTTTCTTTTGGCTGGAAGCACCAAATAGATTTTCCCCGGCTCGAGAGTTTTGTCAGCGGGCAAAGGAGCCAGCTTTCTCTTCACCGTTTTGGCGTCGTTTTTTTTCCGTTGGTGATTGTTGAACGATATCGATGACGGATCAAATTCGACCACCACGTGTTGCGGATTTTCCAGCATAATCTCAGCCACCGTCGTCTCTTCCTCTAAGTTTTGTACCCTTCCGTCGGATAATACAACTTTTCCGGCGGCCATCCCCGCCGCATCCAACTTTCGGGAACCAGCTACGTTACCCATTCTCAGATCAGAATGCTCCTATAACTGTCTTTGTGTTTGTGTAAATATATATAAACACTAAACACACACACACACCACACATGAAATGGTTTGGTTTGTATTGAGTTCGTTAAACGGTTCCATCGTTTACTTTTAATGATAATTTATTCATATACAAAACAAATATTGTATTGGTGGGATCATGACGAGAAAAAATTGATGGGTTTGTTGGGTAATCTCACGGATGGTTTGATATCCAACGGTCGAGAAACTCTTTTGCTACTACTACATTTACACACGTATTTAAACTTTTCTTATTTCTAATATTTGACTATGCGTGAAACGAAAGTGAAAAAAACTGTTCAACCACACATCTCTTTCTCTATTGGGTTAGTTAACTAACTTCACAAAGTTATAATCTAAACATTTTTTCCCCTTATTTCAATCATTATATTGAGTATAAAAATTACGAAACATGTAATGTAAAAAATTCACTACAAGAAACAAACCAGTCGAGGATCAGACAAACGAGAAAAAGCTACGTTTTAAGACATTTTCTTACAACACATTAAAAAAGACAGAAAGAGCAAGACAATACAAAAACTGAATTTATAGAAACTTACGGCTTAATAATAACAGCTTGTGTCGTCTTACTTGATGTATTGAGAAAGCCATTTGAAGCCTTCGCCATAACCCATTTTCCTGACAATGCTGCACATGAAAACCTCCAATGGCCTTACGTTCGAATCCGTTAGATTCACTTTACCCTTTCCTGTTGTGAAGTTGGAGAGTCCGAGATGGTAACGGAGCTCGTCCTCTGATGCAGCGTAAGGTATGTCTATTTTGTTTCCTAGAATGAGGAATGGGACGTTGGCTAGGGATTCGTCTGAGAGAAGTGCGTCAAGTTCCTTTTTTGATTCTGCAAATCTCTCTTTGTCGTAGGCATCAACTAGGTAGACCACAGCGTCCACCTGCAAAAAACAGAGTAATCATCGAAACTGATGGTTCATAAAACTCTACCATTGAAGTAGCTACATACTCAATCTTCGACGAGAATTAACTGGAAAACTACTACATTAGAGCGAAAATTATCTAGCATGATGCATTGCTTGTGAGCTAAACTGCAAAACAAGATTTTTCACTAGGAAGAAGAGCTTAATAAAGAACGATGTAACGGGTGTATATGCAGAGGCAAACGCGTGAAATGAGGAGAAACCTTTACTAAAGACTATAAGGGACTAGTGAGTAGGTGAATTATGCTCATAAGAAAACCGATAGAATCGACAGAGCCACAAGCTTCTCAAGATGCTTCATTTCATGGTAAAATGGCATAAAACAGCAAAAGCTATTAGATAAGAGACATGAGAAATCTCAAAAGCTACCTTAGCATAGTAATCCTTCCACACCCTGCGAGCAATCTGATGACCACCCAAATCAAAAGCCTTAAACTTGATTTTCCCAATGCTAAGTTCTTCAGACGTTGGATGCTGCGTCGGCTGATGCTGTACCAATCTCTGTTTCACCAATTCGACCGTGTTCGATTATCGATCAGTTAAGCAATAATAAAACTAGTGTTAATCCTAGAAAGACAAACACTAATCTGGATTGAGCTTAAAAAAGAACTCAAATTCAAGCAGCAACAAAGATTCCTAAATCAAATTCAAGCATCTACTCCAAAATCAGAAACTTCTCATATCGATCGATTCGATTAAAAAAAAAACAGAAAAAGAAAGTGAGAGCGAACCTCGTCTTTCAACATGTGAAGCAAAGTGGTTTTACCAGCATTATCGAGTCCAAGAAACAAGATCTTAGCCTCTTTCTGCCATAACCCTAACGAAGCGAGTACGCCATAGAACCAATCTACCAAGAACATCACTCACTACTCAGATCCTCCTACCACTAAATTATCCGATCGTCAGGTTTCTAATTTAGCTTGGAAGACGAGTAAAGGACGATAGAGATAGAGAGAGGCGTTTCTTTCAATTCCTACAAGTGTTGCCATTTTATTGTTGGATTGAAAAGTAAAGTTAAAAAACGAAAACGGCAAGCAGTGCGGATTCCAAAACCACAAACGGGTCCACAACGATGCCTGCCTGTGTCTTCTACGTCAAAGGCAAGCCCAATTACAGAGGATTCAATAAGCCCATTTATAGATTTACATAAGCTCCAAATGGCCTTTTATTCCAAGATTTTTGTTTTCTTTCTCTTTAGCGGTCCATTTTCTAGATTATGGGAAGATTTCAATATTTTTAAACTTGTCGCTAAAAAAAGAGTTTTGTCGTTAAAATTAATGTTTTCAGTTAAATCAAATACTTAAAAGGAGGCTAACTCTCTCCAGGAGAGTGACACGTCAGCATTTTTAGCTATTGTGGAGCTGACACATCAGCTTTCTAGACATCCAATCAAAACATTTCGTTAATATGAGTCAGCTTTAATTTTTTACACATCATCATCTAATTATGAATGCCAAATGGGCTATACAAAATAGCCCAAGACATATAGCCCATATGTATTTCATAATCTGATAATCATTAACTAATCCTTTTGGTTTTTATCGTTTGTTATATCATCATTTGACCTTGGTTTTTATCGTTTGTTATATCATCATTAGAAATATTTTTGATTTTTTTCATTAATCTATGTAGAATGTAGTATACATAGAGTTACAGAAAACGATTCTACGAATATGTTACATTAGTTTTTTAAATTGAAAATTAATATATGTGCATAGTCATATTTACAAGAATCTACCAGAAAATGATTAGTCGGCGAATTTTGAAATATTTATTTTTATATGTTTCCTCTAGTAGTTGAAACCCCTACAAAAATCCAATGTAGAAACTAGAAAGATAAGGTCGCCAAAAATAAAATAGAAAATGAGATAAGCACAAATGTCAGCGTCTAAGTGTACTGAAACAAAAGAAGCTAATAATTATGCAATACAATAACAAATGAGATAATTGTCTATTGTCGTGATATGTTGATGAATGATGATATATACCTGGTTGTCTTCGTTTTAAATAGAAAACATCAGAGTATGGAGAAGTATAATCCAAAATGGAAACTTGACCTTAATTTTTCTGAAAATATGTGTTTTGTTAAAATAATGATAATAAAATGTACTATCTGATGTAGTTTGGTCACTTTTCATATGCATTTATGGTCTCACTTTATTTTCAAGAATAACATAAAATTTCAGGGAACACTATTTATCATAAGAGGTTAACAAAACAAAAAATGAAGTTTTCTATATCAAATAGGCCAAAACAAAAAAAGTAACATGAAAATGAAGAATTACTAAGGAGGGGTTATTGGTTAATGGATTTATAAGGAATTAGAAATCCAAACAAAAATCATTTGTTATTCAATCATTGATTTTAAAATCCTAACTAAAATCATGTGTTATTGGTTCTATGAATTATAAATACTAGTTAAAATCCTTTGTTATTCGTTTAGTCATTTGTTTTTGGATTTGAGAATCCAAATTATATTTTAAATGGATTTGAATGGAATTGAAAGAGTAAAATAGAAGGATTCAAATCCATCGGTAAACACATGTTATTTCAAAATCCATATATCTTGATTTCATAATTAATAGAGATTTTCAAATTCTATATGGATTTACAAATTAATAAACCAATAACACCCCCTAAGATTTTTAATATTTTTTTGTTTGGTATGCTGATTATTTTTAATAAAAATAGGACCCACGAGTTTAAATTTCTGGTACTCAGCAGCTGACCAGGCGACCGTTGATAAAGCAATCATACAATTCGTGAGCCTTAGGCTTCATATTCAAAATTCGTTCCAATTTCATATACCTATTTTTTTTATAAATAATATTGCACTATAATAGTATAAGTTACATTACATCCATAATCAGATATATGTCATGAATCATGATAAATAGTCACTAGCCAGGTTGCTTTGATATCAGGTCACCTATTTTTTTTTTTTTTTTGTTAGCTATATCGACTTTTTTGTTTTGGACAAAGCTAAATCGACTTTAAATTTCACTTTTATCACATATTTAAGCCTTGTAAATCAGAATATTAACACCTACTGTTGAGTTTGGTTGTTGACTCGTTTTTTTTTTGTGCACAAGTTGTTGCCTCTTTGTGAGATAGTGTCTTATTTTTATAAGTTTTTTTTTTCGTGTTATTGATATGATTAATTAAGATACTAGTTGACAAAATGATCTTCCAAGGCCAGAATGTATAAAATCGACAATTCCAAGAAGAGATTGAAATTTGATGGCATTTATTGTGATGTGTGTATTTAGTTTGTTGCTGAACCAGTCAATCCTATGGTTTGAGATAATTAATCCACATATAAAAATGCAATACTAAAAAAAAGGCAAGAAATGACAAGAAAAAGTTCTTTTATGAAATGAAAGCTAACCTAATGTATTATTCTCTTTAGGGTAATTGAGTTTTAGATATAAGACCACAGTGATTTGAAGGTTTTTAACTATTCTTGCAGTTATATTCATATCCAAGAAACATCATCCAATCAAAAGATATACGTAAGAAGAATCTTATTATTATTTCATTCAAAAAAAAAAAAAGAATCTTATTATTATTTTGCATATATGTGGGGACTCAAACATCATCCAAACAAGTTTACAGCCAATTAATACATAAACAATGCTCCAAATTCTGAACAATAATCATATATTACTTTTTGGGAGTTTTCGTTCTAAGACATACATTGTCATTCAATCATCCGGTCATCACCACTAAACTAGAAAAATATTTTTGAGATATTTTCTATAATTCGAATCTAATGCCACCAAGTACAATAGTGAAGAAACCACACACTTTTCTGAATTATGATCTTAAGTTATATTCTATTGTGTCAAAATGGATAAAATTCATTGCGAAGTAGATAAATGTAACTAAATTATGGTTAATGTGAAGTTGTTGTTGAGCCAAAAAAAGAAGAAAAAAAGAAGAAGTGAAGGTACCAATAGATGATCAGAGCCTCTCAACTATCACAATCTTATACTTTGTTTTGTTAAACCAAAATCTTCTACTTGCACAAGAAACCAATTCGTTTTAAAAAAGAAATATATGTTAATTAAGTTCTTTCCATTTAATATGTTCATAAAGAAAGAAATGAGAAAAGTCGAGGTTTATGTTGACTTGTGCGATCTCATAGTTGACAATTATACGGCCTCTTATTTTTTGCCTCAACTCCTAATTTGAAATAATCATTCTTCCAGCTCTTACATAACCGCGTTTTGTACATTATGTTATGGAAATACTAGAAAACCCCATATTTATTTCTTTAACAAACAAAAAAAACCCATAGTTATTTCTTTGTATAATAAGTTCTTGAAGTACTAAAAGTCTAAAACCATCAAAAAGTTCTTGAAACACGTCAAAGCTGCCATATGCATGATTTAAATTCTGCTTTGGTTCATGCAATAATATACTCTCTTTATTCAATTATATAAAAAACTTGGGGTTAACAGGCCAATATTAAAAAAATTAATTTTCTTCACTTAAATATCGTTTGATATTTTTAATTTAAAATATTTAACTAATCATAAATAATACTACAAAATATAAATGATTATAAAATATTAAGTATATTTAAATTTTGCATATAAACTTGCAAAAACATCTAATAAAATAAATAAAAAATCTATAGCATTTTATAAAATGAGAAAGAGTGAGTATAATATATTCTTTTACTATTTGTGTAATGCTAAGTTGCTAACTATCATAAATAATCATGACATTGTTAACTGAAGGAAATTATCATTTATAAACTAAAATAGTACTTTTTAAATCTCTATAAACTTCCAAATAAAATAAAATAAATTGAATGAAAAACTAGTAAAAAAGGATTTTGTAATTTGGTTGAGATACTTTTATTTTGTAAACCAAGTAGATTGTGATGTGTCAAATTAAGTTAAACTATCATATAACGATGTAACGGATTAAACAAAATAAAATACTATATATATATGTAATTAGAAGAAGTAGAAAACACATGTTAATAGCTAGGGGAAATGTTTTTACTGGAATTAGACGTTGAAACTTTTAGGGAGATTGACACAAATAGCCCCAAAAAAGTTGTTTTTTCCAAAAATAGCATCTCATTTGAAAAGTTTCACAAATAGCACCATAAACTTCAATTAAACTTAATGAAAATATAAGATAGAAAATAAAAAAGAGAGCAAACACTAATCTAATATTAAATTGAATCAAAATTGTTTTAAATAGTGGAAATATATACCCTAATTTGGAAATAGGGAACCCAAATATAATACTACAAACTAATATTAAAATAAAAATCTCTTTTAAATGGTGAAAATATATACCCTAAATTGGAAATAGGGAACCCAAATATAATACCATAAACTAATATTAAAATGAATCAAAATCTCTTTTAAATGGTAGAAATATATACCCTAAATTGGAAATAGAGAACCCAAATATAATATTTTAAATTTATTTCTAATTTATTTTGTTGAATATCTTTTATATAAAAGTTGTGGTATTATTGAAAAAAAAAGCTAGTGATAAAATGTTTAGAACAAAAACACTAATAGTAAGTTAACTAGTGCTATTTTTGGAAGTTTATGGAGTGTGTGCTATTATTGTCAATAAAACTTGTTTTAAGGCCATTTTTAGGAATTTCTCAAACTTTTATTGGAATTTGAATAAAAGAGACATAAGTAAGGGTAAAATCGAGAATTTGCATACATTTTGTGTATAAAAGTTTCAGACTCTCTCTGCCAAAAGCTCTTCTTCAGAAGATAACAACAAAAAACAGAGCAAAGCTTTTTTTTTTATTCAAGAAACAGAGCAAAAGGTTTTCCAAAAAAAAAAAAAGAGCCACGAAGAACTTTCCAAATCATCAAAGGATCAATAAAGAGAGAGATGGGAGATGTGATTCTGTTCATCGATGATACGAATTCGAAAGTAAGAATCTCGCGTTGCAGAATTTGCCATGAAGAAGAAGAAGAAAGTTTCTTTGAAGTTCCTTGTGCTTGTTCTGGCACCGTTAAGGTAAAAGAACCAAACAAAAAAAAAAAAACTTTAATTCTTAAAATTTGAAACTAATAGAGTTTTGTTTTGTTTTTATTTGATCAGTTCGCACACAGAAATTGCATACAACGTTGGTGTGATGAAAAAGGAAACACAACTTGTGAAATCTGTCTTCAGGTATTTTTTGCTTCTTGATTATCAATTTTTCCGATCACTTTTTTTTTTAGTTTTGGTTTCGAAATGATTCGAAAAAAAAAGTTTTTATGTTATTTGATTTTTTGTGTGATGTGCGCTTCGCTGTATTCAGATAATTAATATTTTCTTTTGTCTCCAAATTCTTTAATTTCTTGAATTGCTTAATGCGTCACTGTTTGTTCCTTGTTGGTTTTTTGTCGTCAAATTATTTTCATATCGATAATGATAAATTAGGGGAAAAAATATAAATTTTTGATTGTCGCAATCACTTGTGAACTTACGGCTCTTTTTTGTTTATTATTTTTTCTTTCTGAATTCAGTGAATTTAAAAGTTAAAGTTGGAAACCAAAAATGATAATTGGGTTTCATTTTTTTTATGGGACCCAATAAAATTAGCAGTACGAATGTTATTGTTTAAACTTGAGTAATACTGATAAAATATTTATATATAATATGAAACTGATAACATTAAAAACCATGCAGGTGTATAGAGATGGATATACAGCAGTTTCAAAACAATCTAAATTCATTGAAGAAGAAGTCACAATCAGGTAAAGAAGAAGGAAAAAATACATAAAATAGATTTAGTTATGCAAATAATTGACCCCATTGACGTGGTTTCCTGATTCTTTCCTTTGCTTACGCGTATGGAGATTAATTATGCATAGTTTATTACTCATATTCAACAACTAATAATAATAATAATATCAAAATTGCAATTTTTTTTGTTTAATGGAACAGAGTAAATGGACGAAGAAGAAGTAGAAGATTAGTGTCTATAGCTGAATCAGATTTATCTCAGTGTAATTCTGTTGCTGATAGAGGAGCTTCGTTTTGCAGATCATTAACTTTTATTGTAAGTTCTCTGATTCTCTCTTTTTGATCATTTTCTTTCCAAGTATTTTTTTTATCAATTTAGTTTTGGATAGAAAGTGATTAGTAATAATAATAATAAATTAGTTAAAACAAATGATGAGAGATGGGGAAAAGTCCAGAGTTTAGGGGAGCTCTGAAATAGATATGGCAACCACTACTTACTGTTTTTTTTTTGTTTTGGCCAAATCTATTTCGTAGTTATGTGGCAAAGCCTATAAATGTGAATATCTTTTTGTTTGTGTGTGCATATTTTAGTGTTTCTTTTCCCACCATGAAAAAGAACTTTTTCTAACATATTTTTAAAAGAAATGTACATGTTACCGTTATGAAACTTTGCCACTATTTTCTATGTTCTTTTACCATTTAGTATGAAGAATTATGCTATTTCTCCTCGAAACTTTTTGAAAAGAATTTGGTCATGCTTTTGAGTTTATATCAAAATTAGGATATATTTTTTTTATATATTTAATGGTTGGAAATGTTGTTGCAAAAAAAAAAAAAATGCACATATATATAGGTTGGGTAAGTTGGTGGTTGGCCAAGAATTTGAGTTTTTAGCCATATTTACAATATACAAACCTTGTCTCACCTAAGACCACAACTCCTACCAAAATATTTCTTTACCCTTTACCAAATCTGGATTGGTTCATATCTCATTCTACCATCCGGTTGTGTATCATTTGAGACTTCATATATTTTATCGTAAAGACAAATTCGATACTCTTATATCAAAAATTTACATTAGAATCCTAAAACGACATCTATTTTAAACGAATGAAGTGGTTTTTGTTTTGGTAACTTGAGTTTTTTTGCGGGTCGAAACATAAGACTAATTTCATGAGAAATAATAATAATGTAAACATTATTTTTTGGCAGCTTTCAGTATTTTTGCTGATGAAACATACATTCGATGTGACTTATGGAACCGAAGAATATCCATTCTCTGTATTTACGGTAAAATACTCTTCTTTTTAAACACCAATCAATAAATAATTAAAATCAGGATAATACAAAAATCCTTAAATTTGTTTCAATGTTTGTTTTACATGTATATAATAATTAATAAGAATTGGGTGAATGCAGGTACTAACATTAAAGGCCATTGGGATTTTATTGCCAATGTTCATTATAATTCGAACAATCTCAACTATTCAGAAATCTCTCCGTCGTCTTCAATATCCTGTAAGTTATTAAATTCATATGTACAATTTTTTTTTCTTACAGGACTCATATGCATGTATATTAGTTAGTGCATGATTGAACATATTATATAGTATTTCCAAAATAAAATGCATGTGAGATGTGAATATTAACATTCACGCATGCGAGTACGAATGTAGGTACCACGTTTTGAGGATATGTGATCATGGGAGAAATATCTTTATAATCGAAATTTGACTTTTTTGAATAGTATATATCATCAAAGTCCAAAAACGCTATATATCATCATTTAATGCCAAATGTGAAATTTCAACTTTCTCTCTATTTTGTTGACTTTTTGGTGATATTTGACTTTTGAAATATAGGAATCTGAAGAAGATACGTTGAGCTCTGACGACGACGATGACTTGGAAGAAGAAGAAGAAGAGCAACAACAACATTTGGCTTAAACTCGCAATTTAACGAACTTAACAAATTTGTTTCTAATTTTTTCCTTTTTAACGAAAAGCATCTATTTGATGCTCATGGTCATTATTCCCAAAGTAAAATAATAAAAAAACGTAAATTTACATAAGAAACATCCAGTTTTTAATTCGCGTTTGATTACCTTCCATATAATCAAATTGTCACCCTGTTTTAATAAATTTCTAATGAAAATATTGTCATTAGATTTAACAAAAAAAAAATATATATATATATATATATATATATTGTCATTAAAAAACAGAAAAGTATAAATAAGAGTACTTTCTTTATCAATAGTCTCTATATTTAAATTTTCACTATTTTGCTACTTGTGAATTTTCATAAAAGAAAATAATTTTTGCCTACTTGTTTTTTACCAATTTAAGAGAAAACAGAATCTGCGAGTATTCAACAATATATTCACAAAATTGACCGATCCTACTTTACAGATTACAGAGTATTAAAAACCCCAAAACTTCCAAAAGACTCTGAAGCTAAACCCACACCATCAAAACTAAGTCTACTCGGAGTTTAATTTCAGGCTAACTCGGGTTTTAGTATTTGACACGAGGAAAGCTCATCGATCGACAAAGGGTTACAGGAAGAACGACAAACCGGAAAGGCATGGAGCAGTTAAATCAGTTGGAGAAATGTATTGGCCATGGAGTGTAGCTCAGACAATGAGTCTTTTGAAGCTGAGTAATCAGAATCTGATGCAACACTGCTGATTATCTGCTTTATCATTGCTGCCATTTTATGATCAGTTTTTCTCTGTTTTTTACCATACAAGGCCTCAAATTCTTGGGATTTTATGACGGCTCTCTGAAGTACGTAATCTGGAAGACCTATGGAGATTGAACCAAAACAATATGATGAGTGACTGCTTCTGTTTAAGTGAGTAGAGAGGCAATGGAGTAGCAGTGAATTCGATGTTCTTACCAGCTAGCCGAGCAACGTTAACTCCATAGCTTTTAGGACATGCACCAGGCGTCAGCCTATAGAGAAATGTCACTTCTTCTACTCCACCAATTCCTTCTCCTACTTGACATGCCATATGGCAAAGTGAGACCTATCCAAAAATATCAAGACCGATCGGTTTTTGAGAAGTTTCAGAATGTAAACAAATAATCAGATGATTGATGATAGTCTCAAGTCTTTCAAACGCAGAAACTGAAGCAGACACTTTTCACAATACCTTTGGATTGGTTTGATAATCCACAGAGAGACGATGATAATGAGTAGAGAACAATCCTCTACACTGCACCTTGTCTATGAAGTGCTCAAGTACGGATTCCCTGTAAATAGTTAAGATATTGTAAATAAACTGAACAATAACAGTAAATCCCGACAACAAGATACACAATAATATGATAAAACATACGCAATGGCTTGTCCATCTGATGTGGCTGTTCCTCGTCCAAGCTCATCTAGCACCACCAGAGAGTTTCGGGTAGCTGATGTCTGCGTATTATAAAATTACAACTTTCTATCAATGTGTTTGTTGGTATTTTGCATAGTTTAACAAAAGAATGTGACCAACATTCAAAAGGGTAACCACTGTAGTAAGTTCCACATTAATCTTAGAAAGCTTCATGTAATCAATTTGACAAACAGTATGAACATTACTTACCAACATTACCGCAGTTTCTGAAAGTTCTGTTAAGAACGTGCTTTGTCCGGCCATAATATGATCTTTTGCACCCATCCGAACACAAATTCTGTCAACCAGGGAAACCTCAAAGGTTTCTGCTGGGACATCTGCTCCAATCTGTGAAAAGATCATCATTGCTTGAGTCTCTTTCATTAACATTAAATGGGTCAAAGTCCATTGCCTTCAAAGTTTTTAAAAATGATATCTTACCTGAGCCAAGATTACAGCCAAGCAAACTTGGCGAAGAAGGGTTGATTTTCCACCCATATTAGGGCCTGTGAGGAGGATGAAACTGGCTTTCTCAGCACCACCTATCTTTACATTATTTGGTACAAAAGAACCTCTGCCTAACGAATCACCCCTTAGAACTGGATGCCCTAGACCAGTGGCAGACAAGTGTGGAACATCATCAGATGTAGAACCTGATATTACTGGGCAGCATCTAACTCCTTCATAAGAATCACTTGCAAAAGCAAGGCTGATCAACACGTCCAGCTCTGAAATAGAATGAATTCATGTCAAAAATGTATCCACATAGACGTCTAAGTGCACACTTTGTTTGCATATATAATTCTATAAAACAATCTTCCAAGTTCCACCCAAGAAATCTCTTGCTTATGAGATGTAATGGAACTATAAATCTGCCTAAGATTCATTTTCTTCTTCATGCCTACTTCTAACTCCATCTATTAAGTGTGGAATCAAACTCAATTCTAACTAGCTCGACAAATGTTCACAACGAAAAGGGTCCAAGCGATGACCCACAAAGCTAACACTTGGGTGACAGTAATTAGCAGGAATTGAATAAGAAAGATACATATTCTGGAGGAAGATAATGCCAATTTCTTAAACCAAAAATTGTAAAACATGAACATGTCCATACCAGCTGTTGCAGAAACCAATTGTCTCCATTTTTCTTGATGCTCGCAGAAACGTCCAATCAATCTCTGTGAAATGCTCTTCAGAGCCGACTCTTTTTCAGATTTTGCTTGTGATAGCTCTTTTAATAATTTCTTTATGGTAGGAGTCCAATATCGAGAGACACCCTGAAAGAGAGTAAACAGTAAGAAAGTCTCTTGTTTAAAATTTAGGGTCTCTATATAGTCAATATATCAGCAATTACGAGAAGACTACATATCGTCCTAACAGCGAGGGCACAATCATGATACGCGAGGCATAAATACTCAACTAAAACCATTATATTGACTTGTTGAGATGAAAGTGAAATGCCAATTTCTTTAGAATGTGAAACTTGGTACAACTTTTACCTTTTTCGATGAGCATAATTCATAATCATGAGGAACACTCCCACTTAAACTTTCAGGAACTTCCAAGAGGTATTCATCTTTTCCAACTGTAACATAGTTTATCTGGATAAGAAGACAAGATCACCAAAGATCTGATCAGAAAACCCTCAGTTGATTAGCCATTTAAGGAGCAAAAACAAATAGTGAAGTAATTCTCACTGATGCATCTCCAAGTAATTTCCGTTGCTCTTTCAGATGTTTTTTCAAACTGGACTCAAATTCTTCGACTGTTTTGCAGGCACAATCATACTCATCATCAGCTCCTTCATGGGGTATTACACGTCCAGAACTGTGAGCTTCTACCCAGTCAAAAGCATCCTTGAAATACTTAATGGAGGATGATATGTTCGGAAGAATTTGACCTGACATAGAAATGATATTAGATGCTGTGCAATTTGCCAGTCTAAGAATGTGAATATGGAGGAAACTGATGATACCAGGAGTTAGTAAATGAAGCAGCCGCCTGGATTTATCATGCTTCAAGATAGCACGGAGAGAAGAGCATGCTTCTGCCATTGTTTCACAACCGCGTAGAGTTGATATGAATTCTTGTACCTGCTTCTTTGCTGTATCTTCATATAACACCACTTTATCGCCATTTCTTCCAGTAGCTTCACTATAACATGCAACACAAATGAGTTTTTAACAAATATGTTGAGTAAGTCTGGTATAAACATATAATGAAGAATTAACATCTCAATCTAGCTAATCCCTTACATGCTAGAAAACATACGTGCAATCAACCGTTCCATGTCTGGAAGTCTGGACAACGCCTTCCGGAATTCCAGTGAGTATGGAAGATTTTTACCCTGAAGGAAGGGTCAGTACCATAATACATAGAGTTGTCAGATGGATAGTGTAAACGAAAGCCTTTGCTGAAGAAGCAGAGTAAGCTTCATAATCTTAGGGAATAAGTTCTAGAAATAGATGGTTAGTTGAAAGCTTAGGAAAACATCATCTTCGCTAGTGAAACAGTGGCAAAAATGATCTTGAACACCCATAATGGGGAAATAGTGTAATTCTGAGGAGAGATTCATGGATTGTGAAACAGAAATGAAAAAAGGATCAAACGGGAAACCAAGATGCCAAGTTATTGTCTAGTTGAGAAACAGAGAAATGTATCCCGTAACCCATACACCACATGTCAGCAGCAAAGTCAAACAACTTGTTGAAAGACTCACCCGCAGAATTGCTACAGCATCTTGTCGTTCCTTGATCAGTTCCGTATTATATAAAGGTCTCGCCAGCCATGTTTTCAGTAACCGTTTCCCAGATGCAGTGACACATTGATTCAGTTGAGCATACAGCGTTCTTCAAAAGAAAACACTCTAGATTTAGAACACATCAATTATGTTTAATAATACATGGTAAGATAGAGAAACTTTACCCCGAATAGCCTCCATTTCTACTGTTTTCAAATATCTCAAGGTTTTCAAGAGCAGCAGCATCAAGAACCATGTGCTGTTTCTCATTAACGTTGCTGAAATCACAGTAAGGCAGGGATTCAAACTTGGCAAATCTAAGCAGACTCTCATCCAAGAATGCTTGTCGCAGGTAGTAAATGGCACCACCAAGAGCAGAGAGTGCCAGGCTACTATTCTTATCTTCAGTTGCTAATTCAGACAACATTTTTGGAAGGAAGCTTGAACCATCACCTAGAATCTTTCCCTCACTAGGATAAGCAGAAGACGGTTGACAACTGATTCGCTTGTAGAAAATTCCAACTTCATGTATGGTCTTCTCTGAATCCCAAAATTCAGAAAGTGGGACCAGATTATTTACTAAGGGATTTCTGGTTTGTCTAACTATTGTTCTCTCTGTTGCAGAACTCAACATCTTAGCTGGTTTAATAATTTCCACTGGCCTCATCTCAGATAGCAGGCAAGATAATGCACTGCAATCTTGATCATCCTTGAACTGGTAAGAATAGAAAAAAAAATGCCATCAATATCCACCGAGAAATGTTACATATGCTAAGTGCAACCAGGCACCAAAATTCAACAACTAGAACTCACCTGGCCCAGCATTATCTTTTTTGTCGCAACATCTACCAAACAGACACCAAA